TTGGCTTATGTTCTTCATGTAGCATTCAGACCGAATGACTCTATGAAATTACGTCGATACTTCCACATATTATGGGTAACGTAGGAGACATCTCTACTTTTCCCCGGGGGAATCTTTAGAATTACCACTGCTTAGCTTTCAATTCGCCTCTGACCATCAAATGAAATGTGAATAACCCGTCCTCCTCTCTTTGAAACAAGGGGCGCTTATGGTTCTGTCGGTGCTTGAAACAATTTTGTCTTCTCCATATTACTATATCTCTAGAGTCAATAATTTTATATGAGGAACTACTGAACTCAATCACTTGCTGCCGTTACTCTTCAGTTTTCTGTTGAGGTCTATCCTGTAGAGGTACTCAAATTGGATCAGTGATCGATTTCTAGGTTTCGTCGTAAACCTAATTGGTTACTTCCAATTACGTAAATCAAATAGTTCAAACCGCACTCAAAGGTAGGGCATTTCCCATTTTTATAGGAACTTCTGTACCAGAAACAATGGTATCTCCAATTATAGCCCCTCTGGGATGTAAAATATATCTCTTCTCACCATCCCCATAGTGTATGAGACAAATGTATGCATTTCGATTAGGGTCGTATTCTATGGTTACGATTCTACCATATATGTCTTTTACATTTCGTCGAAAATCGATTTTACGGTATAGACGCTTATGACCTCCCCCTCTATGCCTTACGGTAATGATTCCTCTGGCATTACGACCTTTACCACAATGATGCTGCCCATAGATCAAATTATTTCGTGGATTGGATTTCACTTGACTGTCTACGGCTCCATTGCGTGTGCTCGGGGTAGAAGTTTTGTATAAATGTATCGCCATGCTATTAAGTATTTTGATTTAAGTTCTTTTCTTTCTAAGAGGTGAGAAAACGGGTTCTTCTTGGATGAGAGAATCGACAATTGCGAGTCCGATTCTTTTGGGTTCGAGCTTGAGCCGGGTCATCTCGGGTTCGTGGGTTTTCGGGGATTCGGATCCGAATGGGTTTTTCAAAACGGAGAAAGGTTTGGTGTCGAGAATTGAGGTTGGGCTCGCGACGGCGTCGTTTTCAGTGAAGCTTTTGAAGCTGCTGAAAGCAGTGAAGAGCCGTGGAAACGGCGTCGGTTTGCTCTGTTTCTGGTTCGTATCCGCCATTAGAGCTTGCTTGCTTCTTGATCTCTTCTTCAGCATAATTCACTGCTCAATTACACACACAAATCATAACTTTGAGCTCAATTTGTCTAGGAAAAAGTGAGAATAGATTAAGATTGTGAAGAAGTAACCTCAAAGATCAAAGTTGTAAACTTTCAGAGAGAATCAAAATTGATGCAATTCTGTTGCCTCCATGATTGTGAAAATTGAAGTGCCCACAAAGAGAGAAAAGTAGAGAAAAAAGAGAGAAGCAAACAAATCAGAAAAAAAAGAAATGAAAGTAACTGAAAAGACGAGAGAGCTTTCTTCTTTAAAAAAAAACAGATTTTTATTTTTTATTTTGTAACTCCCGACTTTCTCGCACTTTCTTCCTCACTCACTGTAACATAAAAACGTTCGTTCTGCTAGAGATTGGAATTGGAGCAAGAAGAAACAAACAAAGAACAAGAAAATTGAAAAAAGAGAGAAATTGATCCGTTTGTATTTGTTTGCTTTTGCTTTTTAATATTTTGGGGGATAGTGAGTGGGTTATAGTTTCGATGACCTGAAACAGCCCCACTGATTCTCTTCCATATCTAAAAAACCCTCAAAAATCGCCATGAAGTTGCATAGCAGAAAACAGAGCACTAAAGACACACACACCCACTCACTAACGCCTGTATCATTATATATATACATGCATTTTTAATTAAGTTTGTGTACAGAAATATTTAATATTTGTAGATATTATATAGAGAGAGAGAGAGGGAGAGAGGGTACAATGAAAATCAGTGGGTGAAGAAACTGAGAAGAAAAACCACTAAAAGCTTTTCACTTTCAGCAGTGGAACTTCCCAAATTCCTTTCATTTATTAAAAAATAATTCAATTTTGTTTTTGTCTTTTTATTCTTAGGTAATTAATTTTATGATTTTTTGTTTTTCGGTGTGCCAATGAAACCACTCACGTCGTTTTCTACTGACCCTTTCGTCTTTCTTTAATTTCTTTTGGATTTTTTCTTTTTGAGTTTTCTTTCCATATTCTTTTCTATTTATATTGTATGAAAAAGAAACTTTAGAAATTTATGGAAAAAAAAAGAAGTCGACAATTCTCGTGTTGCATGTACTACTTGCATTAATATCGTATGTGTTACGACTAATCCATCAATCGAATATCACAAATCGTTCAATGTATAATATAAAACATATATAGTAGTATTAAACTTTTTTTTTGTCAACTAATTAACTTTTCATAATTTGATAAACTATGGGATTCACGAAATGGTATTAGTGCTAATCAAAACGCTTTCCAAGCAGAATTGTTCGTAGATCAATAATAGAATATAGGCAATGTACTTCTCACTTATTCGTGTAAATCAATGTATACACTCATATTTTTCACCTTTATATATTAGTATCTAACCTTAGTAGATTTATGAAGTTATAGGAAAATGAAACCAAACTGTAAGCAGAAAGAGGGAGTAAATAACTCATATGACGAGGTTATCTCAAGGGGAGACAAACCGAGATGATGATCATGTAAACTTTTATTTCACTTTGAAAATAAAATAAGATGTGATCATTACATGGTATTATTTTTCTTGTGTAATGATTTATGGTACGTTTTGTTGGTGATGTCTCTTGACTCGTGTGCCCTCTTCACTTGACTCTGATTAATCAGAATGATGATTATATTGAATTTGTTTAGCATGGGAGGAGTGTGGGTGGACTTGGTCACTCAGCATCGGAATGGAATGAGATACGATCATACGTACGAATATATTTTCACAATCTTAACTGATCTCATTTTGCTTTCATCGCTGGCTTGTCGATCTCTTTTGGTGGACATTGTACACATGACTTGTTTATGTATATAACATAAAATATTGTTGACGCTAATTTTACACCATAAACAAATACTTTATATACAATGCCAATCAGACTCCATTTGTGTGGTTAGTATAATGCAATTTCTTTAGTAAAATTAATCAATGATACATTGCCTCATTTGCCTAAAAGTTTCCATTATCTTTACGGATTTGAACACTGTTACTTGTAGACAAGTTGTGTTCTCCATTACATAACGTGATGGAACAAAAATTAATAAAATAACTGAATTACGAATCACAGTTTAGGGACAAGAAATCATGAATGGCTTTAAGCAGTGTTTTTTTTTTGCAAAGCTTGATAATCATCAATTTGACTATAATAGTGCGAAGTCACAGTAGAGAACTAATGAAGCATCATGAGTCGTGTCATGGCTCGTGAACACAATCCATCATATCATCGTGACCGTCCGTGAGATCAGAATCTAATCTCTCTGTTGCTGTCAGTAAAAGGAGCCCACTCTTTTAAGAATTATCGATGGGCCCCAGCAATAACCCTCTGAAAGCACTAAGAGTCGGTTCCACGTGGAGTCCATGGGGACCACATAAGCTCACATCAGCATTCACTGCTTCCCTGTCGCATCATCTATCTTTTACACAGAAAAGTAAAAATAAATAAAAATAAGAGAGGTAATAATGGTTTATGGAAGAGGCGTGAGTCGTGACCACACGACGAATACAATTTGGAATCGAGATATTGGACTTATTGGTTTGATTAACTCTATCTCAATGTCCTCAAGTTACACCAATAGGACCAATATTAATGCTTTTGAGAGGTGGTTTTGTTGGTTTTACTTGGTCGTTATAACAAACAAAGAACAACAAAATACAAGTATGTTTGTAGCTGTAACACATTTAAAGTTGTGATGTGTTTGTGTGTCCATCACCAATTTAGTATCAGTTTTCTGATGTCTCTTGATGTTTTATTCGCATCAGTAGAACAAGAATAAGTATACAAATATGAATCTCACAAAAATATAAAAACTACAACCAGTCGCTAATTACTAATAGCAAAACGCATATATTCGAGTTATTGCATATAGTTTAAGGATGGTCTCTATATATAGATGAAATCTTTACTAGTAATAATAAATATGGAGGTGGTTGAATATGAAGTTGACACATTTAAGATTGATAGGACAAGATATGTAAAACATATCATCTTGACGACACTATGCATAAGACTTCTGTTCAAGACGCATGCGTGCTCCTTGCATACTTCTCAAAGACTTTCACACACTCTTTTCGTATTTGACGTTCAAAATATCATAAATTATTTTGATGTATAAACTATGCAATCCATCCGAAATGTATAATGCCGAACTCTAACATTCGCTTTGAATTTGATTGGTACTGGCTAGCTACCGTTGAAATTTAATTGAATATGTTTTTTTTTTCTGACATCAAATTTAATTGAATATGTTATGTGGTGGACTTATATATGGAAAAATTAACCACCACGGTAATATTTTTGTTTTTCCGAATAACTAACGTTAAAATTATCTTCATAAATAGTTTCTTCAGCCTTTTCACGAATGCAATCATGCAATTGAACAAGAAAGCATTGAAAAAAGATGGAAACTCACCATATAGAGATGATAGATCATAATTCAGATGGCACGATTTAAAACAAGTTATGACATGAATCACATGATAAGAACATGTAGACAAAAGGTACCATCACTCGTTGCCGTAAACATCTTTTTCTTCGCATACCAAACATTTTATTATTGTATGATTTCGGTTAAAACTTAAATATTAGATGAACAATCATTCTTAATTAACAAAACTATACAAAAACATGTCTCTAACCACTCCATTGCATAATCCATACTTTTTAAGCAAACCCTCTTTCTCAAACCCAGCTTTCTCCAAAACCTTCTGAGACGCTCTGTTCTCCACTTCCACCACCGCTTGTACCCTCACCACCGCCGGAAAACTCTCGAAAGCCTGCTCCACCGCCATCTTCACCGCAGCCGTCGCTATCCCCCGCCCCCAAAACTCTTTGGCCACGGCGTATCCGAGGTTGGCACGGCACATACCGTCGCCGGAATCTGGCCTGACGGAGACGTAACCTATAGAACGACCGTCGTCGAGGAGACAGATGGAACGTCGCCATGGATGTGGTATAGCCTTTTGAAGAATATACTCTTCGGCTTCTTCAACCGTTTTAACGGAGGCCCATCGGAGGTAACGCGTGACGTCATCTTCACCGGCCCATTTAAGCACGTCCTCGGCGTCTGAAAGATCAAACGGCCGGAGGAAGATTTTTGGTACCTCCATGGAAGTTTAATTGTTAATTTTTAAACAAAAATAATTCGATATATATCAAAAAATCTTACAGGCTTAAAAGGCCCATTAATTGTTTTGGGCTTATCTTGTCGGAATCTCATTAAGACTTTTCGAAATTACCAAATTAACCTCATCGTTATTATCTCACTCTTCTTCTCTTTACTCTCTCTTCTTCTCCTTCTTCAAGAATCAGCTTCGTTAGCATAAACCCTAAATCAAATCTCAATCTCAATCGCTTCAACGATGGATCCGTTATCGGTGCTGAAGGATTTCACGACTAAAGGCCACCTGGACAAAATCGAGCGGGTCGGGCTCAATTACCGATTCGGGTCGGAGTATTCGTTTCCCTGCGCGACGGAGACGGCGTACAGATCGAAAAGCGGCTCTCTCTACACACTCGAAGCCTTAGTCCACTACGTGAAGAATCAGCACCTGAAACACGGAGAGTACATGCAATCCACGTTCAAAAACGCCGTCCCGGCGGTGACTCTACCAGATCGGAAACCTCTCCTCGATTACCTCACCGGAAGAGTCGCTTCCTCCGATTCGATCGACTACCTCCTCCTCCAGCAGCAGAACGCGCAGAGCCAGAAGCAGAACGAGGAGTACCGACCCGATCAAGACAACTCCGCCTTCGTCACGCGCGAGAGCGCGATCGAGGACATGGAGGTCGACGGATTCGGCAAATCCGTCGAGGATCTGGATTACATTATGCTGATCCGGTCCAACGAGAGGCCGTTGAAGAGCCGAGACTCGATCCTCCAGTGCAAGAACAGAGATTTCTACAGCGTGCTGGTGAATTCGACGAAGAGGGAAGAGGAAAGACAGAGAATCGAATCTCACCAGAGGAAAGACGGATTAGTCGCTAAAAGCAGGTTAATGGGAGCTGAAGAGAGAGGCATTGTAGGGTTTACCGGCGGCGGAGGAGGAGATGATTCTGGATACGACGCAAACCCTAAATCGAAGCTTCATTTCAAAGCGGGGAAGATCGGAGAAGGCGTTCCTATAATTCTTGTTCCCAGTGCTTCTCAGACGTTGATTACTATATACAATGTGAAGGAGTTTCTTGAAGATGGAGTTTATATACCGAACGATGTTAAAGCTAAGGAGATGAGAGGGGTTAAGCCTGATTGTATTACTGTGCAGAAGAAGTTTAGTAGAGATCGAGAGAGAGTTGTGACTGCTTATGAGGTTAGGGACAAGCCTTCTGCTTTGAAGCCTGATGATTGGGACCGTGTGGTTGCGGTTTTCGTGTTGGGGAAAGATTGGCAGTTCAAGGATTGGCCTTTTAAGGATCATGTTGAGATATTCAATAAGAGTAAGTGAAATTGATGATAAAGTTTGGATTTTTTTTTGGTTTTGATTGAGTTGGAGCTGAAAGTTTGTTGCTTTTTTGCTCTGTTTTTTTTTGCAGTTATTGGGTTTTTCTTGAGGTTTGAAGATGATAGTATTGAGTCAGCTAAGACGGTGAAGCAGTGGAATGTAAAGATTATCTCGGTGAGTGATTTTTTAACTTCTGAGCTATGTTTATGGTAAAGTTGTCATGGAGTTTAATGAACTTGTTTAACTTTGTCAGATAAGCAAGAACAAGCGGCATCAAGACCGTGCTGCTGCGTTAGAAGTGTGGGAGAAACTGGAGGAGTTTGTGCGGTCTCGATCACATTCTTAGTTATCTAATTAGTTGTAGATTATCATTTTTATGTATCAAATTTTTCATTGTTTTGTTCTTCTGATAACTTTTTATACCCCTCTGTAACATTAGCAAAAATTGTTTTCTAATTAATGATAAGTTGAAATTTGTTCATTAGCTTTGTCTCAAGATCTCTTGGTAGATTTGCATTTTCTTCATTCTATTTCTTGAAACTGTGTTCTGTTCTTGAAAGTTGAAAATGTGTTATGGAAAGTAATGTTTATTGTAAAAAGATAAAGAGATACAACAAGCTCTCCGTTGGTACAAACCAATATCATCCAGAGAGTAAGGATCTATAGAGCATAACACACATCAAGCAAAATCACAGATGTGAATAAATATGGAAAAATAAAGAATGCAATCTGAGTGGCAAGAAAGAGCTTCATCGGTGAAAAATCAGAATTTCAAGAAGATTGCGATGTAGGAAGCAGCGGAGAGGAAGGTAAGAAGAGGATATGAGAGCTTGATAGAGCTTCCATCAGAGGATGGTGGTCCGTCTCCTTCTCCTACTGGCACGGTCTTCGATCCATTTCCTGGTCCGGAAGAGTTTGGTGAGTCTGCAGGAGAGTCAGCAGTAGTAGAACCACCACCACCTGCAAAATTGTTTGTAACACTTCATAAGATTGGAACAAAACAATCTTCTTTCTTTTGTTGAAAATTATTTCTTACCGTTGTTGTTACAGCGACTGACAGGAGGAGTCTGAACATTACAAGCCTTTGGCAATTCAATAGCTTGTGTTTGGTTGACGTTGATACCAAGCTGAGAGCCACCACCGTTGAGGACTTGACACAAACAGTCAGGAGAAGACTGGACTACGTTGGATAATTGACGACAGCATTGCTGGGAAGGAGAGGTGGAGTTTCCGGTTATGTAGTTGAGACACGGCGACATGCTGATCAACGCGGTTGTGCAGCTTGTCTGAGCAGAGACCCTTGTAGAAGACATCACTGCCAAGAAAACTGTAAGAAAGACTAAACCCATTCCCATTTTCATGTTTTGTTCTTGGAGAGAAAGAATCCTTTTGAGTTTGTTTTGTTGTGCTGTGTTTGTTTGTTTGACTGGATTTGTTTTGTGGTGTCTTTGGGAATTAAATGAAGTGGTATAAATAAGGAACTTTGAAGGAGTAGAAAATGACAAAGGTGGCTTAATTTTGGTGACCGAACTTTTTTCTACTTTTCTAACAGCTTTTGTCAAGTATTTGCGTAATTTGAGTCTGTTTGGACACGAAGTGTTGTGTTGTGAACAGAACTCATTCCCTTTGGACAAGAATGTGTGTGACGGTCTAGATTGGTTGTTGAACTACTTTTTGATTAAGGTTTTCGGAGTTTTGCTAATAACTTTATACTATACAGTTTTTTTGTTCAGTTTAGTTATATAATACAGTTTTTTATTTCTTTTTCTTTGACTTGGCTTCATAGGTGTCGAGAATTCTGCGTTAGGACATCATCTCTTACAAGTCTTTTGACGTTCAAAGGTGAGTAATTTTAGTCATATGGTTGCCGTGTTTTCAAATTAAAGGAAAGTTCCGTTATCATTATCTACCTTAGAGAAAATAATACCAAATAAAATAACTAAAACTAAGAAAATTAGTAGCCATGATGACAAGTGTTCTTCATATCATGATGGGGTAATAGCATGCAGGGTACACAGCAGAAAACTCGTATAAAATTTCGAATTCAAGTCATTTTAAATCACTAACCTCACTCATTCGGGTAAGGGTTGAATTCAAGATCATATATTCATATAATTCAAGTCATTTTGGAACATTTTTGACTCATTTTAGAGTAAACTTCATATTTTCATGGATCTACACTTATAAAAACGTTGTTTTAGGCTACGAAAGTCTAATGACTTTACATCTAAACGTCCCAAAATCTATTCCACTGTTGACAATATTTGTAGATGTTGTTTGATAAGCTTTTACATTTTGTCTTAACTCAACAAGATATTTCTTATGTGCGTAAAGTTAAAAACAGAATCTATTTGATCACCTTGTTTAGTTACCAAAACAGAACAACCGTAGAAGAGTAGTTCATCTAATACAATCCGAAACGAATTCGACAGCTATCTACTACACTCCTTTGTACAAGTGTACGCATCCCATTGGCCAACTCACTACCACCAACGACCCAATTAACGAAAAAACTATCATAATTAGTTATAGTAGTTGACCTATACTCACTTCCCTTCGTTCCCTCCACTTTTGTCTACCTTATAAAACCAATCCCACTTTTGCTTTACTTCTCATCACAACACACTTCAAACACAAAACCACAAACCTCAAAGAACAAGAAACAAAAGCTTAAACGATCAACAATGTCGAAGATTCCGGTTATAACCATCGTGGTGGCCTTAATCTCAGTACTAGCTTTCCCAGTCCACAGCCAGCAACCGCCGCTAAGCCAATGTACTCCGACGATGATGACCACCGTTGGTCCTTGCATGAGCTTCTTAACCAACAGCACAAGCAATGGAACTACACCGTCGTCTGATTGTTGTAACTCGCTGAGGTCTTTGACTACCGGAGGAATGGGATGTCTCTGTCTTATTGTCACCGGAGCTGTTCCTTTCAATATTCCGGTTAACCGCACAACCGCCGTTTCTCTTCCACGTGCTTGTAACATGCCTACAGTCCCTCTCCAGTGCAAAGGCAAATAACATTCATCAATCCGTCATATATTACAATCATTACATTTGTTACTATCATCTAATTTATGTTGATCTTATTTTTTAAATATTTTACAGCCAACATTTCTCCAGCTGCTGCTCCTGGTAAATAATCATTTACATTATCATCTCAACTAATCACATAATTCGTTTGCTTGAAAGATTGATTCATGACAGTTTTTCTTTTGGTTTGAAACAGGACCTGCTTCTACATTTGGACCCGCGATGTCTCCTGGTCCAGCAACGACTCCAATTGCTCCAGAGCCAACTCCGGCAGCTCTGACACCTCAGTCCGATGCAACTCAACCTTCTACACCAACCGTGGACGGTGCAGCTCCTACGGCTGACGGAGGAGTAAGCACCAGTCGTCCTTCTCAAACTCCTTCATCCGCCTACGCTCTATCACCATCTCTTCTCTTCTTCGGCATCATCCTCGTTGCTCTCAAATTCTACTAAATAAATTCGTTCTTCATTTGCTTTCCTTTGTGCTCCTCATGTGATTTGATTTTATGCATTGTCGATTTATAGATAAAGAAACAAACAAAAACCATTTATTTGGTCATTGCTTTTGAGTGAGATTTGCTTTGTAATTGGCCTCAAGTAATATATCATCCGCTTGATGCTCAAACTCAAAATGTCAAAAACACAACTTCCAAATAAAAGCAAATGTCTTGTCACAGATGAGTTAAACGTAACTTCTGGGATTAAAACACAAACCAAAAACTCAAACAGCAGCAGTTGTGACGTCTTGTACGGTCTGACGCCAAGCGTAATCACGAGCTCCATCTTTGTCAACAATCTTGATCACAAAGTTCGGTGGCGCGACCACGAGTCTTGACCGGATCTCGAGTATGCATTGGTCAACCAGTTCGATGGCTTCTTCTACGGTCATGTCGCTGCGGTAGTGCCTGTCCATCGTCGAGAGGGAGAAGTAGGAGCCGTAGCCGAAAGCACCCTTGTCGACTTTGTGAAGGGTTGCAATGTAGTCGATGTAGTAGAGGGACGCGCCGCTCTCATTGTCGTAGCCAGCCATCAGGATGTTCACGGAATACGGATTCTGATCAAACAGAGCAAAACAATAAAAAAGCAGTGAGTAATCTCAAAATTTGTTGCAATTATTGATAAGTGGCCAATCATAAACCAAACAGAAACAATGATATACAGAGCAAAGGCCTTATGAGGTTATCATTTATAGCAATCAAGACTGTATAATGCATGGAGTATCACATTTTACATAATAAAGTCATGTAAACAACAGAAGCCTTGAAAGACAGCACACTCATTTTAGCCTAGTAAAGTTTAACACAAAGTCATAACAAAGATTTGGACATAAGAAACTATCGGTTTCAACACGAATTTTCATATTTTCCACAAAAAGGGATGCATCAATATGACAATATTCTAGACGATAACAATACAATGGATATACATCTGCAACTCTTGTAGAGATCATTTGGCTATAGAGGACCATGTACCATGCTTTATATGACATTCAAACTCAGAACGGGAATTTGTAAGTTCCTCGAAGTTTTGGGATAGTCACACTACAATCCCAACAATGCATCTTATACAATCAGATTTCCTAATTACATTGATGTCAGAACCAAATAATTCAAACTCATACTCGATCTAAGAACTACTTGAATCACAATAATACTTGACACTGCCACATAGAAAAGGAAGTGAAACCTGAGAGACTATATGCTTAAGAAATAAAAGATGCATTGGCCTAGTTGTGCAACCTTACTATTATCATAACCACAACATTGCAGAGGAAAACTTCAATTCAATTCACAGAACTCTTCAATCAAAAGATTTCGATTTACAATGAATCAAAAGAAGCCTTAGACACACTAAATAATGACTATCAAAGATCCAATCAATCACAGTAATTTAAATAATTTAAATCGTCAGCTAAAAGAGAAAACAGAAAAACCCCCAAATAAGAAAGACCCTAAGAGCAGAGCTAGAAGAAGAAGAGCTCACACACCTTCCTCAGAGCTGTAGCGAGCTCGCCGCGAGTGAAGTTGGCAGCGGCGGCGGTAGTCAAAGGGATTCCATTTCGGAACTTGTACAGCGACACATTCTTCTGAACGTACTCCGTAAACTGAACCCTATCAACCCACAAATCCAAAGACAATTCTTAAGTACTAACTCACAGCAGAAATTTCACTACCTTTAGAGAGAGACGGAGAAAGAGGAGTATCGGAAACGGAAATTTACCGGTCACCTGGCTCGCCGCTAGCAGCGACGAGCTTGTGAGAGTCGAGTACCATGATCTTGTCCTCGTTGTTTTTGTGGAGAAGGATGCTGTGAACCGCCGATGTATCCGCAGCAACGATGGCGAATCCATTCCCAACTAAACCAAATACACACTCCATCTTCTGTTCTCTGCTACAGATCTGTTTAGCTCAGACTCCAATTCCTCGTTCGTCGTCTCTGATTTGATTATCTCCGGCGATTGCTAAGAGAAATTGAATCTGGTCGATTGTGAATTTAAGAAGCTTAAGGCGTCTTGACGAACAAGCCTTCTTTGTGTTGTATGTTGTTCTAATAACTTTGGCTTTTGAAGGATGATTTGGTAACTTCAACGAGATCGTCAGGGGTAATATAGTCATGACAAACTTAAAATAATAGCTGAAAATGAATTGGGCTTTCATTATGAGGGCCCATCGTCATCCTCTTTTCTTTTTTTTCCTTCTTGATGTGTAAGATTTAATCTTAACCCTATAGCTGTAGGTTGCATTGCACATGATTTAATTTCATAACGAAAATTGGAAAAATTGTATGAAAACTGTAAAATTTTAGTAGTGTATCCTATACAATACCACTACTTAGCATCGGTTTTAGGCCAATTGTATTTAGTTACCAATCACAACCAATATCTACTTCATAAGTAGAGTAAATTAGGTATTTCTAGCAGCAAATTGCAAATGATGTATAGTTTTTTTTTTCCAACTGTTTCTGGGAGAGATCCAAACACGGTAACCAAAGAAAGAGGTTTTATTTTATTTATAAAACAGAGGAAATTCCGGTACAACAATGTACAACTCAAGAAACTCGGTAGACAGGAGTTACAAAGCGTCACCGTGTATTATTATTACATCTTCAAGACCCTTTTCTTTGGTTCTTAGAAGCTAAAGGTGCATTTCTTTAGAAACCGGCGAAGTTGAAGATTGATTGGAACGCTGGTGGTTTACGTTCCTCTGGAGATTGTTGGCTACGAACCATAGGAGCAAAGTGTGAATAGTTTTGGCTCGAGAACAACTTATCCGCCAATTTACTTCCCACACCAAAGGTCAGTCTCGTCGCCACATTATCGAGGTTGCTCAGCACATTCTCTTGTCCTAAACCAAACCAAACTTAACGTAAGAGTCACTCAAAAGAGGAGAGTTTTGGAAACTAGAAACCCTTTTACTTTACCTGCAAGGAACGTTCTTGTGCTGTTGAACGCGTTAATACCAAACCCTACCGCCACAAGGTTTTGTTCCGGTGCGACTGTAACGATTGGATGACCTGCCGGAATGACGAAAACTTCTCCTTTACAAACGCGTGAGACAATCTTGTGTACTTGTCCACTAGTCTCCTCTTCTTGTTCTTCTTCTGCTTCTTCTCCCTGTCCGGACCATTTTTGTTGTTGTTGTTGCTGTCCTTGGAATGTAGAAGGACTAGCCATCTCGAAGCGAGCACAACCATTTTCCACGAACACTACAAAGGTTGACTTAGAGTTGATTTGAGGAAGGAACAAGGATCCCTGAATAAGTTTCAACCGTTTGTAAAATTAGCAAATAGCAACTGATCAACCAAACAATTATAGGTATATATTAAACCATTGTTGATTAGATTGTAAAACCTGTTTCAAGTTAAGCCAAGAGACGCCGATGTCAATGTCTTGGAGTTGACTAAACTTCTTAGGATTTGCCTCGTGGAAATTGCCAAGGTCGTTGGAGTAGATTGGATCTTGTTTAAAGAGATTGAAAGGGTTGAAGATTCTGGTCGTGTCTTTGTCGTCCTTGTCGTCCTTGTGTTTGTGTTTGTTTGAAGGAGAAGTAGCATGTTCGCTAAGTTCCTTGATCTGTTCTGGAGTAACGCTCCGCACAACCCCTTCTCTCGTTTGCTGGAATCCTGTAATCAATCTTTCTACCAACTCTTCCGGTATCTACAAAATTCAGTAATACAAAATTTGGTTATCGCAAGATTAATTAGCAAGCGTCTATTGCTATGATTATTTCAAAAGATATAAATATTTTGATGATAAAAAATTTACAAAAATTATCTAAAATTAGTCCAAAGTTTCGTGTAAATATTCAAGATTACTAAGCTCTTGAATTAAATCTTAAAGTTATCTAATATCATCCAAAATATTCACACTCAAATTCAAAACCTTATCATAGGCTCTTATATATACACGTTAAATATTAAAAGATGATGGAGTTAAGATGAAGAAGCATACGTTGAAACTTGCAGAGAGGACGTCTTTGGTGAACCCATTGAAGTAGGATTGCTTAGATTGGGATCGAGAAGGGAGGAAAACCTGGAACAACTCGAGGTTAATTAAATTAAATGACGTTAATAAAGTGTTAAATTGTGAAAAAGATAGATACAAATTAAATAAAGGACCTCGAAGTGTCCCGGATTGTTGTCAGGGACGACGATCTTGGCAAGACGGAGAGGAACGGTTTCGTTTGTGTTCGTGTAAAAGTGTGTGACGGCGGATGGGACTCTCACCACATCACCTTTCGTTATTTGAAAGCTTTCTTTTGCCTTATCCGTCACGAAACTAACCACTCCACTCCCTACAAATATTAGTTATTTATAGTAAGTTTCTAAGAATAGAAGTGTGTGTGTGTGTGTTTTGTTTAGATTTAATTAGATTACCTTGTAGGACTAAAGAGACGTAATCCGCATCAACATGGTGAGGCACAAAGAAAGTTTTAGGCTCCATCTCCATGAACATAAATCGGTAGTTCTCGATTCCACGGAAGAGAGACGATGAGCGTTGAGTGAACTTTGGCAACAATTTCACGAAACCTTCATTTGACTGAAACCAATTCCTGAAACGCTCTTTCCCAAAGTAGAACGGATTGTTCGTCGCCTCTTCCTCCCATCCTTGGCCGGAGCCGCCACCTTGACCACCGCCAGGACCTTCTTGTTGTCCCTCATGATGAGTAGGTTCGAACTCTTCCGCGTCGACCTCCACACGGAAGGCCAAGCAGTGGGAAAATGCTATGGAGATGAGAAGGAGAAGTGTTATGGTTAATTTGTTGGTCATCGCCATTTTTTGTTGTTGTTTTGTTGATATGTTTCTTTTTGAGGAAAATGATTGATGGTTTTAGTTTATATAGGAAGGAGACATTGACATGCATGGTGACGAGTGTTCCGCTACACACCAAGACCACGATATCGGGCACAATCAGACAATTATCCAAACCAAAACAAAATGGAGAAAAGACTGATGATGGTGCGCAGTTAATTAGTTTAATAGATGTAAAACCTAAAACATTTCTAAATGCCCAAAGGAAGTATAAATTAGAGTTGGTTTGGTAAGTAAACGATTTTTTCTAGGATTAGTTACGATGGTCTCAGACATGTATAAATGTATGTTTTGACATTTTAAAATAATAATCGAATTGAAACTACATCTAGGAATCGTTAATACTGTTGTGTTCACAAGTAACACGTTAATGTAATAATTTCATATTACAAAGATGTAACATAGAAGATATGGATAAAGGACGTGGTACGGAAGATAAGTACGAAGGTGGATCTTGATTCTTCTCTTTGATGTTAGTATGTTACGTGTCTCATCGCCATGTTTTGATCCATTTCAAATGGTATGACTAAGACACTCCCATGTGTGTCCATTTATCTTATAGTGTGTCCTTTTATTTCAAACTTCACGTGGCAGCTATGGTTTACAACTTTACATACCTTTCTGTCGATATTAGCTTTGTTTAAACAAAGAAATAAATTGGCATTGGTTCTTATCGATCAGCCTACAAACCGATTCGTTTTATCATGCCGCCAATTTACAGATCGTACTCTCGTTTTCTTTACCATTACAGTTTTACCCCAAATCTTTACTATTCTTTCTTCAATATTTCAAACTAAACTCGAGAAAGAAAAAAAAAAGGAGGAAATTTCTCAGCCATGCATATACCGAAAAATGCCATTTTTCGTAATCGTCACGTCACAGAATCTAATGCATTTTAAACCAGAGGTAATGTTTAATTGTTGATTTTCATCCATGACGTAGAATTAGAAGCAAGACTATTTTTGTGTTATAATTTTCAGTCACTTTTTTGTTTTTTCTCAATCTTCATGGCTTCCTCGGAACGTACATTGCTTCCTAATGACATAATCGAAGAAATATTTTGTAGGATTCCAATCGAATACCTAACACAATTCAAACCAACGTGCAAACAATGGCATGCTCTCTTGAAAGACAAGAGGTTCATCAACAAGTACTTGGATCTTGTCCAAGAAAGATTCATAAGAATCGACCAAACGGTCCAAATCATCGATCCCGTGAACAAAGCTCGCTCATCTTCACCAATCCCGGACGAGTTTCTTATTTTATCTGAGATCTCGACTATGGTTCATTGCGACGGACTATTGCTATGTAGATGCAACAAAACAAGATCAAGAAACTGCAAGCTCGCAGTTTGGAATCCGTTCTTGAAACGTATCAAATGGATCAAACCGATGGATTTTTGCTCTAGTAATGATTCCTACGGTATTGGATACAACAAGAATATATCTCCTGATGATGATGGATACAAGATCTTACGGCTTTTCGACGGTGGGCTTGAAGACGACGAGAGACAAATGTTTGGATCTTGCAAGCCAGCGGTTCAGATATATGATTTCAAATCTGATTCTTGGAGAGTTCTTGATAACGATGACGTTGCTACGTTGGATTGGTCTATTGATCCACCTTGCAAAGGCGTCTCCGTGAAAGGAAACATGTATTGGGTCGCACATTGGAACAAGAGACCCGAAATGTTCATCCAAAGTTTCGATTTCACCACGGAAACATTCAAGCTCGTTACCAACGTTCCATTCCCATGCAATGTCTTGGATACAGCAGCGTTGTCGAGTTTCCGAGGAGATAGACTCTCTCTATTACATCAACGTGGAGAAGAAACAACCAAGATTGAAGTTTGGATCACAAACAAAGTCAATGAAGACGAGGTTGTGTTTTGGACCAAGTACTTAAACGTAACTAATCCAAATCTCCCAAAGTTACACACCGATCAAGAACTTACTTATCCTTGTTACTTCATCGACAAGAACGATAGTATCATGGTTTGGTGCGAGCAAGAGATTGATGACGAAGCAGATCACGTTTGCGTTAGCGTTTACGAGATTAGTAAAAACGGTAACGTTTGGAAACAAACTGACGCAGGACAATGTGATCTAGGTAGTAACAACGATAGAGTTTTTGTCTGCGGCTATGTATACGTTCCAAGTCTTGTACCGGTTCCAGAGTAAAATTGTTTGTTCTTGATTCTTGATTTGTATAATTGTTACTTCTAATCAATTTTAAACTATGAAATTTATAGATTGATCCAAAGAAGTCATTAGTACATCTAAAACCCTTTTAACCAGAGGGTTTAACAAAACAAGAAAAACATAAAATCCAAAAATGACATAATAGTTTATAAAGTTGAAAGATCAAACCTTTTTCTTTCTTCATCTCTTCTGCCTCTTGTTCCCGGCGGCTTGAGCTTTACCTCCCCGGAAACCGCCTTTGAAGTCATTCGTCGTCTCCGCCGTATTCTGCTTGCTCAGCCCCTTCCTACCACCATGACCAAACTTGGAATCCCTAAACTCCCTCTTCTTGTTCCCCATCCTCGACACCGACTTCCCTTTCCCTCCAGACCTATCCCCAGGAGTCACCCCCGGCCTCTTCTTCCCACCACCTTTCGTGAAACTCTTCCCGTTGCCAAACTCAAGATCAAGCTCGGGTCCTTTATCGCTAAACCCGCTCTGCTGCCTCTGCTTCCTCCACTTCTTGACAGACTCAATATCGTCCTTCTTCTGCTTAGACTTCTCCTTCGTCCTCTGAGAATGCACCTCCTTGGCAATCTTCTTGCTGTCCCTAGCTTTCCTCCTCTCTTCACTCTCCTCAATCTGCTTCTTCTCGTATAAAAGCTTCGACTTCACCTTCTCCATGTGAGTGTCCGATTTCACCATCTCCGCGTAGTAATCGGCCGGCCTGAGGAAAGGTAAGCCCATTTCCTGGAGCTTCAAGCAGGCTTCTTTAGTCCCTTCGAGCGCTTGGTTGAAGAAGGAGCTCTCTCTGGCGAGGTCGTCGTTCACGTCGATGGAGGTTTCTCCCTGATCGGTCACGACGGTGAGCTTGTGGATCCACTCGACGGTTTCAGGCCAGGCGATGTCTTGGAGCTTGTCGAGGAGGCCGTCTCTGTTGTTTATGGCGGTTTTCGTCGGCTCGGGGAGTTTCTCGGTGATTTCGTTTTCGGAGTCGGAATCGGAGAGAGACTCTGCTTCCGAGTCTGATGCTCCTTCAATCATGTTCATGTTCGTGTTCATCATCTCATCGTCTTCCGAGAAATCATCTTCCATTGACATCTGCTCGAAATTCGATTCAGAAAACAAACAATCAATCAGATTCATGAACATCTACAAAATCGAAACAATCAGAGTCTCAAATCATCTGAAACTAGGGTTTCTATGTCACCGGAGCATTCTCTAACCTAGGTAAGGCCTTTTACAGAGCAAATTTAGGTTACTCAATCTAATTTACTTGGGATTATCGAAGACGAGATTGACGGAAAACTTAGAAGGAGTAGAGGAAAACTTACTGTTGACTATGAATCCACACGGAAAAGATTGAGAAAGCTTTGCTTGAGAGAGGTTTTAGAGAGACGGAGGAGATAGAGAGTGAACGACGGCGGCGAGAAGAAGAAGAAACAGGTTAAAAAAAAATGAATGGTTCTTCGTAAACCCTTTCCTGCTTTATTCTAAAGTTTTATTTTATAGTTAAATGAAAAAATACGGGAATACATGTATAAAATACCATTTTGGCCCAAACAAGTGTATATAATATGCTCGTTAATGTATAAAATACGGTTTTCCCCCAAAACAGTGTATATTATATGTCTCATTTAGGTGGAAATTTACAAAAAAAAACCTCTGATTATCCAAAAATCATTTTAATAATAAAACTACTCATCCATTGATTAACCATGTGATTTCATTTCATTTTCAGTAAAATGTAAAACATGCTTTGAGATCTAACAGAGTATAAAAATGACAAAAAAAAATCAAAACTTTTGAGGCCATGAACTCCAAAACTCTAAACCCCTACATAACAGGCAAAGGACTATGTGACTTGGTCATCACACTGAACTGAACCAAACTCTGAATCTTGAGTTTTGCCTCACCCATACCTTTCTTCTCAAGCTCATCCACCAACATTTTGCAAGTGCTCTCTCTAGGAACCATTCCTTTCCTCATCGCCTCTTCAAAGAACAAACAAGCTTCTTCGACCTTCCCGCTCACACACAGCCCTCTAATCAGAAGAATATACGTCGACACATCGATACTCACATCGTTCTTCACCATATGATGCAACAAAACCCCAAGCAGCTTCATCTTCTTCTTATGGCAACACATCTTCAACAACGGAGCATAAGTCTCAACGTTTGGACTGCATAATCCCCCTTCCTCTTCCCCCATCATCTTAAGCAAACGCAGAGCCATCTCATCTTGAGAATGACGAACCGCAGCAGAGATCATCGTATTGTAAACCAAAACATCTCGTGAAACTCCTTGTTTCGTCATGTCTTCAAATATCTCAGCTGCATCCTTAAACCTACCAGTCTTAGACAGAATATGTATCAACGAGCTATAGAACTTAGCATCAGGAACACACTCGTCCTCCTTCATCTTCTCATACACACCTAAAGCTTCAGCTACTTGTCTAGCTTTCCCTAAAGAATGCATCACAATCGTATAAGTCACAACATTAGGCTTAATCCCACTCTCTCTCATCTCCTCCAAGATCTCATCAACTCTCCTGAAATCTCCTTCTCTACAATACGCCTCAACAAAGCTAGTGTAAGTGACAACATCAGGAGCAAACTCAGCTACCTTCATCAACTCCATCATCGTCCTAGCATCATCAAATTTCCGAGCTTTACAAAACCCATGAATCAAAATGTTAAAAGTCCGAGAATCCGGCTTGATCGTATCGAAAAGCTTCAGAAACGCCTCGTGAGCGTGCTCTATACTGTTCTCCTTCACAAGCGCATCCATCAAACTGTTCATAGCAAAGGAATCTGCTTTCACGCCATAGCTCTTCTCCATCTCTAAGAAAGCATCAACAGCTTCGTTGTATTTCCCGGATTTCGCTAATCTCCTCATGACTTTACTCATCGTATCGAGCGTGACAAGCCCTGATTCAGTCTTCTTCATCTCATCGACTAATCTCCACATCAATTCGAAGTTCCTGCATTTCCCCAGCACATCAACCATTGCGTTGTAAGCTTGAGATGAATGCACATAACCTGTTTGCGAATTTGCCCACATGAAAAACCCGTAAGCCTGATTCCATCCATTGCTAAACCTTCTCAGCACCTGCAACACCAGACTCTCTGATACAACCACATCGCATCCACTCAGCTCCTTGACGACGTCTTCATGAGACGAATCTTTCTTATTCAGAAACTCGCAGACTCTATCGATATCTTCCGGTGATTTCTCCGCGACATTTCCCGATGAGACTTCTCCACGACTACGACTAAACTTCTGGCTCTCGACCCAGCTCGCCAGCGACGGGATAACGAAATCTTCGTCGTCGGAGACCGAATTCGAAGAAGGCTTGTTTGAGATGAAGTCTTTGATCCAAGACGGAAGCTCCGGAGACTCGGCGGCATCAACCACCAGCGACTCCTCAGAGTTGGGGAAAGCATTGCTCGTCACCAGAAACCGCCGTTCGCAAACTCTCCGAGGTAAGGTATACGAAACAAGCTTACTAATCCGGAGTTTAGCGAGCATTTTTTGTTCTCCGTTCAAATCTGACGCCGATTTGTCTCTGTTTTTTTTTTCCGATGAAGTTCGAAAGTTTGCCACAATAATACCTAAAGCTGTAAGCTTTACGTCGGGTCGAAATGCCCAGGAGATTCGGGTCGGGTTTAAACTCGGGCCCGGTTTATTAAAAACCACAAATTAATTTATTGACATTCTTGAGTAAGATACTACACATCAACTGACACAAGTGACGTTTTTGAACCGACACGTGCAAATCATCCACTTCGTCTTCTTCCTTCCTTTAAAACCCTAGTTTTCGAGGCCGTGTGGAGTCATCCGCCGTACATTTCGCAGTCAGAATCTAACGGCTCGTCAAGGACCATGCAAACCTCAGTGACGATGAATCCACGAGCATCGGATGATTCCGGCTCTTCCGATGTCGACGCTGAGATCAGCGATGGATTTTCTCCGGTCGAGAGAGACGTCGAAGATGAAGGTAATGCGATTAAAAAACGGTCCCTTTGTTTCTTTCCCTTTCCGCCATTTTTAAAAGTTTCGATCTTTTTTTTGTGTGTGCTCAGGTTCGTTGCTAAAGAGAGCAGAAATGTACCAAGCTTACATGAGTCTAATTCCGATCCCGACGAATCGCGGCTCGTTGATTCCGTTCACAAGCTGGGTTGGATTAAGCGTTTCAATCAAACAGCTTTATGGCCAACCATTGCATTACCTCACGAACGTTCTCTTGCGACGCTGGGATCAATCAAGATTCGGCTCTGATTCTGAAGACCAGAGCTTGGATTCGATCATTCATCCATGTAAAGCTGAAGCTACAATCTGGCTCGTTGAAGAAATCCATCGATTCACTTCTTCTCATCTTCAAATCGCTCTTCTCTGGGGATCTGATCCTACTTATCACTCCTTGATTGACCCAATCTTCCCCAAGATAAGATCATGAACAAGTTTCTTCAACATCTTTTTTTTGTGTGTATAGTGAATGCTTTTGTAATCAATCACCAGAAGTCATTGCAAGAGCACTTCCCATGGCGGATGAAATGAAACCGGTTATTGTCTCTTAGAACGATCTCTCTGTTATACACTCTCGAAGCTAACTTTGCAAACGAGTGACAATCAGAGCAAACTCTAAGATTCTTCACAATCCGGATCGTTGTGCCTTTCTTTGAGCTGATCAACCCAAACGCCATTGCAAGCTTCTCGCCGTGTCTGCTAAGCATAAACCTCTTCTCTTCCTCATCCACATCCATCAGAACGTTACCAAGATCCGGTACATGGCCTAACTCGCTAATCTCATCGAGCATTGCTTCGATTTTTAACATCTCAGGGTGTGACTCGTCCCCTGATGTGAACTCATGAGTCTTCCCTTGAATCTGTATCAAACTTGTCCCTGGAGATTTACGTAACCCTTTCTCCTTCATACTCATCCTCACTTTCGCCACATCGTTCCATCTTCCAGCTGATGCGTAGACGTTTGACAGAAGAACGTAACTCCCAGTCCTCTCTGGTGCCAAGACTTGTATCCTCTCAGCTGCATAAGCCGCCATCTCCACGTTGCCCTGAACACGACAAGCAGCTAAAAGAGAGTTCCAAATCACATCGTTTGGCTCCATAGGCATAGACTCTATCAGCTGCAGAGCTTCCTCTAACAATCCAGCTCGACCAAGCAGATCAACCATGCATCCATAGTGAACATCTTCAGGAGAAACTCCGTGAACTCTCTCCATCGAATCGAAGATTTCTTTACCTTGCTGGACCAATCCACCATGGCTACAAGCTGTCAAAGCTCCAACAAAGACAACTCCATCTGGTTTCATCCCTTGTTCAATCATCTCACTGAGAAGCTCTATTGCTCTGTTTCCATTTCCTGCCATAGCCATTGCTCTTATAGCAGCAGTCCAAGCCGAGACATCTCTGTTACTCAAACCATCGAAGATCGACATTGCGCTTCCAGGATCACCACACCGAGAAAACATATCTACTAAACTTGTACCGAGTTTGACATCAATCTCGATTCCGTTCTTCTCAATGTAGTAATACACCCATTTGGCAAGATCAAGAGCTCCCAAATGCCCACAAGCAGATGCAATACTCATCATCGTCACTCCATCCGCATCCACACCATCTTCCCTTTGCATAGACCTGAATACTTCAACCGCTTCCTCAAACATACTTGCCTGCACCAAAGCTCCAATGATCGTGTTCCAAGAAACAATGTTCTTCTCAGGCATGGCTTTAAACGTTTCCCAAGCTGCATCCACCTCACCATTCTCTACATACCCAGCGACTACCGTATTCCACGAGACCACTGTCTTTTTCAACATCCGGTCAAAGATCTTAAACGCAGAGTCTCTCCTGCAACACTTCATGTACATATCAATCAGTGCATTGCATATATTATCCCAACTCTCAAACCCATTCCTTAACACAAATCCATGACAACTCTTCCCCCACAAGAGATTCCTCTGTTGTGAACAAGACGAAATCGCACTCAACATCGAAATCCTATCAGGTCTAACACCAGACCCCATCATTAGATTCAAAACCCCTAAAGCCTCTTTCGTTAACCCTTTCCGTACGTAATTCGACGCCATGGCATTGCACAAATCCAGATTCCCACCACCGTATTGGTCATAAAGCTTCCTTGCTGCATCATCACCATTGCACTTCATGTACATATCAACCAAAGCACTCACCATAAGATCATTCACTTCAACGCCAGAATTTCGGATAAAGTCATAAACTTTCTCACATGTCTCAAGATCCTCAAGCTTAGCACAAGCAGATATCACGCACACCATCGTCACCGAATTAGGCTTCACACCGTCGCTGCTTCTCATCATCTGGAAAAACAAATCAACAGCGTCTTTCGCAAAATCACGCCTCGCGTAGCCGCAAATCATGCTAGTCCAAGAAACTACATTTCTCTCGAGCATTTTATCGAACACCTTCCGTGCACAATCGAGCTCTCCACACTCTGCGTAGAAATGGACGAGCGAGTTCTGCACAAACAAATCTCCAGCGTAATCCATCTTCACGATCAGCCCGTGAATCTGAATCCCGTCACGATTCGCTCTGCTTTTCGCGCACGCGCTTAATCCGAACGGGAACGTGTACTTGTCCGGTGAAATTCCGGCGATTACCATTCGAAGGAAGAGCGACAAGGCTTCGTCGCATAACCCAGAAGATGCGTATCCACGAATCAAGGAGTTGTAGATGAAACAAGATCTATACGATTGGCCGTTTTCGACTGAGTGATCGAACACTTCTCTGGCAAAGCTCAGGCTTTCACGAGTACCCAATTCGCAGCTTCGGGATACGAGCTTGGTTATAGACGAGGCGTCGCTGTCAAGACCTTGCTTCGCGAGCGAGCGATGAAACATCTTGAGTTCGTCGATGGTTTTGCAATCCTTTAACGACGACGACTTGATCGGGGATTTAGTACGGTCGATCGGGTTTGGAAGAAATGGTTTCGAAATCGAGGAGGTTAACACCATTGGAGGGAGATGAAGAACAACACCACTCCCCAACGTCGCCATTGTTGGGCTCACTTCGCTGCTTCTCAGTATCGTCAGATAAATAAAGTTTTTGACTTTAGAGTGAAAGCTCTTCACTTTTTAACATCATCAGCGGATCAAATGATATATTTTTTTATTAGAAGTTAAAACCAAAACTACGCAAGACAAAGAAGAAAGGAATCACATTTATTCATCAAAAGTTATCAAAACGACATTGCATGTTAACAAAACCAAAACCGAAGAAAAGAAAACAAAAAAAGAGCTCAAGTCACTTGGCTGGGATTTGAACCAAACTTGGAACATAATAAAAAAGACATGGCCGGCAAAATGTTTGGTTTGTAAATTCTACGTAAGGGGTTTCTGAGTTATATTCATCGGCCTTTCGAATAATGTATAGCTTTTTCTTGTTGGCCCCAGAATCTAAATCACCACACAAGGCCGTTTTCTTCTCCTCGTCGTATAAAAAGCTCCTGAAAAACGGAAAAGGATAACGGAGAGTGCAATCAAAATCCACTTTAAAGAATTTGCTCCACGACAATATTGCGCCTTCGGTTTCATCAATTCTATCAGTCACCCACATTGTCACTTGTAATGTACCAAAGTCCAAATGTAACACTGCTAGTTTTTCATCTTTAACAGCTGATAAAGCCGCATGATCACTCTTTGGAAATAGTGGAAGAAGCGGACGATGCTTAAGCCTCTCTGTGGTAAAATCAAAACAGAGTAAGTCTTTGTCTTTACCAAGCCAGTAAGTATTTCCTTTCAAAGACACAATACCCTCTTGTCGTACGTGTGTGTCGTAGTCGAGAGAGACGTCATCAAGAACCCTCCATGAACCTGACCTTAATTCATAGATTTCAAACTCATAAACTCGGTTGTCATAATTCCACTTGGGCCAAAACCTTAAGATTTTGTAGCTACGGCAAGGTTTGTTGTTGTCGTATCCTATACCAAACTGAGAGTAAGCCTTGTAACCACCTTTCGACTGGATCCTCCTGGCTTCCCCCAACCATGGATTCCAAACCACGATTTTGGACATGGTACTGATGCATAACAACAAACCGTCGCAGTGAATAACTTGAAATATATCAATTTGTTCTGAATTAGAATGGGAATCCGTTGGGCAAAGCGGACCCTTAAACTCTATAGATGGAGGGGCAACGTTGAAACTGATGTTCGTTGAATAAACCCTATGATCCTTCAACAAAAGAACATGAGACTGCTTTGGAGCTGTACGAAAGTGCTTCTCCGTGAATCCTGGCTCTTTGAATAAAGAGTTCCACTGTTTGCAAGTAGACCGCAATCGTTTCAGAGATGCGGCTGGAACCCTAGAGAGTATTTCTTCTACTAGTTCCGATGGAAAATCGGACAGTATCATTGGTTTCTTTGTGTTTTCCCTAGGAAGAAGAAAGCGACTCGAGCTCTATTAGTAGAATTAGGGTTTTTTAACAAACAAAAAGAGAGAGAGAGAGAGAGAGTAGAATTAGGGCTTTAATTAAATATATACATTTCTGAAATTTGTAAAATACACTTTTTAAGTTTGCATGAACCAATCCGGTCTTATATAGACAAGTAAGAAACGATTTCCCCTCCAAACTACTCTGAAATAATACGTAGTTTGCATTATTCCATACGTTGTTACTCCTCGTTATCTTTCTCCGACGATGGTGTTTTCTTTATAATCTGACGGTAACCGTACGTAACAGTAAGTCCTCTCTTCATCATCATGCTTTGGTGAAAACTTCATCGCATCTTCATTCCCTTATTGGTCATAACGTGTTAAGCCGCTTTCGGATATATTGAATGTTGGTCTAATCAAAGTGTATATTCCGGCGAATATGCATGGTCTTGTGTTTTTCGCCAGCTTTATAGTTTGTGTTGGGGGTAGTTTACAGTTATCATCGTCACCATATAGTTGACCGCCGTTGTTTCATACAAATCTTAGCGGATTTGTTGTCGAAATTATGAGCCTAATGGAAGCCACCATGGAACCGATACGTGTACGTAAGGGATGATTTCATTATTAAATTCACTTTTTTTTTTATAAAGTTTTCGAGTCACTTTATAATTAAAAGCACCTCAAGTTAACATCATCATCGTATCAACTATATTATTTTTATTTTGGTTAAAACGAAAACTATACAAGACAAAAAGAAAGGAAAGGAAATCATATTCATTAAAAATTACCAAACGAAATTGTCTACAAACAAGAAAAAGAACAAATAAAACCCGAAGAAAAAAAGAGGAGCTGCATGAAATCACTTGCTAGTTTCATTCTCTTCTTTTGGTCTCCACCTGATTTTAGCCAAACTTGGAACATAGTTCAAAATATATGGCGGCAAAGATTAACCAAACTTAGAACATAATGCAAAATATATGGCCACAATGTTTCGCTAGTATATTCTACGTAAGGGATTTCTGAGTAATGTTCATCGTCCTCTCGAACAACGTATAGCTTTTTCTTGTTGGTCGCATAACTTAAATCACAACACAAGGCCATTTTCTTCTCCTCGTCGTATAAAAATTTCTTGATAATCGGAAAAGAATTACGGAGAGTGTGATCTAAATCCACTTTAAAGGCTTTGCTCCACGACAATGCGGCTTCGGCGTCAATTCTATCAGTCACCCACACTGTCATTTGTGTCGGCAATATACTAAAGTCCCAATGTAACACTGATAGTTTTTCATCTCTAACAGCTGATAAAGCCGCATGATCACTCTTTGGAAATAGTGGAAGATGCGGACGCTTTAACCTCTCTGTCGTATAATCAAAACAAAGTAAGACTATGTACCCTGTTTCTTCACCAAGCCAGTAACTATTTCCTTTCAAAGACACAATACCCTCTTGCCGTGGTTGTGTGTTGCTGTCGAGAGAGACGTCATCAAGAACCCTCCATGAATTTGATCTTAACTCACAGATATTAAACCCGAGAAGGTTGTGGTTACCCCGAGAAGGCCCAAACCTTAAGATTTTGTAGCTACGGCAAGATTTGTTGTTTTCGTATCCTATACCAAAGCAGCCCTTGTAACCACCTCTCGATTTGATCCACCTGGTTTGCCCCAACCATGGATTCCAAACCACGATTTTGTTCTTGGTGATGCATAACAACAAACCGTCGCAGTGAATAACTTCATAAACACGGTCTTGCTCTGCATTAGAATGGGAATCCGTTAGGCCAAGCGAACCCTTAAACTCTATAGATGGAGGAGCAGCGTCGAAATCGATGCGCATTGAACAAATCCTATAATCCTTCAACATGAGAACAAGAGGATGCTTTGGAGCTTTATGAAAGTGCTTCTCGGTGAATATTGGTTTTGATAAAGAGTTCCATAGTTTGCAAGTAAACCGTAATCGATTCCAAGATATGGGTGGAGCCCTAGAGAGTATTTCTTCTACTAGTTCCGATGGAATATCGGACATATTGTGAGTTTCACAAGGAAGAAGACAAGACTCGGGCTCTATAAGTAGAATTAGGGTTTTTGTTTTCTTTCATGCCTGAACCATTCTGGTCTTATATAGACAAGCAAGAAACGATTTTCCTTTTCCTATATTTACTACTTCTACTTATTATTTTTTTTTCATTCCTAAATACTTCAAAAAAAAAACAAAAAAATTCCAGGAATGAGTAAGAAAAAAAAAACGCACAAATATATTTTATTAAATGTAAAGGGAGAATTGGCTAAAAAAAAGTATAAAACTTCAAATAATTTTCTGAACATCAGAAACAATTTTAAAAATGTTCAAATATTTTACACAGTCTTTAGATCATTTTTAGGAATTTTAGAAATTTTGTTCACTTCAAAAAACATTTAGTATGAGTTTCTAACTATATTGAGGGGCAATCTTGGCAAAAAATTACCAAAGTCCCTAATATAAACTCTTAATTAATTTAAAACTAAGAAATCAAGTATAGATGGTTTTTTTTGGACTAAAATCAGAGTTTTTTCTTAGAAGTTTAATTTATACTATTATGTATATTATGCGACCGACTTTCCCTAACTAATAAAATTGAACCTAAACCAAATTGAACAACGCGTAGTTCCAAAATTGCCCAATTGAAAGTTTAAAGAAAATATTATGTTTGTTTGCTATAACACTGAACTACTACTTTTCACGTTTTTCAGTTTTCACACACAAAAAAACTAGATTAAATTATGAAAAGAATGTTTTTATTTATAGTTTGTTTATCTAACCAAATCGAACAAGATTTTTCCGTACCGAAATATATGGTTTACTTCAAGTTATTGTTTAGGCGCCAATATATAAACAGTTGGCAGTTTCTCTCTGTTGAGTTTAGTTTTAGGCAAAAGAAACAAAATGATTCTTGTTCTTTCTGCAACATCGAATTCATATCCCAGAAGAAGCCAACCACTTTCTGGTTCTAGATATACGCCGGCTCAACGATACTCCGGTAACGATGACGTTTTCACCTCTAATAACAGGGGAAACTTGTTTCAATTGTTGGAGAGGATGGACAAGGAACGAATCGAACCGGACACTATCACGTTTAACTTTTTGATCTCAGGGCTTAGGAAGAAAGGTAGGGTTGAAGCAGGGATGAGCTTCTGGAGAAGATGAAGCTAACAGGGTGTCAACCAAACCCTGAGACTTATGATTTCATGGGGTATGAGAGACCGAGTTTTCTGTCCTACAAGAAGATGGTTTTGAGGAGAATGGTGGATCATGGCTTTATTCCAAAAACAGGGATGTGGTGGAATGTTGTCAACTGTCTAGTTTCAAAGAACAATGAGTGTCAAGCCGATTTGGACCGCATCGTTTGAGCCTAAAAGCTAGCTGATTTTCAGTAATCAGTTATCGTCAACTAAAAAAGTTTGTCACTTTAGAATCAAAGCTCTTCCGGTTAACGTCATCATCGTATCAAATAATATTATCTTTATTTTAATGAGAACCAAAACCATACAAGACAAAGAAGAAGAAAGGAATTCATCATATTCATTACAAATTATCAAAAATGACATTTGTTAACAAAGAAAAAAAAAACCGAAAAATAAATAAAAGAGGAGCTGCATGATGAAATCAGTTGCTAGTTTGATTCTCTTCTTGTGTCTCTACCTTGGCTGGGATTTGAACCAAATTTAACTTGGAACATAGTTACAAAGACATGGCCGGCAAAATGTTTGGTTTGTAAATTCTACGTAAGGGATTTGCGAGTAATATTCATCGGCCTCTCGAATAATGTATAGCTTTTTCTTGTTGGCCTCAGAACCTACATCACAAGATTCACAGCACAAGGCCGTTTTCTTCTCCTCGTCGTATAAAAAGCTCCTGAAAAACGGAAAAGAATTACGGAGAGTGTGATCAAGATCCACTTTAAAGGATTTGCTCCACGACAATGCGGCTTCTCTTTCAATTCTATCAGTCACCCATATTGTCATTTGTCTCGTACCAAAGTCCAAATGTAACACTGCTAGTTTTTCATCTCTAACAGCTGATAAAGCCGTATGATCACTCTTTGGAAATAGTGGAAGAAGCGGACGCTTAAACCTCTATGTGGTAAAATCAAAACAGAGTAAGACTTTGTGCAATTGGTTTCTATCTCTACCAAGCCGGTAAGTATTTCCTTTCAAAGACGCAACACACTCTAGCCGTGGTTCTAAGTCGCATTCGAAAGAGACGTCATCAAGAACCCTCCATGAATCTGAGCTTAAATCATATATTTCAAATTCATAAACTCGGTTGTTATTATTCCACTTGGACCAAAACCTGGCTCAGTTGGACTGAAAGGGTACCGGAAGGAAGAATGACAGCTAAACAACTTTGAGTTAACTGTTGCTTTTCCTTTCAATGATATCCCTTTCTTTAGCTATCCCTTCTTAGCTATGGGGGATTCCATTTGTGGAAAGCCCATACCCAGATATGTATATTCACCGGACTTAGACATTCTAAAAAAAGATATTAATTGATATCGGTAGTTGTCCGGTCCTGAAGTAGCATCCCGCCGATCTTTCGAATAAACAAGACAAGGGAATCGTTCCTCTCTAAATCAAAATTGGCTAGAATGTTAATCTTATAGCTACGGCAAGGTTTGTTGTTGTCGTATCCTATACCAAACCGAGAGAACATCTTGAAACCAGATTTGGGTTTGATCCACCTGGCTTCCCCCAAACACGGATTCCAGACCACGGCTATATTGTTCATGGTGTTGGTGATGCATAACAACAAACCGTCGCAGTGAAAAACTTCATAAATACGGCCGTCATATTCTCAACTAGAATGGTAATCTATTGAGATATGGGCCAGAAAAGCCTTAATCTCTAGAGAGTGTGCAAATAAAGTCCCACATCGGAAGTGGGAAGGGACTGAGGCCACTTCACCTATTGCCAATTGGTTTTAGGTTAGATGCCAAGGAAACTTAACATGGTATCAGAGCAATGATCCCCACACTCTCATGACCCGGCCCAGAAAGGGCCCGACCCCCCGACCCTAGGATTGATGGTCTGCGAGATTAATGGCTAGAAGGGCCATTATCTCGAGGGAGGGTATTGGGATATTGTAGAGGTTAATGGGCCATGAGGCCTTAATCTCTAGAGAGTGTGTAAGATAAAGTCCCACATCGGAAAGTGGGAGGGACCTTGAATAATATATAAGGGACTGAGGCCACTCCACCTATTGCCAATTGGTTTTAGGTTGGATGCCAAGGAAACTTAACAACATGAGAACGCGAGATTTCTTTGGAGCTTTACGAAAGTGCTTCTGAGTGAATCATGGCTCTTTGAATAAAGTAGAGTTCCAGTACTGTTTGCAAGTAGACCGTAATCGTTTCAAAGATATGGCCGGAACTCTAAAGAGTATTTCTTCTAATAGATCCGAAGGAAGATCGGACAGCATCATTGGTTTTCTGTGTTTTCCCTAGGAAGAAGAAAGCGACTCGAGCTCTATAAGTAGAATTAGGGTTTTAATTAAATACATACTTAAATTTCTGAAATTTGTAAAATACACTTTTTAAGTTTGCATGAACCAATCCGGTCTTGTATAGACGAGTAAGAAACGCTTTTCCCCTCCAAACTACTCTTTCCCTTTTCCCATGATTACAGTTGTACACTTGTACTTACTATTTTTTCTTTTCCAAATTATTTATTGTAACCAAGGAATAATGAATTCCTTTTGATTCCTCAAAATAGGCTTGGGCGTTCGAGTTTCGGTTCGGGTTCGATTGGTTCGGGTCTTTTCGGGTTGCTAAATTTTAGACCCATTCGGGTATAGGGAAATTTCGGTTTGGTTTCGGTTCGGTTCTTGTCGGGTTCGGGGCTAAATTTTATGGACCCGTTTGGGTTTATACAAATTTTGGTTCTTATTCGGGTTTCATTCGGTTCTGACTCGGGTTGGTTTTTTATTTGTTTTTATAACCCGAATATCCAAAATCCTACAAAATAACCAAAAAACTTGTCTTTACTCCATCTTCTACTAAATGTTTTTAGACGTTTCGAATATTTTGGTTATTTTGTTCTAAATATAACTATTATATTAGATTTTAATTGTAATTTTAGTTATTTTTTATTATTATAAACCTAAAAAATAACTAATATTTTGGATATATAATTATATTTTGGATATTTCGGGTATTCATTCGGTTCTCGGTTCGGTTCGAGTTCGGGTTCGGGTTTTCGGGTATAAAATTTTTGGACCCATCGGGTATCCGTCTTGGTTCCGGTTCGGTTCGGTTTCATCTTTTTCGGGTCGGGTTCGGTTCGGGTTTTTCGGGTTCGGGTAAAATGCCTAGGCCTACCTCAAAACATTACACCATTTCCTCAAAATTATTTTATTGTTGTTTTATTTCAGTTTCTAGATCTCTGATTTAAACGGATGTGACAGAGAGGTGGGTGTGAGTCCATATGTTGTTACTGTAAGAACGCAATTTTTACAATGGGCGACTGATTAATGTAAAATATAAATATGCACAAAATAATATATCACAATATTAAAATGATACAAAATAAACAAGATCATTAAAGAAACAGTTACAATGTTACTCCTCGTTATCAGTCGTGCTCTTTCTCCGACGATGGTGTTTTCTTTATAATCTGACGGTAACCGTAACTCCTCTCTTCTTCATCATGCTTTGGTGAAAACTTCATCGCATCTTCATTATTGCCTCATAAATTGGATGTGAAAAGTTGTTTTCAAGTCACTATTATAATTAAAAGCACCTCAAGTTAACATCATCATCGTATCAAATATAATATTTTTATTTTTATTAAAACCAAAACTATACATGCAAGACAAAAACAAAGCAAAGGAAATCATATTCATTAAAAATTAACAAATGAAATTGTCTACAAAAAAAAAAAAAAAAAAAAAAAAAATCAAGAGTTAATGGACTTGATATCCAATTAACAATTATAACCCAAACTCAAATCCAAATATGCTATTTCCTAATTTTAACACTTATATAAAGCTTTATAAGTTTTTATAAATACCCATTTATAAACTTCATTTTTCATTCAAATCAATTCTGATTTTGACATATAAATACACTATTTTATAGTGTTCATGACCTTAAACCATTTTGTCAAAAACGAGTTGCTAACACATTTATTGTCCGCTCTAATAATGTATAGATTCCTCCTGTTGGTCATACTAAGAAACGACGTTAAAACACATGACCATTTTCTTCTCATCGTCGTATAAACAAGACGGAAAATCTGATGGAGAGTGTAATCTAAACCCACCTTGAAGGATTTGCTCCACCACCTTGAAGAAATTTGTAAACACACACTTTTTAAGTTTGCATGAACCAATCCGGTCTTATATAGACAAGTAATAATAACCTGTTAAGCCGCTTTTGGATATATTGTTGGGTCTAACCAAAGTGTATGGTCTTGTGTTTTTGGCCAGCTTTATGTCTATCCTAATCGTGTTGGGGTAGTTTACAGTGGCCATCTTCCCCATACGGTTGACCACCTTTGCTTTATTGTTGATTTCATTATCAAATTGGAAGTGAAAAGTTGTTTTCAAGCCACTTTATAATTAGAAGCACCTCAAGTTAACATCATCATCGTAACAAATGTATTATTTTGATTTTGATTAAAACCAAAACTATACCAGACAAATTAAAAGAGAGGAAATCATATACATTAAAAGTTTACCAAACGAAATTGCCTACAAAAAAAAAAACCGAAGAAATATATAGGAGCTGCACGAAATCAATTCCTAGTTTCATTCTCTTCTTGTGTCTCTACCTTGGCTGGGATATGAACCAAACTTGGAACATAATCCAAAACATATGGCCAATATGGTTTGTCTGTATATCCCACGTAAGGAGTTTCTGAGTTATATTCATCGTGCTCTCTAATAATGTATAGCTTTGTCATGTTGGTCACATAACCCATATCACAAGATTCACAACACAAGGCCGTTTTCTTCTCCTCGTCGTATAAAAAGCTCTTGAAATACGGATAAGATATACGCCAATCAAAATCAACTTTAAAGGCTTTGCTCCACGACAATGTTGCGGCTTCGGTTTCAATTCTATCAGTCACCCACACTGTCATTTGATATATGTCATTGTCCCAATGTAACACTGATAGTTTTTCATCTCTAACAGCTGATAAAGCAGCATGATTACCACTAGTACTCTCTGGAAATAGTGGAAGAAGCAGACGCTTAAACCTCTCTGCCGTAAAATCAAAACATAGTTAGACTATGTCCCTTTTATCTTTACCAAGCCCGTAACTATTTCCTTTCAAAGACACAACACCCACTTCCCATAGTTGTGTGTTGCTGTCGAGAGAGACGTCATCAAGAACCCTCCATGAATCATAGATTTCAAACTCGAGAAGGTGTTTCTGGTTCTTATCCCAACAAGACCCAAACCTTAAGATTTTGTAGCTACGAAAAGATTTCTTGTTTTCGTATCCTATACCAAACTGAGAGCCGTCCTTGTAACCATATTTGGATTGAATCCACCTTGCTTCCCCCAACCACGGATTCGAAACCGCGATTTTGTCAAAGGTGATGCATAACAACAAACCGTCGCATTGAATAAATTCACCAATATATACTTTTTCTGCATTAGAATGGGAATCCGGTAGGCCAAGCGGACTCTTAAACTCTACAGATGGAGGAGCAGCGTCGAAATCGATGCTCATTGGAAAAATCTTATAATCTTTCAATATGAGAACACGAGGCTGCTTTGGAGCTTTATGAAAGTGCTTCTCGGTGAATCTTGGCTCTTTGAATAAAGAGTTCCATCGTTTACAAGTAGACCGTAATCGTTTCAAATCTGCGGCTGGAACCCTAGAGAGTATTTCTTCTACTAGTTCTGATGGAAGATCGGACATCATCATTGGTTTCTTTGTGTTTTCCCTAGGAAAAAGTAAGGACTCAAGCTCTATAAGTAGAAGTAGGGTTTTGGTTTTTCTTTCACGTTTGCCTGAACCAATCTGGTCTTATATAGATAGACAAGCAAGAAACGATTTTCCCTCAAAACTATTTATTGTCTTTTTCCTTTCCCTATGTTTACTACTTTTACTTATTGTTTTTTTTCTTTCCTAAATACTTCGAAACAAAAAAAACAGATATTCAAGGAATTAGGAAAAAATATTAAGAAATCGACTAATATATGATCTATATAATATAAATTCTTAATTAATGAAAAATTAAGAAATCAAATAAGAATTCTATTACAATGAGTCATTATCTAAAAATTATGACTAAAATCAGAGGTTTTTTATTTTTATTTTCTTAAGAGGTTTATTTTATACCGACTTTCCCTCCCAAACGAATCAAATTGAACAACTATGCGCTTATTTATATTAGACTAGGTATTTTACCCGCGCGCATATAGGGACACCCTCTAATGCATATAGGGTCAACTTTTATTAGTAATAGATTAACAACGATTACACTTTGACACACAAAAAAACTTGGAAATTCATTGTTGACGAGTTATATTTTGAGTTTAGATGCTGCCGGAGATTCACCGGAGAGAACTTTAACAATGCCTCTGATGGTGTTTGGAGTAGTCCGACAACATCCTCCAAAAAGAGATGCCCCTTCATCTCTCCATCTACTCACGTACGACACAAAATCCTCCTCCGATTCTCCCTCTGATTTCTGCATTAATGCATCAAAAAATCCTCCAAAAATCAGTTATGTTATATTTATCAGGCCTTAACTCATATGAACACTTACAATCCATTTCTTGGTCAGACCGTCGTAGACTTCCCCACTATTTGGGTAGACAATGATCGGTTTGCAAGTCACCTATAAAGAAAAAAAAATCAGTTGCTTCAGCCACAAGGCACAAAACAGAGGAAAAGAAAAACCCTAGCTCTATCGTACTGTACCTGTCGCAAAGAGGTAATCAATCCATGAATATATCTTGGTGCAGTACAATTGATTCCGATGGCCACCACTTTCTTGCAAGAATCTGCCACTTTCGCACATTCTATAACTGACTCTCCGTGTGGCACAGTGACTCCGTCATTGGAAGTGAACGAGAACCATGCCGGAATGTCAATGTCTTTCTCTTCAAGAAGATCCACATAAGCCTATATTATATGTGAAAACGTATATAATACTATGAAAAAGAAAAAAAAAAATTATATAGGTAGAAGAATCTAGACTAATATCGTGTCACAACAATGCATATAAAATATGTTCACAAGTCACAACCGCCAAAACGTAGACACTAGACTTTATATACCTCTGCTTCAAGCTTATTTGGAATAGTCTCGAATGCTATTAGGTCAGCTCCTGATTTTGTTAGGATTTGGACTCTTCTTCTATGGAAGTCCTTCAGTGTCTCCTTACTCACGTTATCTCCATAATTTCCGCTGCAGAAGCATCATGAGGGATTAAATTAAGTTTATATAACGAGCTAAACGTAATTATAACAATTTTACACCCAAATGTAACAAAGAAAAATGTATATTAATTGTTATAAACCAGGGAACCTGTATTCGGAGCCATCAGCGAGATAAGCTCCATAGCTACCAACGGAAGCTGCGACAAGAACCGGTCGCCGGGAAGCTTTTCCGGCGTGGTCGAAATCCCAAGAACCCTTGGTGCATCTGTTGTAGAAAATCTCACGTGCCTCACACGTGATTTCTACGCTCCTCCTCAGCAGACCCTCCGCTTCTTCCACCGATAAACCCTTAGCCACAAATCCTTGGATCGTCGCCTGTATAATGTAAATCAATTTGTTTAAACATAAATTTCAAAAGCTCACGCAAAACTCATTGCATACTTTCGAAGTTTTCCCATGTTACCTGGTAGGATGCGGTTAGGATGATGTTTGCCCCAGACTCTAAGTAATCCAAGTGCACCTATTACACGAAACTAATATTATACACTACAAAATGTTGTCTCAAACTTTTTATCTTGGGCTATAATAATAATAAACATAAGAGAGTTGATTAGAGATGTTACAAGGAAAAAATAGAGTGCCAATCTAGTTAACCTGAATGCGATTGCGGCGTAGCCTTACTAACTTATGACGTGGCTGTTTTATCGTATGCTTATCTACTTTGATATTACATTTAATTTCATCGAGAGCATAGAACTTAATAAGATAACTATATTTTATCACTCGTTGTCTAAAGATTAAGGTTCCAATTAGTAGCCGTGAGATCGTCAATATATCACTACCGGGTAAAAGTTATATTTGGACAAACATATAGCTATATAAAGTTAAAATTATGAATAAACCTAACATATATTTGGACAAACTTATTGATTTGATTCTGTTTAATCTGCTTCCAAAAAACGTTAATAACGTTCATTCGACTTTTCAGGCAAAAACAAAAATAACTAACCTAAAAAAAAGTAAGATTATGAGAAATTAAAATTGAAAAACACGATACCTAAATTGTTTGTTAGAACGATTTGTTGCTCTTTTAATCTTTGGTAGTATACATGTGCATCTCTATTCAATTTTCTTTTGTGAAACTCTCTTCATTTTGGATATATATAGAATTTAAAACTAGCGATAGATGGTACAAAATGAGAACTATTTCCCTACAAAAACTAAATATCATTTTTACGACTAGCTAAAACATCTTAACAAAGAGTAACTAATTTCCATTTAGATTTGTATATATGTATGTGACCTTTGTAACGAGGTGAGGAGAAGTAATGAGGCACTTGGCACTCCAAAGTGGATCATTGATATCAGCCCCATGGCGTTGTAGCTCCGTCGCAAAGCCTCCGTCCACCACCGCATAACCGCCGCACTTCTCCAAAAACTCCCTCATCAACGACGACGTTTCCTCTTTCACTAAAGATCCCATATAGTTCTCTCTATAAAGATTAAAGAATAACTAAAATAAAGAGCGTACGTCTATGAGATCAAGACGAACTAGGTAGATAGAAGATGAGATTTGATATATTGATCCTGAGAGATGCATGAGCTTTATATAAGCCAGGAGTTAGGGAGAGGAAGATGTTGACATTACAAATAACAGCTCTTTTTGGTAAATATGGTATGGTTATGGATCGACTTGCGACTTTTCTAATGAGAAAATGTTTTGAATAGAGACATGAAGTAGTACTAAGTACTAACTAAAAGTGGGTTAATTGTGTCAACAGAAAGAAAGTGGAAATTTATGGAACCAAATATTTTGCCTGCCGTGTGGGAGATCACCTACCCAACTCATCGCCACGTTTATAGGTTTCTTTTTTTGTAATCCATATCCACGTTACTTATAGGTTGTGTATAACTAACTATACACCTTACATTGTCTACATTCATTGCGTAACTGTGAATAAACAAACTTATTTTTCTGTTACAATACTTGGTATCGTATTCAACACATTCACTGTCATGATATTTCCTTAGTTTTTCTACCATCTTTGATACTTAAAATGATTTTTTTTATTAATCCTATGTATGTAGCAACGAAAATTTATCACCAAAAAAATAGTTAATTTATTTTCCTCTGTAGTTTATATTGGACCAAACACCGATTTTCATATTCACAATGACAGAAAAATTAGTAAATATAAGTTCTTTATAATCTTTTTATATCCGGACAAATTTAAAGAAAAGAAAAACAGAGCATTGCTCCAAAATTCAATGTGAAGATGGGTGGACAGAGAAAGGTTAAAAGGGTAAATTTAGGGACCACGGCCGGAGACAAAACAGAAACAGCCAGATAGTTGATCTTCCGGGATCATTCCGCCACCTTTGGAGGTGTCGACTCCTTCAAGCATCCTCACAACTTCCTTCATCTCCGGTCGTTTCTCCGGATTAGCTTCCCAACATCTCTTCATTATGCTCGATAATGATGTCGGACAGCATCTTGGAATGTCCGGTCGCAGATTCTGTTTAAACGCAGACACACACACACACACACACAAAAAGGATTTAAGTGTAACTCAAGTAAACCAAAACTTATTCAATTTTTACTTATACATACGTAAAAAATTAAAATGTATGATCATATTACATATAATAAATACTATATTAGCTAAATCATTATGGAATTTTATTTTTAAGTTATTTTCTAACTAGCACCGAACCAAATCCACTCCAAAACCAAACCGAACACAAACCAATATTGCTATGAATCAGAACGGGAAACTAAAACCGAATTACTTATTTCAATTTCAGATTTCTATCAAACCGAAAAAACCAAAGATATCAAACCGTAAACCGGATTAACCACCACTACCGAATTTCAAATGCCAAGAAACGAACTAAGCTGCATTGTTTTGCAAGAAGTTTAAAAGACTTACCTGACGAACAACAGCAGAAGAAACATCAGCAAAGCTGAGATCAGGATAAGGCATATCACAACAATAAATCTCCCACAAGCATATCCCAAAGCTGTACACATCGCATCTTCTGTTGTATGGCTTTCCATCAAGAACCTAAACCAAACATTATTTTCCTCAACTTTCAATTCAAGAATATTGAAAAACCAAAATTAAGAACACATTTCTTTTCTCTAATATGTAAGTTCTTTTTTTTTTGTGTGTTACCTCTGGAGCCATGTATCCAAGAGTACCAGTTTCTCCAGTCATGTCCTTTGGATTCTGAGCTTCAACTCTAGCTACTCCAAAATCAGCAATCTTTAGATTCCTCTGATAATCCAAAAGCATGTTCTCTGTTTTCACATCCCTGTGAACGATTCTCTCTGAATGCAAATAACTTAACCTACAAAAGGTCATCAAGATCATATCACAAAGATTTAGACTTTTCTTTCTTTTTCTTGGAGATTCATCAAGAATGCAAAAAAAAAAAAATAGTTCTGTTTTTGAAAATTACCCTCTGGAGAGATCGAGAGCGAGCTGAACAACGACTTTGAAAGCGAGTTTCTTTCTCCTGTTACGGAACAAATACTGCTTAAGAGTTCCTCCAGGAAGATACTCCACAACCACACAACAAGCTCGTTGAGGCGGAGCGTTCTTCGTCTCAGCTGATGAAGGTATCTTCAGATTAGTCGTTCCCATTGATGCTCCCACAAACTGTTTTCAATCCAAACATTCTCAGAGACTCTTACATACATAACAACAAGAGAGATCACTAATAAGCATAAAGACTCTAACCTTAGTGACATTGGGATGGTCAAGTTTGTGCCAAACGGCAACTTCTTGTCGAAACGAAGCACGGAGAGCAGAAGTCTCAGCCGCTGTTGCGTAACCATCTTCTCCCCAATCAAGAACTTTCACTGCCATTCCACAGAAACATATAATATATATTCAAGAACAGATCAGAAACTCTAGAGAATGTTCACATTTTCAATTTTGAAACATATAGAGAGGATTGAGTTTTTGTTTGGACCTGCAACGTCTTGACCATCATAGATGCCTTTGTAGACAATACCATAAGCACCACGAGCAATGACATTCCTCATCTCCAATTTAGCCAATTCAATTTCCCATTCTTCTTTAGGTCTGGGACTCTTCTCAATGCTTCTTGACCAAACCCTACTCAGATGTTTCTCCAGCTGGATGTCTAGATTCTTCAGATCGATCTTATCAGCTCGGAAAATCATATCTTTCTTGCTGTTGTTACCAACAGCTCCTCTGCTTCTGAGGTTGTTTCCCGGTGAAGCTTTTGTCTCATTTGGTGTTTCCATTTTTTTTCTTCTAAAACAATCTTTAGACACAAGACTCAAAGAACCCTAGATTTTTCAATCAGAATTTGCTCAAGCAATCACCAAACAAAAGCTTCTAAGTTTTTTCCAGAACTAATCAAAATTTTCATCATCATCAAAATCTGTTGGATAAAAAAAATATTATGCAGAGAATAACCTGGATTTATTTTGTAAGAATTTGTTTTAAACTATTACACCAACCCCAAGTTCCTGCACACGTTCTTCTTCTGACATCCAGATTCTAATATGACATATGAATAAATATTTTTTTTTAAAGAAAAATCGGTTTTCACCAATAACAAATTCCACAAGCTGAAATTATTTTCAATAATAGCATTGAAATTCAATTTAAAACAAAATGGGAGCAAAAAAAAAAGAAAAAGTAAACCCTAGGAAACAGATTGCTAGTCGGCGACTATTATCATTTGACCCAGATATTTTTCTATAATATCATATAAACCCAGAAACGTCAGAAAATCAGACGTTGTTAAATCATCCACTAGACCATGCAAAAAAAAAAAAACAAGAAATCAAGAAGAAGAATTCTGAAACATCATCGACGAGATCGATGGAAGAAGGAAATATTTGAACGGATTATTCGGGTGAAAGAGGGAGATTCTTCTTCCGAAAAAACAACCCCAGAGAGATTTTTAAGAAAATGAAAAAACAGAGGATTGTTTCTGAAGAAGAAGAGATCTGAGAGAGAGAGAGAAAAAGAATCTAAGAAGGGGAATGGAAAAATGGTTTTTAGGAAACGAAGAAGGGAGAGGCGGAGAGTGAAAGACGGAGAGAAAGAATGGCTGATTATTGGAGTCAGGCTGGTTTTAAGGAGACGTACGTATTTGCTATTTGTTTCTACTCAGAGAAATTTGCCCATATGGCAAACAATATACAAAAACATTGTACCACTTTACCAAAGTAGTGTGTATATTATTCGTTTTTTATAATGAGAAATTATCTAAACCATAGGAATTTGTTTGCATTTTATTGATTTGTTTAGTCCAATAGAATCAGTTAATGGGATGGTAATAAATATGGGGTGGAAGAAAAAATCTATATTATCACTAAGATATTTTTCTAACAAACCTTATTTTGGAATGTTTGAACCAAATATTTTAATTAAATTTTGAACCTTTCTACAGATAAATTTAGTCCTTTCCACTATAATAATTTGTATTACTGTATGCAAAGCTTTCTTTAGCATTTTTTGTGAAAATATTTTTTGTTCAAACTTCAAAGCGTGATTGACCTATGGGTACGTACGTAGGCCAATATTTGCCACTTGTACAATAATTTAAATAAATAAATAGCAAAAGAAAGAAGTATGAAGAAGAAGAAGAAGAAGAAGAAGTAAAAGAGTATGTTTTGCGCAAAAAAAAAAAAAAAAAAAAAAAAAAAAGAAAGAGTACGATACGTACAAGGTTAGGTACCATCTAATATTCGTTGGTTTCGTTTGTGTTTTTGTCTTGAAACGAAAGAGATAAGGTTTGACATGTTTCTGTATATCTATTTACGAATTTACGACTTTGTCGTCTCTTCCATTTATTATGCTTTACAGGTAAGATTTCAATTTAAAACAACAAAAACACTCAATGGATTCCCTTTTGATAATTTTATTCGCAATCACGATGATTGATGATCACTTATTATTATTATAGTTGTGTCGGATGTACTCATCATGTACCTGAACTTTCAACTTAAAAAAAAAAAGAAAAACCATTTCTTCTGTTTCTTTAAATTGTTTATTTTGAAACTAGACTTATAACAATGGACCTATATATAGGTGTTTGAACAAAATTGAGAAGAAGACTTTAGATTAAAGTTCTACTTTAGAACGGAAGAAACATAAGCCAGTGATATAGAGACCTACACTGACTAAGCAATGCCATGTGGTAGAAATACACTTTCATTTGGTCTTAAAGCAGAGATGGGCCTAGCTCATCAATAATTTTAAACAGTGTTAATATAACAATCTTGCACATGAAACATAATGAACTCGGAAACTTTTCTGAGAAAGTATTACATGTGAAAAGATTAGTTTGGTTTTTGAGCATTTCATTGTGAAATACAATTGGACACACGCTTATAACACAAAACCAGGGTTTATGTATAATATTATACACAGCATACGCTGATACGCAAATATGTTTGGCCCATATATATTTGATTCTCAACTTTGTGCTACCCCATGTAACGTTCACGTAAAGCCCAAACTATGAAATGGGGGCTTCACTTGTTGTGGAACATGTAATACTATAGAACATGCAATGTTCCCATGTATTGATTCCAAAGAGTTCAGATGCTAGAAACACAAAGAAAACAAAATATTATATATTTAACGGCGTGCCACATAAAAAAACAAACAATGATTTGAAAAATAGGTAAAGATGAAACTAGCTTTATTTGTTTAAGTTGAGTATACTTTGATAAGTACATAAGTCAAAAGATGTAAGACCTCCATTCCAATTGTTTAGTGTTTACTTAAGAAAGAAAAGCAAAGAGAAAGAGTTGCAAATTCCTAGGTCAACCAACACAGTCACTAATAACTTAAGTTATGCGTATAAACGAAACGAAGAAAAAAAGGGACTCCGTATAAAATGTCAAGAGAAATCGACCGACAATAATGCATAAACAATAAGATGAAAGAAATGCATTTGTCGTTTCATACTTGTCCAAAGACCGATTGTTATGGCTCACGAAAAAGACAAACAGCAAGAACGCAAACTCTTTTTGAAAATCCACACATAGTTTGTTCTGGATTTCTTCTTGTTGTTTTCAACGTTCGCTCTGGGTTGTACACTTTCTTCCTGAAATATTCGTTGTTGACATCCTACAAAATGCTTAGATTCGAATATGAATGGTCTACTAATTAATATAATAATTAGAAAAATTAGATGTCAATTAGGCATCAGCTTTGGTCTAAGCTCGAAACCTAAATACTAATCCGACCAATTCTACAAAAAAGAAAAGGACTAGGCCAAAATTATACGGACTTTACTCAAAGTACATGCTCTGCGGATTTCGGAACAGGTCGGATTGGACTAGCCCGATTAACATCATGTCTTAATTAAGTGGTTAAAATGATCCTACCAAATAATGTTTTAAGATTGACTAAGTACCCCAAACAACAAACATTGTAGCGGGAAACCATTTTTTAAAAGCAACAATAATTTAAATTGGTTGTAAAATGAACTGATTTTACCAAATTGAACGAAACCGTGACTCAATATATTTTGAATAATCAAATACTTTTATGTGACTGAAGGACAGTACATTGGAGTATAACTTCTTAATTTTGAATTACATGGAATATTGGATATAAATGAATGAAAGATAACAAAACGGAGAAGAGATTCTATGATACAAACACAAAGGTGCTAAATGATTACTTTGGTACGTTGGATTTTCTTATGGCCATTTGCAGTAAGCAAGAGGATCTTTAATTTAATTGATTTAACCTCTACCAGTTACTATTAAAATTAATTAATGAATATTCCGTTAATAAACAACCTGACATGCACAAACAGTTCATGGAACAGCTTTTGGATATCCCAATTTCTTTATAAGACCAGATTTAGTATACTCGAAAATATATTTAAAGACTGGCAGTGATAGTAATAGATACACAAGTAACAAAAATTAATCGTAATGTTATTGCCTATTATGTAAAAGTCATGAAAGATGCATAGTTTTATGTTTTTGATGTCACGTGGCACGTGACAGAGAAGCAGCAGCATGAATGTAGAGTGGTCGACATTATGATGTTCGCATGGAGACCCTTTTGCCAGAATAAGAGCTTTTTGTTCTATCCATAACATTTCCTGGGGACTATATATATAGCATTTCGCCTAATGGTGTATACTATAATTTCGTGATTATGTTATCTCACAAATTCAGCATAATGCATATATTACAATACCATAACATTAACAGCGAATGCATATTATTACGGTTTCGCCTAATGGTGTATACTAATTTCGTGATTATTATTAAATGCAAATCAAATCAAACTCGCTGTTACAATTCACCGTAACATTAACTACGGATTATACCTAAGAAAATGAATTATCATCTTCCAATAGATGTTTATACATGTATAATCTCGTTTGCATGTGTTTACAAAGCAAAAAAATAAAAGATATCGTTAGTGTGCTATATATCCGTTTCGATATATCGCGTTCAAGTACCATTGAAAGGAACCCCTGCTGCTACGATTTGGAGCATTCGCTTTATGGCGTCACGGGTAAGACATTTTTTGGCTAGGAGAAATAAATAGCCAATGTTTCAGAAATAAATGTACACGCACTTATTTACAGTCTACAATAGGTGCGTAATAATTGTATTCACAATTCATCTTGTATATAGTAGTTATATATTGTATAGTTACTAGTGGATGTGACATTAACATTTCAACCACTCTTTTACACGTAGACGTACGTGAAAATGATTTTGTCGCAAGTTGTTGGTTACAAGTTACAACATACTTGTACGTTGAAACTATTTTCTGTAAAACTTACTGAGTAGGGTAAATATATGAAAGGGACAAAGATGAATGGATCACACAGAAGTTAGAGGAGTGGTTTTTATTCGAATTATTATTCTAGAATTTGATAGTGGAATATTTTGTTTTGATATTAGTTAATTTTTCAGTTTTTATTAGGGGAATAAATAGGATTGAATTTTATGATTTGTTTTATAAATGGTAAAAGTTCATTGTAATTTCTTGACTCAACATTTTTTTTTTCTAAAATCATAACTACTTGCACTCCATTGTTTCATTTTACAAACCTTTTTGGTAAAATGTGCATCCCATATCTAATCACTCAACAATCATTCGAATCCTCATAAACTTATATAATCTAACGTCTATTCATGTAGGTATGACGTACTTTGACAATGTCGATACACATTAACACTTACAATTATTAGACTACATATGTCCATTTCTATTCATAATTACCTATCGGAACTATTATTTTATTTAGATTGAAATGTGAAAATTGTAATCTTTGAGCTAAAATGCATGATACGAAGTACAAAAAAAATGTATAGTTGTGGACCTTGTCTAAAAATTTATAGGTTAACAAAACAAGAGAGGTTGTATTATTATTTAATGCAATTTAATAGGCTTGATTTTCTCCGAAAGTTATATTAAAAAAAAACTATTCCATGGAGTATTGATAAACGCATGATCATCACTATTACTACGAATAATTGACTAATTAATTTCAATTGAAATGTCATGATTACTCGTAAGTGCTTTCTCGTGATTAGCAGATTTAGCGGCAATATTAATTACAAATCTCCATGTTAAAAGCATTGTAAGTTGTAATCTGTAACGTGTTCCTTTCCATTCCGTTTCCAATACTATTGTTTTAATATCCAATAGTATTAGTACCACTAACTTTTTTCTCCTTATCATATGGATTCCAGTTGGTTATGTATTCTCACGAGAACCATAACACAATTCTTTATTTCTAATCCACATTATCGAGCACAAATAATTTACATTATTTTTGGAAGAAAAAATAAACACGAAAGAGAGACAGTCTAATGTTGTGATAAACCTTTAACAAATCATTGACTGAAAAAAAAAAAACCCCCTTAACAAATTACTGTTGATACGGTCAAGTAAAGTATTAGGTGAAAAAGAAAAATATTGGTGAGTATATTATCAAACAGTAACAATTAGTCAACGTAGTCAGTACACCACATAATATAATTATTATTATAAAAAGGAAAAAGACTAACAAATAAAACAAAATTAAAGAAAAAAGAGGAATTTATTTTTCTTTTCATTTTTCATCTTTTTGTATGCAAACAAAACAGAAGCAGCGAAGAAAGGAACTGTAATTATTGCAGTTATGCTTATTTTTCTATTCGTTTTTTTTTTCTCAATGAAGATAAAGATAAAGAAAAAAGAAAAAGAAAAATCAAGCAAAGATCAAGGTGATGTCCGTTACTTTATTAAAAGCCATTAAAATACGATATTTACTATGGTGGTTTTTTACAGTAAAGTTTACAGAGAGAGAGAGATGCGTACGTAGAGATGTATATATATAGAAAACATAGAGAAAGAGAGACAAGTAGTGACCTTTTGTCGTGGTGGCCTCCTCTGTTGGATTTGGTTTGGACTATCTTCACGAGAAAATCCTCATCTTCCCGCCTCTCTCTCCTCCTTTGAATCTCTCTCCTTCTCCTTCTTCAACCCCTCAAGGAGAGAGAGAGAGAGGGAGTGTGTGATCGAAGAGAGTTACAGAGTAGTACTATTGATGCGAGATTGTTGATAAAGGAAATGGATACGCCGGAAAAAAAAACTGTTACCCAGATCGGGACTCCGATTTCTAAACACAAAGTCCAGGTTTTTCTTCAACACAGTCTCTGGTTTCGGTTAAAGTTTCATGCTTTTTGTTACTCTGTTCCTTGTTTCTGTGATGCATTTTTTGTTTATTGTGAAAAGTTTGGCTTTTTATGGAATCTGTTCAACACCCATCTTTCACTTAGTTGAATTCTAGTCTAAGTTTCAATTTTTGAGATCGATTTAACTTCCCCCACTCTGTGGAAAAAAACTGAAACTTTCTCGTTTTGGGTTTTCTCTTTATGGGAATTCGAGAGGTTTAACAATGGTAACACGGTTTTAGTAAGAGTCTGATGAATCTGAAGTCTCAAAAATCTGTACTTTTTGATCAATAACCGTTTCTGGTTGAATTTGTGGTTTTTAGATCAAAGTTTTGTGTGTTTTGACATCAAATGCAGAATTCTCCAGTGTATAACTACATAGAGAATCTGTCTCCAATCAGACCTGTCAGATCAATCCCAATCGCTCAAACTTTTGGCTCTCTCAACTTCACATCTCCTCCTTCCGTCTTCACTTCTCCTCACGCCGCTTCTCGTTTCAGAAGGTTAATCAAACTTCTCTCCTCTTTATCCTTAATCACTCTGTTTAAAGATTAACTTCTTCTTAATTGGTATGTTCTTGTTTTGCAGTCATAACAATAACTCTTCCAAAGATGAGTCTGCTTCTACCAAAGAAGTTGCTTCCATTAGAGAAGAAGAAGTAGAAGACGCTTCAATCGAAATCCTTGAGAGCAACTGCACTACTGATACTCCTGGAGTAGTTATCAACGATGGTGGTGCATGTGAAGATGGTGAAATGGATCTGCAGAAGATGTGTGACAACAATGTCAAACCCAAAAACGAAACTCCAGACTGGGACACTCTCATTGCTGATGCTTCAGAGCTTTTGTTTTTCAGCCCCTTACCGAATGATTCAGAGGCTTTTAGATGCTTCTTGCAGAGAACATCAGACTCCAAAGCTCGTCTATCTACTGGCAAAAGGCCTACACTGGAGCCTGTTTCAAACAACAACGAATCTGAGTCTCCAGATGTGAGTAATAAAAACTTTTGTGAATAGGTTCTTTATTGATGATTCTTGTCTCTGAATTGGACTTATCTTGTTGTGTTTTGTGTGTGACAGGCTCTTTCGATCTTGCACCGTGGAGTGAGAAGACGGTGTCTAGACTTTGAGATGCCGGGGAGTAATAATAATAATAACAAGCAAATGTCAGGAGAGTCTTCGTCGAGATGTTTAGTAGTACCTAGCATTGGTCTGCATCTTAACGCCATTGCAATGTCCTCTAAGGACAACAATGTTGGTAATGAGTACTCATTATCCGGTAATGTCAAAGTCGGTCTTCAAGGCTCTACAACTCCGGTTCTTGACATTGTAGCCGAGGAAGATGTAGCTGCTGCTCAAGCTTTAGAAGAGGAGGGTCCAAAGTCTTTAGCTTTAGAAGAAATGAATCAGAGCTGTCCAAAGAAGAAAAGGCAAGTTTTTGTCCTGTTTTTTTGGTTATATATATTTTTTTTTCAGTTTCTTGACAATTTTTTTTTCATGAAAATGTATCTGCAGGCGTAAGTCTGATCAAGCAGGAGGAGAAGGAGAGTCGTCATGTAAACGATGCAACTGCAAAAAATCAAAGTGTTTGAAGCTGTAAGATTCAATCTTTATGGCTTGCTTGAAAGTAGTTTGAAATTTTGTTTGTTTGTTGATGTTTCTCTCTCTCTCTCTCTCTCTCTCTCTCTCTCTCTCTCTCTCTCTCTCTATGCAGTTACTGTGAATGCTTTGCTGCTGGAGTTTATTGCATAGAGCCATGTTCATGTGTTGATTGCTTCAACAAACCTATCCATGAAGACGTTGTCTTGGCTACACGCAAACAGATTGAATCTCGCAACCCGCTTGCGTTTGCTCCTAAAGTCATCAGAAACTCTGATTCCATCATGGAAGCTGCTGATGATTCAAGCAAAACTCCAGCTTCAGCGAGACACAAACGTGGATGCAACTGCAAGAAATCAAACTGTCTGAAGAAATACTGTGAATGCTACCAGGTTTTGTTTCTTTCTTCCTCTAACATCATCATTGACATATCTGTGTAAGATTCTGATACATTTGTCTCTGATGATTCTACTACAGAGTGGAGTTGGTTGTTCCATAAACTGTAGATGCGAAGGATGTAAGAATGCTTTTGGCAAGAAAGATGGTTAGTCTTGTTCTTCCACCATTCACAACTCATTTCAAGTGTCTCTTGGTCTTTGATTTGACATGATTAAAATGTACAATCTCTGCAGGGTCTTCATTTGCTGGCATGGATATTGAACAAGACGAGGAAAATGAAACAGCTATGCAAAACAGAACAGCTGTTCTACTTCCACCTTCAACACCAATGCCATCAAGGTAAGAAACAATCAATGTGTGGTTTCTTTGGTTCCTGATTCTGCTCTATTAACCTTTTGGTTCTTTGCTCAGACAACCATTGGCTCAACTTCCCATCACATCCAACAACATGCTGCTTCCACAACAGTCTCATCATCTTCATGGAGCTTCCTCGGGGTTATACAACAAGAGCCAATTCAGAAAACAAGACATGCGTATGTATTCTCATTCAAGGATTGAGACAATCACAGAGGAGAGAGCAGAGGATATTGAGAATCTAATCCAATCTCCTATAACTAACATCAATGCAGTATCTCCAAACAGTAAAAGGGTTTCTCTGCCTGATTCATCAGAGTCAACAACTCCATGGAGAAGAAATGGTGGAAGGAAGCTGTTACTGTCAATTCCAAGTTTTCCTTCTCTCACTCCACACCATTGAAATTCTTTGAATTCATTTGAAAATTTGTGATCATGTCAACTTCTAGTTGGTAGTTTTAACTTGAACAACAACAGAGATACACAAACGTTTTTAGCAGTAGCATACAGTTGCGTTTGTTCTTCCAATGCTTTTGTGTAATAAAAAGGTCAAGGCATTTATCATAATCTTCACAACATATATGCAAGATTTCTTGTATAAGATCAAACACAATGATTTGGTCAACAATTTACAGGAAATATGTGTAGAGTAAAGTATAGTTTAAAAATTGTTGTAAACACTAAAAAACTTCATTTTAAATTGTTTCTTTAATTAAAAATCTATTTTTTTAAGTATCCTAAATATAATAAGTAGAAATTAAATTTCTAATAATTACATGGACAAAAAACTTTACTTTAATTTATTAAATATTTATTAGGCGGACAAAATGCATAAGAATGTTCAAACCGTTTATACGTTATCTTTTTTTTTTTTGTCGATTGCCTAAACGTTAATTAAACCTCGAAATCTTCATGTTTGACTAATTCTATGGTCTACATTGTAACCGTCTCCAGTTTATTTAATGTTATTGTAATTATTACAACACATAGCTCATTTCTTTCTTCTCTTTTTGTGTCCTTTGATTAAGAAAATAATAATTAAGAGCTAAACCAAAAGAAATATACAAACAAGAAAATGGTAGAATTGTTTTTTTTTTTAAATGTTGTTGACAAAACAAAAAATAGCAATTTCCAGTTCTTCCATTTGTCAAGAACTGGGCCTGAGTGTACCTAATAGATCCAAGTCAATATAAAAAGAGTGACGTCGTTTAGTGGACTATTGTTGGGGAATATATCATTTTGGACTTTGGAAAACATTTTTTTTCCCAGTGTGTTGTCTTTCGCTCTGTTTCGCACCGGCGCGGACAACTTTTTTTTTGTTTATAAACTCCAACCAAAAAAAAAAAAAAAAGTCCGTCCCATCAACCCTAGATATTATCACTTTCTCTGCTTTCAGTGAGCAATGCGGATGTGACTTCACTGAGAAAATGGACAATCTCCAGAAGAAATCTACTACCCAGATCGATACCCCAACTCCTAAATCCAAATTCGAGGTCTTTTCTCTTCTTCAATCTCTTATTTTCCGTCAAAAGCTTCACTCCATTTGTCGTCTCTTCTATGCTCTGCAAATTTTGCTTTTTGAGAAAGTTGTTTTTCTGGGTTTTGCTTCAGTTTTTTAAGTAGAGATTTTGTCTTTTTGACCAACACTCTAAAAATTTTGCTTCCTCTAGGCTTAAGCTTTGATTCGAAGTAGTGAGTTTTAAAACTTTTGAATTGGTGAAATTGTAGGACTCTCCAGTGTTCAATTACATAAACAATCTGTCTCCAATTGAGCCGGTGAAGTCAATCTCCACTACTCAGACGTTTAGCTCCCTGAGTTTCACTTCTCCTCCTCCTGTTTTCACCTCTCCTCACGCCAGTTTCCACAGAGAATCCAGATTCTTCAGATGGTAAAGAGACAATGTTTCTTCCTTCAACAAACCATTTTTAATCATATATACTCTCTCCCTGCTTTAATTGGTGTGTTTCTTTGGTTGCAGTCATTACTCTGTTGATCGTTCAAAGGCCTTAGATTCTGGATCTGTTTCTAAAGAAGAAGCTGATGTAGATCTGAACAAAGATGCTTCTTTGGAAGAAGACGAACAAGAAACTACTGATCATCATGGTGATTCTCCTTGCAATGGAGATGTTGTCGCTGAAGTACTGGTAGCTCCGTCTGATGATTCCCCTGGAGGAGACGGTGGTTTGTCTTCTGAGGGCGTCAGGAAAGGTCTCCGGAAGATGCTTGATGCTCCGGAAGAGAGTGACACTCCTAACAGTGGACGTTTGAGCTCAGACTCAACTGAGCTGTTTGTGTTTCGATCTCCTAACGATTCAGAGGCCTTTGGATGCCTTGTGGATAAGATATCCAGCTCAGAGAGACGTTTCTGCGCTGGTGTCAGGCCAACGAAGCAGCCTGATACCACCAAAGATGTCCCAGTCAATGGATCCAGCAATGAATTGCCTTTGGCTTTGCTTCCCAATGAGGTATATTAGGCTGTTGAGTGTTGTCATTAGTTTATCTTTGAGTTCTTGATTGGTCAGTGTCACTGAAATAGCTGTTTTGTGTTGTGTTTGTGGTAGTCTGTCTCTACATTGCATCGTGGTACCATGAGAAGACGGTGTCTAGACTTTGAGGTGCCAGGGAAGAGGAAGAAAGATGTAGAGACTGTGTGTGACAATAAGGCGGAATCTTCGTCGAAATGTGTTGTGCCCGGTATAGGTCTCCATCTAAACGCCATTGCAATGGCGGCAAGGGAGAGTAAGGTCAACGTCATACATGAGTATTCAACAAGTTTCTCAGGCGGCTCTACCACTCCGATTCACTCTCAAGAAGATAGCATGCGAGAAGCTTTGGACCAAGAAGAAAGTGAGCCTGGGGAAGTCCTAGCTATAGAAGATGCTTCCAATGCAATAGTGGTGTACGAAGATTTGAATCCGGGAAGCCTTAAGAAAAAGAAGTAAGTTTTTTCCTTATAAAAGTTACATTAAAGATTTGTTTCTTCTGGTTATACTTATCTGTTGGCATAAATGTGCAGGCGTATGGTTGAACAAGTTGGAGAGGGCGAGTCATGTAAGCGATGCAACTGCAAAAAGTCGAAGTGTTTGAAGCTGTAAGCCGCATACACCTATGTCCTCTTTAATCTTTGCATGTTCCAAAATTTCAGATTGCTTTGAAGTAGTTTTGAGTCTCTTTTTCTCTCCCTCTGCAGGTACTGTGAATGCTTTGCTGCTGGGGTTTATTGCATTGAACCATGTTCATGTGTTGATTGCTTCAACAAACCTATCCATGAAGACGTCGTCTTGGCTACTCGTAAACAGATTGAATCTCGCAACCCGCTCGCATTTGCTCCTAAAGTCATCAGAAGCGCAGATTCCATCATGGATACTGGTGTAAGAGCTCTCTATTCCCATCTTCTTATCTCTCTCTCTTTCTCTGACTTCCATTTATCTGAGGGATGATGAAACTGTAATCTTGCACAGGATGATGCAAGTAAAACTCCAGCTTCAGCGAGACACAAACGTGGCTGCAACTGCAAGAAATCAAGCTGTCTGAAGAAATACTGTGAATGCTATCAGGTTTGTTTCTTTCATCATCTACTCATCATTATACTGCATATTCATTTTTGTAGGTTTATCTTCCACGGTATGATTCTGATACTTTGTTGATGATGATCTTACAGGGTGGAGTTGGCTGTTCCATAAACTGTAGATGTGAAGGATGTAAGAATGCATTCGGCAGAAAAGATGGTAAGCTTCTTTAGCTCCATTTTTTCTTCCATGACAGTTTTACTATCCCAAAGTCTTTAGTATTTGACATGGTTACACTCTCAGGGTCTTTACTTGTTATCATGGAGAACAAACACACGGAGGATCATGAGATATATGAGAAAAGAACAGCAAAAATCCAATACAACTCTGAGGTTCCAAAAGAAGTAGAGCAGATCCCAAGTTCTGATCAACCTTCAACACCCCTGCCACCGTACAGGTAATTGAATTCTATCGATGTTTTAAACTATATACATTCAAGACAGCTCCTGATTTGCTGTTTTTTGCAGACATTTGGTGGTTCATCAGCCATTTTTGTCTAAGAACAGGCTGCCTCCGACGCAGTTTTTCCTTGGCGCCGGTTCTTCTTCCTCGTTGAGAAAAGCAGACGGTGATGAATTCACGCAGTTAAGGAATGAGAAGAAGAAGACTCTTGAAACCGTGGCTGAAGACAAAACAGAGGTTATGCCTGAGCTTCTCATCACTTCACCTATAACCACCATCAAGGCCATCTCTCCCAACAGTAAGAGAGTCTCTCCTCCTCATCCCGGCTCATCGGAATCAGGCTCAATCCTAGGGAAGAGAAGTAATGGCCGGAAGCTGATCTTACGTTCTATTCCAGCTTTTCCTTCTCTTAACCCAAATCAGTGAAATAAAAAGACTACTTATTTGTATTCTTGGAAAAGACCACCTATCACTTGTTTCATAACATGTTCTTGTAAGAAACTATTCTCCTTAGCAGGTAATGTAATATTCATATTCTAGTTTATAAAGAGCATCCAAATTTAGACTGAGAGAAGATCAAGTTTCGAAACATAGGAGTCAAACATACAGTCACAAGCTTACTAACTTCCTCTTTAACATTTCAGAAGCCATGCCACAAAGTACTTCTAGAGAGTCAGTTCCATGATTAAAGTGAAAAAAAAAAGATAGTAAATTAGATGCTGCTACGTTACTAACTTATTATCCATCCTACTCTTCATTAGCCGAAGATCTCATGCATCCGCAGAAACGGTTCTTCTTCTTCCTCGCTGTCCTTTTAGTACCACCCTTGTGGATAATTTCTCTCAAGAGTATCACTGTTCTACTCTCAGAGAACTTCTTCTTTCCTTTGCCTTTGGATGCTTCAAGCTTTAGCACTGTTCGCTCAATGCTCTGCATTTCTTGCTGCATCTGCTCTATCTTCTCTGATCCGTTTCTTGACTTCTCCATAACCACTTTTCTATAGATATCTCTGGCGTCTCCGGTCTCTTCAATTTCGTTTGAGAGAATCTCGTTTGTGTTTGCAAGTTGAAAGATAGATTCTTCCATTTCTTTCAGCTGTTTCCTCACTCTGGCGAAATCCGGGCTAGTGAACTTGCCTACTTGCTTCTCGTTCATCATCTCCAGCTTGCTTTTGAGATCTCTTAGGCTGATTCTAAGGCTTGCCAATCTCCGAGAGTCGGACAGAAGTCTCTCCATGATCTTTGCATTGTCCTCGATGCTTCTTGATAGCTCTACCTTGTCAACAACTCCAACCACTTTCTCAGACTGTGATTCAATAGATGGATTCCTGCTTCTGCGATGTAGACGGGGAATGAGAGGCTTCTTTGAGACTTTACTGTTCATCAGAGACTTGATGCTTGTTTCTGGTTCAGCAGATTCTTCCCACAACTCAAGCATCTGGTCATTGGAGCCACGGCTAGTTCTCCGGCTTCTTCCGTAGAAGGGAGAGTCTGCAACATGATCAAGGGGAATGTCTTTCATCAATGAACTATGTCTCACCTCAGTCATCGCAGGTGGTGATCTAGGCTGTCTGATTTCGCCAGAGAATTTGTCCTCAAGTTCAATCTCCTCAAACAGCCTGCGGTCTTCTCTGCGTGAGCTTCTGTGTGAAGAGCTTCGTCTTCTCTGCTGCTTCCCAAGCCTCTTTTTTTCCTCAACAACAACTTGCTCGATGGTTTTAATTCTTTCTTTCATGTCCTGCAAAAGCACAATTCCATTTTCTTGGTTGGTACTGCTATGTTCTTGAGAGTCTTCTGCTTCTGGATTCTCATCGCTCTGGACACCCTGATAAAACGACAAGAATTAGGTCAGGAGTATATGTTTAAGTTTAAGTTCATGAGTCTGAGAAAGATGAAGTAACATGTCAAATAGAAGGAAGAAGTATAAGTTTACCTCTCTAAGAAGATCAGCTGGCGCAGGGAGTTTCATCAACAACATTGCATTTTCCTCAAGGGATTTTACATCTTCTGCTAGAGATGCTACCACAGGATCATAGGCAGATAACTGGCTCTTCAGCTCAGTCACTTCATATTCCAAGAATCCAACTGTTTCTTTCATCCGTTTTATCTCTGTGGTCTTTGTAACAGCTTCATCTTTGAGACTCTCACAGACTCCGGTGAGTTCCTTAACTTTGTTCTCGAGCAAGACTTCACGGACAGCTGAGATCTGTAGATCAAAGTAGAAAGATGTTGCTTCCGCATCCCAAAGTCCAAACTCATTGCTCTTCTCCTGAAGCTCCGAGCTCAAGAACTCCTCTCGAACCCGGTGTTCTTGGATTTCTTTGTGTAACAGCTCTACCTCTGACTCCAAACTCTCCTTCAAATTGCTAAGCTTTTTAATCTCTTCATCTTGTCTCCCACTAAGGTCAAACAGTTCAGAAATCTGCTTCTCTAGATTTCCCCTCAGTTGTCTTGATTCTTTACAGTCTTTCCTCAGCTCTTCAACTGCTTCACACAGTTCCGCATTTGCACTGTGTGTAGCCTTGAGCATCTCTTCGGCTTCTAGTAGCTCCATCGTCTTCTGTCTCAAGATCTCCTCTTTATCTGAAACTTGATGCTCTAAGAGATCATTTAGCTCATTGGCTTCTTCGAGGCTTTCCTGTAACTTCTCCAGCTTACTGCTAAGCTCCTGACTGTCCACATCTTTCGCTTTTAACTTCTCCTCTAATGTCTCAACCTTCTGCTTAAGCCCTCTATTAATATCTTGCAAACTAGTCAGGTTTTCAGTAAAAGCTTCCACATGCTCAGCCTTTTCAGAAGCAAAGGACTGATAAACCACAGACATGTTGCTCAAGACAATAGCTTCCTGAAGAATCGCACCGTTCTCTTCCTCAAGTAGACACATTTCACCTTTAAGCTCTGAGAATTGCAGATGCAGAGTTTTGTTCTTGTCGAGAGCGTTAGAGTAATCTTGATGCAAAGCCATGTACGACTCATTCAAACTCTCGAACTTCAAATGCTCACTCTGTATTTCAGCTCTTAGCTCTATCTCCCGCTGCTCTCTGTCGATCAGTTCTGATTTCAACTGACGGTTCATTTCCAATAGCTCGAGCCTGTCCTTTTGCATCATTCCATAGCTATGTACTATTGTCTCCAGATCTTTCTCTGCATTTCTTTTTTCTGATTCCACCTTCTTGCCATCTGATTGGAACTGTCCAAGAAGAGATAAGAGCACAGAGTTCTCAATCACAAGTCGCTGCTTCTCATATTCAGCGCTGGAAACTGAACGTTTCAGATCATTAATCTCACCCAAAATGCGTGAAACTTGAATCCGCTCTTTGGCAGTCTTCTGGTCAGATGTCTTACAATCTGCTTCAAGTTGAAGTGCCTTGAACACTTGATAGATTGCACCTCTGCAGCTATCAATCTCATGCAGCAAGAACTCTGTTTCCATCTGCTGCTCAAGATTCTCGCTTTCCAGCTCGGAAATGAGTTTCTCTGAGAATGTTGATGCCTCAACATATTTCTGGCACTCAACCAGTAGAGAATAGTTCTTCTGCTCCAAGTCTTCTATAAACTTCTTCAAGATAAAGATCTCCACTTGAGCATTAACAGCTTTGTCAAGCTCTTCCTCAAACTCCTTCTTCCTGGAGCGACACTCTTCTCGAAGAAAGCTCACGTTACTCTGAAGATCAGCCAATCTGGTGTCAGTTGATCTTTCGTAACTAGCACGCTCTTGCTTCTCAGTGGCGAGTGAAACTCTTAACTCTTCCACTTGAACATTCTTGAACTGTTTCTCCCTCTGTAGATCAGCATATTTTCCTTGCAATTCAGTGAAGCTCTTCTCCAAAACTCCTAGCTTCTCCTTAACACTGTTTAACTGAGAGATAAGAGATTCTCTTTCCTTTATAAGCTCAGCCTTATCGTCTTTGAGCAGCTGGAAGAACTCTTCAAAGCATTTTGATTTCTCCTTTACACCTTGAAGCTCAATGCTTGCACCAGAAAGAGCCGTCTCCAAAAACGAGTTCTTCTCCAAGAGCTTCTGCATGTTCTCAGTCATGGTTTGCAATTGAGAAAGCAGGTTAGCTCTCTCAGCAATAAACTCAGCTTTCTCGCCTCGTAAAGACTTGCATCTTTCTTGCAGATCTTTTGTCTTCTCCCTAGAACCATCTAGTTTAGTGTTTGATTCAAGAAGCAATTTCTCTAGACCAACATTCTTCCTTAGAATGTCATCCATTTCACGCAGCTTCTCAGTAAGAGCATCTTTATCATCCCTCTGGTGGTTGCACAACTCAGTCAGCTTTGAGTTCTCGTCTTGTAGCTTCCTCACAGAGCAGGCAAGTGATTCGGGGTCCAAGCCCGCGAGTTTCACTTGCTCCATTATCAACTGATACCTTCTATTCAAGCTGTTGATTTCATCCTTCAGACGACGGATCTCTTCTTGAAGAGCACTGCTTTGGTTAATCTGTCTAGCAACTTCTTCCTCGAGCTTTTCTTTCACCTCCTTCAAGCTAGAAATCTCGCATCTCTGAGTCTCTAGAGAGATCTTAGAAGAGTCACTTAGCTCGCTTAAGTTTCGGTTTTCTTCTTTAACCGAGCTGATGACACTTTCCAAGTCATGATTACGAGTCTCTAAGTCCTTCAACATGTCAATCCTGCTCTGAAGCTCTGAAGTGAGAACCTTTTGTTCCTCTTGGGACTGAGAATGCAAACTTTGCAAACTTCTAAGGCTGGCTTCGATTTCTAGAAACCGAGAGTGCTCATCTTGTATCAAATCTTGAAACTTTTCAAGCTCGTATTGCTTCTGGAAGAGATCTTGATCCTTAGCTGCTAATTTGTGCGTTAGACCATCTGCTTCTTCCTTCAAAGTTTCATTTGAGCTCTCCAAAACAGTACACTGGTCCTCTACAGTCTTCAACTTTGCAGCTCCAGCTAAGACTTCACTACTGAGTCTTTTGGCATTGTCTTGAGCATGAGAAACTTCTATCTCTAGCTTAGATATAGTTTCCAAACACTGCTGATACCGAAGACTCAAACCTTCCTTCGCTTCGTTCACCTTGAGAAGCTCATGTCTCAAAGCTCTAACTTCATCCTCAGCTTTTGCAGACTTATTACTAAACATTTGAGCACTCTCCTCCGCCTCTCTAACCTTCTTCTCTAGAGAAGATATCATCTCAAGGCATTGATTGTATCGCGCTAAGCCAGCTTCTTGCTCAGAATGCAATCTACTACGCTCTTGCTTAAGACTCTCCGCTTCTGTTTCGGCTTTAGTTGCTTGGTTGGTGAGCCCCTTTATATCTTCTTGTGCATGAGCAAATGATTCCTCAAGATCCGCTATCTTCTCTACCGTCTGATTATACCGAAGAAGCGCAGCATCTCTCTCGGATTCAAGCTTTGCTAGAGCTTCTGCAAGTATCTTACTTTCAATCTCAGCTTTGCTAGCACGTTCATCAAGCCCACTAACATCCTTTTGAGCATCCTTAAGGTCTTTCTCTAGTCTAGATAACTTGTTCAAGCTCAGCTGATACTGGAGATTCAAGGCTTCCTTCTCAGCACCAAGCTCAACCAATAATCTCTTCAAGCTCTCAACTTCTGTCTCAGAGTTCCCAAAGTACTCACTCAGCTGACTCAACCCTCTTTTAATACTCGTGTCTTCAGAGTCATAAAACGTCTGGTTCCGAGGTGGCATTTTCTCAGGCGTACGTGGCTCAGAGCAAGATGAGGAAGAAGCAGAATCCTCAATCATGTCGAAAGGCACTTGGCTAGGGAACGCCTCAGCCATTGTTTTATGCGCGTGGCGAAGCTCCACAGTCGCGTGATCGTACCTCTCTGCTAAGGCACGGTAAGCTCTGTAGAACTCTTCCACCAGTTTCATCAGCTCAGGACGTTTCTTGTAGTACATCTCTGCTCTTCTTGCAAAAGAATCTGCATCTTCTTCGATGAGTTTGATCATAGACTTCACTTTGGAATCCATATCTGCATCAAGAAAAACTCAACTCTCTTTAGAACAATACAAAGGAACACAACATTAAGACTATAAAACATGTTGGGAGATAAAAAAGGAACCTGCAAGATTCTGCTGGATCCATTTAGAGTTTTTGGGAATGTGACTATCCCACCACCAGGAGTATAAGCGCCTGGACTCAGAGTGCAACACTGTAGCCATCACTCCGGCTGCAAGAAGCACAAAGAATGGTCTAGGCTTCACCCAAGGGTGGTCAACTGCGAGGCAAGGCTTCCAGGCCAGAATCAACCACCTCTATTTTCCTACTTTATGATTATACAAACTTAGTTCTTTGATCTCTCTATGTCAGACTTTTTCACCTACAAGAACTGAAACAATGCCACACTATAAGCAATTCTTACAATCCCAAAATGGTTTAGACTTAAACAGTAGAAAGGAATCATTAGAACAGTGATGTTAAAAGCTTGAACAAACCTCTAGATTTGTGTTAAACGCTGGATCTTTTACTTTTTCTGGTCTTGTGGAAAGTTAATACCGAATCCTCCTGGAGAAAAGAACAGCAATCTTCAGAGGAAAGAAATCAAATTTACTTTTTTAACACAATACAAAGACAGAGAATTTATAGACAGAGACTCAGAGAGTATATAGTCCAATAATAAATCAAGATGTCACTTAATAACAACATTTAAATTTATAAACAAAGCACTCATAGTTAATCCAATTAAACCCTGAGAAATCAAAAATTAGGAGATGGTGACAATCAAACAAACAAAAAAATTGAAGTAAAAACAAAAATGAAAATTTGGGATTAGAGCAAAAGTCCAATCGAAAATGTTTGTCAAAAGCTCAAAACTTCAGAATTAATTTAAAAAATGGAATCACCAACTAATTCGGACACCAAAGTAACAAAGAAACAGCACTAAACGAAAACTCTGCTTCAGACATTGCAGAAACTAAAAAATGGATCGAGAGACATAAACAAGAACAGAAAAAGTATAACTTGTCGAGATTTTCTCAGATCAAAATCACCAGAAAGAGGAAATGGAATACCTTTAATTTTTTTTCAAAATGGTTTTTTTTTCTTCAGGCAAAACCAGAAACAAATACAAAATGACTCGTCAAGTAGATTGGATCGAAAAATGCGAACTAAACAACGACGGAAAACTCAAAGTATCTTTGCAAGTGAAGTGTCAGAAGAAGAAAAAACGAGAATGGTAGAAGCAAAATGTAAGCAAAGAGAGATCATTTGGGAAGAACATACCAAGCAGAAGCGTTAATGGCAGCGAAATAATACTGAAAGTCATGTCATTGTCTTCTCCATTTCACACTCCCAACAGCTCTTTCTCTCTCTCTCTGTCTGCAATTATATTCTTTCAGATTTGGATTGCAAGTCTTTGCGCGACAAAAATAAAAGATGAGAATGATTTGACGCACACAGTAACTTTTTTTTCTTCTTTATAAAATTAATTTCTTGCCTTTTTTTTTCTTTCTATTGGCTCTTCTTTATTTTGGAAAATGCAACGTAGAATTAGATTTTGTTAATATATTAAGGAGCGTTGATTAAGGTCAGAGATGACTCTACAACGGGTATCAAATTTTTATAATTTGGTGTAATCAATGCAATTAAGGGATTAATGATAAGGTCGTTGTGAGTAATCCTCTCGTTAAACTCGTATTTTTTGAAATTTAGTTTTTAAATTCGTTCTTTACATAAATCGGAGATTGGGAGATTTGGTCAAAGGCTGTTATTAATTGTTTTTCAAATTTCGAAGTTGAGAGACAAATGAAATAATTTAATTTACATATGAAAATGAGTTTATTTTGTTTCGTTTACTGCTGCTGACTCATGTGAAAACGGGATTGGTTTGTGTCTCGTAATTAGTGTACATTTAGGTAACAACTAATGTAGGTTGAAAATTAGATCTGAATCATGAACCAAAATGACAAATCTGTCCTTTTCTCAAACAGTGTTTTTTCTTGGGTTTTACAAAAGGTTGTTCCTTTAAGCTGTCGCCTTCTGCTGATTGTGGCCGTAAAACTATTTGCATTATTTTTGTTGGTCTATTGGGTTCACAAATCATAATTAAGTAGCTAATACAATTGGAGCACAAGTTTACGGGTGTTTATCTGTATAAAATGTAGATCACAAGTTCACATATTTCATTTTATTTTATATGTTTGGAAAAGAGTACAATCATTCCATAAGCTTGTGACCCATTATGACATGTGTTCTCAAGTACTATAACTAAAATAAATGCATATAAACAAACATCTCTTTATATATTAACATGTCAATAATAATTTTTAGGATGTAATTCTCCATATACATATCAAATACAGTGTACTATTTTAATAAATAATTTAAATCACACCACTTTATCAAAAGAGACACGTTAAAAAAACTCTATAGTTCGTGAAATGTTCACGTGTATTAGCTTTTGAATCTTTGATATATTCTTAATTTAATCATATGTATTAGTCCATTACCGAAGGAGTAACCGATCATAGAAGCAAGAGTCTTATCTATTTTTTTCAATTACTTTTATCACTTAGAGCAAAGTGAACTTCCTTCGCATAATGATTTGGTGCGTGTATTAATTTGCTATTTCATGGTGGAAATTCCGGATTTTTCTTTTTGAACGACAAATGTGAACTATAATACCTAAAATATAAATAATTTGCCATATATATGCTTTGAACAGTGATAGATCATTGTTTGAATGCTACAAAAGGTTAAACATACCATGTTATTTAGAATTAACGCCATGCCACTCATTCTTATAAGCCAACCCACAAACTTGATGTTGAAATATATCGTGTATTTATATGTGGGAATGCAGAAATTAATAAATCGCTTAGAGACATTGTGGTTGACAATAAAAATCTAACATTAAATTTAACATGTACCAAACTATCAATATCATTTGTTTTTCTTTTAAAACTAGCCAATATACAGAATTTGTATAGATAAGAACACTAAATGAAGATTGACTGTTTAAAATCCACATGTGCGAGATTCAATTGAAGATTGGTAGATTAGTTTCTGCTGATAAAAGATGTTCTAAATTAATTTCTTTGTAGTTTGTTTTTTCTTTTCTAGCTTCACTTGTGGACCAAACCTACCCCATAGATATAAAGATTCAGCCTAACTCTCTAAAAATCGGATTTTCTTTTGCACGCACATAACAAGCCCACCAACAAACATCAATAGCAATATCTTCAAAATCACAAAAGGGATAACAAAGGGGTCATCAAAGAGATCTCCTAAAACAAAAGAGAAAAGAAAAAGGAGTCACCTGAAAGAATAAAAAGGTAACATGTCTTCAAAGTGTCATATGTTAGAAGAAGCAAATATTTTGTTTTTGTTTTTTCCTTTTTGGTTGTTAAAACTTAAAAGAATGCCTCCCAACACTTGCAACTCTATCATTCTGTAAAGTCCTCTCATTACCAAAAAAAAAGGCAGAAAGATTATGTATATTCCATGGACCATAAGATCATGGGGCCAATGCTTTACCATCCTATAATGATTCTAATTTCTAAACATCAACATAAAAAAGAAATAAATAAATAAACATATGGTTGTATAAAACATTTATGTGTATTGAATTAATGATATATTTGATGAATCCACAAAAGAAGTTAGTTTGTGTATGTAAGAGTATTTAAGCGGTAGGTGAATAGTCAATGCATTAACGATGGTGAAGTGTCATGGTTTAATGGTTGCATTGTCGGTTTGGTAAAGACACATCAACTTCGCAGTTTGCATCAGTAGTTTCCTGGTCTCCTTGAAGCCCACTTCTTATACATCTCCGGTTTATTCTGAACCGGTACTGGTTTTGGGTTCGAAATCCTATACCAAATTGCTTAGCTAGATTATTGAGCTTTTGTTGCTTAGCCGAAGCCCAAAAAAGAAGCCTCGTTTATTTGCTCTTGTTCGTTTTAATTTGGTTAGTGTCTTAGCAATTAGCAAATGAATAATTAGCTAATAAATTCCATTAAACCCTAGATTGATTTCAGAGTCACTGCAGCCGTTTTTCTTGAGAGATCCGATGACGACGATACCGGAGGATTTGGTAGAGGAAATATTGTCTAGGGTTCCGGCCACGTCTCTGAACCGATTACGAGCTACATGCAAACGATGGAACGTTTTATTCGAAGATAAAAGATTCGCAAGAAAGCACTTTGAGAAATCCCCAAAACAGTCTCTCTCCTTCTCATGTTGAGCAAGAACTGCATGCTTTTTCCGATGGGAGTCAATCTCCACGGAGCCATCCCATCTGTAGAAGTGATGAAAACAAATCTTAGCCTACTCGATCCGGATTACAACGACTCATGTAAATTCGAAATATCTCAAATCTTTCATTGTGACGGCTTCTTGTTATGCACCAACAAAGACCAATCAAGATTCGTGGTTTGGAATCCCTGTACCGGTCAAACCAGGTGGTTCAAATTACCTAAGTGTGGCATGTTTAAAACTGATTGCCGCACCTTTGTCCTCGGATACGACGACAGAAGATCATGCAATCATAAGAGGAGATACAAAATCTTGAGCTCTTATCAACGTGGAAACGGTATGGAAATCTACGAGTTTGACTCTGATACATGGAGGAATATTCTTGGTGATGACATCGCTTTAGGCTGTGAAACTCTATTCACTTGGAGCTCCAAGTCTCTCAAGGGGAATGCTTACATGTTTGCTAGAAGAGTTGGAACAAATCATGGACTGTTCTTGCTCAGATTTGATTTTTCAACGGAGAAATCTCGACTTTTGTCTCTTCCCTCTGAGTGGGATACTAGTTTTGAAGCTACACGTCTTTCCGTTATCAGAGAAGAGAAACTTTCCGTGTTATTACAGCTCTTTGTTACGTCAAGGATAGAGATATGGGTGACGGATAAGATTGGTAATGAGACAAAAGAAGCCTTGTCGTGGAGCAAGATCTTATCAATGGATTGGAGCAGCAATACTGAGTTTTCTTTTTTTACAAGTTTCGTGCTAGATGAGGAGAAGAAAGTCGTCATGTGTTGTAATAGACATATATACGAGGACAAGCGCGAAGACTTGGTGTTCATTGTTGGGGAGGATAATGAAGTCACGCGAGTTCATTCTGGTGTCAATACATGTAAAGAAAATGGTTATACAACCATTTTTCATTATGTTCCAAGTTTACTTCAAATCGAGCAAGCTCGAGGCAAAAGGAAAAGAGGTGACTAAAACAAGCTTACCTTACATGTAATCTCTTTTTTTTTGGGTGTTTTTCTTAATGAATCTTGGTCATGTTCTTTGAATAACTGCTATTTCATTAAGATGTGGTATTTTTCAGATGTTTCAACTGTCCAGCGTTAATAAGTTTACGTGTAATAAAATAATGTCATTGTACAAATGATGTCCAAAGAAGAGAATATTATGTTTAAGGTGTTTAATAAAACATATAAAAAGCTTTCTTCTTGTCTCTGCTCAAGCTAGAGAAGATATCTAAAGAAGAGAGAGTGTTATGCTTAATAAAACATATACAAAAGTTTGCCACATGATCATACAGAGAGGTATACACTAATACACATAAGTTCAACAGAAACGTTGTTTCAGTATCTCACTTTCTCTATTTTCTTCCAGTTTGTGATTTTTCTCTCATAGAGTTTGTTGGAAGAGTTCATAAAAGTTTTGAGCGACTGTGGATTGTTTACTGCATCTTCTTCATTACCAAGCTCTTCTATTTGAGTAAGTTGTTTTTATTTCCATTTTCTCTTTTTTTTTCCCATGCATTTATAATATGTTATCTCTTACAAATGCTGTATGGCAATGTGTCTTGAGCAACATTCGATATATGAACACCAAATATACGGCTAGATTTCAAACATATACAAACAAAAAAAAACATATTTTAGCACAAATATATACCACCAAAGTTTTTTTTTTTTTTTTTTTTTTTTTTTTTTTTTTTTTTTACCACCAAAGTTTAATGTATCCATTGCACATATCTCCCCTCAATTTTTCATTTGAACCAAATTTTTCTTACACAAGCAATAAAAGCTCATTCAACTTTAAAAAATAATAATTTAAGAGAGAATAAATAGTGCAACAAAGAAAAACTTAGTGAACACTAGCGTTACATAACGTCATAGAACACAATCACTAAACAGATGGCAGTTTCAACTATTGCATCCCATCCGGTCAAAAGAAACCTTCAATTAGTAATGCACCGGTGGAGGAAGATCAGTACACGGAGCCGGAGGCGTAGCATACACATATGGTGGCGGAGAAGGCGACGGATACACGTATGGTGGCGGAGGAGGCGACGGATACACATATGGTGGCGGAGAAGGTGACGGATACACGTATGGTGGTGGAGGAGGCGAAGGATACAAATATGGTGGTGGCGGCGGCGAAGGTGGTGGTGGTGACGGTGGGGGTGGAGGTGGAGGTGGCGGCGGTGGAGGTGGAGGAGGAGGTGGTGGGCTAGGTGGAGAGCATCCAAAGGAGGCACAATCAATAGGATAAGAAGAAAAAGATTTACATTCTGCGGGAGATCGTTGCATTGGCCTCAAAGGTAAACAGTTTCTACGATCATCAAAATCTTGAAGCCTCAGACAAGCCGGTGGTTCGCCGGAGAAGAAGTTATACGAGTAAGTGAAGTTCTCGAGGCTCGGCAGTCGGCAGATGCTCTCCGGAATGCGGCCGGAGAATCTGTTATGCGCAATGTTTAACTGCTCCAAACTCTTCATATCACCCATTGTCTCCGGCAACGAACCAACCAAGTCGTTGAAACTCACGTCGAAAACCGTCAACTGGTTTAACAAACCGATTTCCCGGTTTAAACAACCGGTTAGCTGAGAGTTCGAGAGAATAACCTCGTGCAACGTTTTCCCCATATTGTAGAAACTAGGAGGCACACAAGATCCTCGGAGATCGTTGTTGGCCAAAACAAGAACCGAAACCGGAGAGTTTCCGATGTTTTCCGGTAACCTAAACCGGAATTTGTTGTCGTTTATGAAGAGAGCGTCGAGGTCTAGGTCAAAGAGTTGGTTAGGAACATGGCCGTAGAACTCGTTGAACCTAATGTCAAGAAACTTTAAAGAAGGTAAAGAGAAGATCACGGAGGGAAACTCGCCGGAGAGTTTATTGTTGCTGACGTCAAGCTCGTGAAGAAGGTTGAGACAGTCAAAAGATTTGGGGAGTTGACCTTGGAAACGGTTTGAGTTGAGATGGAATAAGGCAAGATCGGTTAAGAGACCGAGCTCTATTGGGAGATAACCGGCGATGTTTGCATGGTTTAAGTCTATACCGGCTACGGTTAAGAGGTAAGGGTTATCTAGAGCCGGTGCACAGAAGACGCCTGTATAGTTACAAACATTAGGACCACACCAGTTTGAAGTGAAGCCGTTTGGGTCTGAGGTTATGGTGAGTTTCCAAGCTTGTAAGGCTGCGTAAGCTTTCAAGAGCCTTGGGTTGACTAATGGTGGAAACCAAGGACCATTTGCGAAGCATGGTTTGATCGGAGAAGGAGTGTAAGTGAAAGCTTGAGGAAGAAGGAGGAGGAAGGAGATGAAAGAAGCGGCCAAGAAACGCCATTGGAAGAAGGTTTCTTCTTTCATTTGGAATGGTTTTTGTGTGTGTTTTGGAAATGAGATTGTATATGTATAGAAAAGGGTGTAACCACTTCCGTTGAATTTTATTTATTGTTTTGTTTTTAATGTCGGAAAATAATTGTAGATGAGAAATGTTATTATTTGAAGAGTCAATCTAAATTTTTTGTGTGTTTTGATTGTTTATTAATATCTTTACAAGGAGGATTAATTCAAATGTGATGATTAATAAAGTTTTTTTTTAATAGAGAAATAATGGGTGACAGGAGAGCATTGATTTTGACTTTCGTTGGTTTGGTAGAGAAAGTCAGAATTAGCAAAGAATGTTATTTGATCCCTGATCAGTAATCATGCATCTACATTGTACATTGTCTCTAATCTCTTTATATCCATACGTATCCTATACCAATCCGACTTTCTTTAAGAAGTCAAGTTGTATAAAAATATAAAGACTTCTACTTCTACATGTCAAATATCCGTGTTATATAACACAATCATATCCAAAAGAATTGTTTTAGATCAAATAACCAAATTTAAGACTGTTATTTAACACTTTTCTAGATATGTATTACAAAGATACGACAAGTTCGAACCTGTGTAAACTCATTAAATTTGGGCGCACCGACTGTTGCCCACCATGGTCCCATGGATCTAACAGCTTTCATGAAGCTGATTTAGAGAAAAATTAAAGCAAAAAAACAGGTCGTTTTAACGTAAAGCCAAAAAATTGTAACTCCTGAATTGCCATTAATGACAATATTGGGATATGAACTCTCGAGCTACATGTGTTAGTTGTAGTGTTGAATAGTACACGGATATAACTTTAACAAACAGGCTTTTGTTAGTATAAAATATCATAATCTATGCCTACGTACGAGGCCGCGACAATTGCCTTGTTACTTCGACACAAGGTACACGATCCAGCACATACACTTGTAATATATAATTTCATAGTTTCATAGGTCGCATTTAGTAATATAATCGGGTGGTTGTTACTTGTTAATTACTACCTGAAACACGGTTTGGTAAACTTTTAGACCATTATTATCTAATTATAATATCAATATTCCTTAAAAGCATGAAAGCACAATTGATCACAAAATCCAAATGTTGAAAACTGTGGATTGAGACATAAACAAAATCTCCCCCTTGATCGGTACTTTAATTATAAACTTATCATACAACTTGTTGGTCATTAAGGCTAGAGGTCTTTAAAATTGTGATCTATGTTAAGAACCCACAAAATAAAAAGAATTTAACTGTTCACTAAGTATGTTATTTACGTTTAATCACATGATTCATAATCACCTGAGGGATCGTAATGCTTTTATTTTGCATGTACCGAAATTATTTTGAGGGTTGGCGTGTAGCTAAGAGAAATACGTAGACTTCTGAATATACGTATGTGTACACGTATGTCCACGTATACGCAACTGTTAGTTATATTTTTAAACAAAAAACCTATTTGAGATTTTCTTTTTTCCGTTGATCCTAATCTTCAAAATTGAACTCGATGGCTAGGTCAAACGTTTATCACAATCTCCGATAACTAAGCTACAAAATAATGAAATATTCATAGTTGTTGAAAATCAGTGGTCCTAGCGAGATCACAATCATCGATAATCCTAGTATATTGATATACATGTTTCCACATGGTTGTGGAAAAATAGAAAGTTATAACTTTTGTAGATTTTACTAACTTTATAAAGTTTGTTCTACAAATGTCGCCACAAACTATTACAAAGAAAAATCGCAACGTTTGTCTGGATCAGTCCACTAGAAAAAAGCATTAAAAAATGAATTCTTTATATAAATGCTTCAAAACAGTATGCAAAACAGTTGATGTTTTAAAATTGTACATCTAGAGATCAGGGAGTAAAGCTGAGGAGAATTTACATATGCATTATAGAGGGAACTCTGAAACAATTTTTGTTATTTCATTTCTAAAGCAACCTAAAAAAAAAGTAGTGCAATAGTTTAAAATTCTATTACGGCCCATTACTGAGGTAATCAAATGAAGCATATTGAGCCTCAACTAAAGTAGCGACAGAAAACTGCGAAGACCCATTCAATCGTTGATGAAAATATAGCTTAAGTTCAAGCTTTGTAGTATTGCTGCTTTGTGTGTTGCATCATGCGTTGACACTTTGCCTCACGATAGACAGTGATAATAGTATTAAAGACAAAATGATTTGTGATATTGATGTTTCGAAACGCAATGGAGAGTTGTATGTTTCGAAGTGCTCTAACTATAGTGTTCTCTATTAAACTCTCTCTTAATCGTTTGCTTAAGAATTAGGAGGGGTCTCAAAGACCTTAATGAATACAAACATATTAGTTTTCTATCAAAGAGGATCAAGTTGAAACACAAAACTTGAGGAAGAGATTTAGCAGCCACGGAAACAATGAAGGGTTAGGTAAACAAGCAAACTCTTTTGCTTCAAAGAGAAACGGATCCTTCAGCAGAAAAACACAAAATTTAAGCATCAAATTCAGCAGCTAAGGAAAAATTGAAGTGTCATGTGAATACAAAACAAATAAGACACCGAAAACACAACAGCAAAACCTTAAATACAGCTCACAACATAAAGAACGACAAAAACAAAAACATTACACAAATACACAATACATATTCATCTCAAGCACACACTCAAACCCAATCACACAACACAACGAAGCTTAAACACAAGTTCACAAACATTCAAAAAGTTATTCATTTTGTTGATCATGTTAGTTTGATAATCATTTGAATGCATAATTATTTTTTTGTTATTTGTTTTGTTAAAGAAAGTTATTCATCATTGTAAATGATTTGTTGATAAGTTTAGTGATATGATCATTTTCTTCATTTCTGAAATCTGCGCCCATGATATAATTTTTAGATGCAAAAACTGGTCCCTTACAAGATTTTGGGTGAAGACTCTCTGCCACCAAATCCCTCTTTTAATACTATTCGTGTTGCCTAGTATTGTTTCTAAAATTGTGCTAGATTATGCAATATGTCGAACCAAACATCTTAACAATTACACCAACTCATCTATTAAACGAAGGTCGATAGTAATTTAAGTATTGAACATGATACATGGTCTTATCGTCGCTTGTTTCAAGTCATGCAAATATCCTAAACCAAAAAAAAACATATTAATGGCGCAGCCAAGAAAATTTTGTTTCTTTTTTAAAAGCAAAGCATTGAAACAACAGATCAAAAAGCACTATTGATATACATTTACTCTCATTGTCTTTTTTTTGATAAAAGGGTTTATTTGCTTTCATTGTCACTTTATCACACTCAATAGATCGCAGCCAAATTCACATCTTTTCGCTTCCATCTCTCAGTTAAACCCCGAAAACTTTCTCTCTCTCTTTCTCTGTAAAATGGAAAAACCCGTGCTTAAAACATGGCTATCCGACCCGGTTTTCCGGCCACCGGAAACTCCTCTAGAGCCGATGGAATTTCTCTCCCGGTCCTGGAGCGTCTCAGCTCTCGAGGTGTCCAAAGCCCTCGCTCCTTCAGAAACCTCAGTCGGCGACACCGTCATACTCGAAGAGGAACCCATCGCCGGCGGCGAAACAGAGGAGGACGACCTCGTCTCCGGGAACCCTTTCTCCTTCGCTTCCTTTGAGACTTCTCAGATAGTCATGGATCGTATCTTATCTCAGTCTGTGAGTTGTTTCTCTCCTTTTCCTCTTCTCTTGTCTCTTTTTTTGGTTTCAGGTTTAATAAAAACAGAGCAGTAGAAAACAAAACGAAGAAAGTTGACAAATTTCTTCTGTCCCGATTCTCAATTTCTAAAATTTGTTTCTTTCTGTTCTTAATTTCATCGGAATTTCCAAATGGGTCGTTACAATTTCATGTTATCGGACGATTTCTTGGGTAAAGATCACTTTTTTCTTTTGGTATGAAGCTAAAGATCACATTTTTTTTCATGGGTACTGTTGCTCATGAATCATGAATCTATCAGTGGGATGAGTAAAGGAGACATTTTTTCATGCGCAATCATTTGTAATTACACTTTCCGTAAATGAAATTTGATATGATTTCCAAAAGCACTCATCTTTCTTGAGGGCACTGTAGAGATAAATCACTAAAGTTTGGATTTTTTTCTCTTGAGAGTCAAAAAGCTAACAATTTCACACTGTTGTTTAAATTTGTCTCTCTCGCAGCAGGAAGCGTCTCCACGAACATCTGGTCGGTTTTCTCACAGCAGCGGTCCTCTCATTGGCTCTTTCACCGACAGTCCTCCGATTTCGCCGTCGCAAGTCGACGACGTTAAGGTATCTGAGAAAATAAAACATTCTCATTTATGTTTGGTTGGTTAATCTCGCCGGCAAATTAGAGATAATCTGAGTTTAATTGCTTAAATTGTCTATGCAGCAATTTTGCCGATCAAACAACAACAACACACATAATTTGAACTACTCTCAATTCCGTTCGACGGCGAACGCTCCGGGACCAATCACCGCAACAACCACACAGTCCAAGACGGTGGGCCGGTGGATGAAAGACCGGAGAGAGAAAAAGAAGGAAGAAACACGAGCCCTCAACGCGCAGATACTCGCGGCTGTCTCCATCGCCGGCGTGGCAGCCGCGGTGGCTGCAATCGCGGCTGCAACCGCCGCTTCGTCTAGCTCCGGAAAAGATGAGCAGTTGGCTAAAACGGATATGGCCGTGGCTTCTGCTGCAACACTTGTGGCTGCTCAATGCGTTGAGGCTGCGGAGCTTATGGAAGCTGAGCGGCATCATTTAGCCTCCGTTGTTAGCTCCGCCGTCAATGTCCGATCCGCCGGAGATATCACGACATTAACCGCCGGAGCAGCTACAGGTTTGTTAATCTTTTTCACTTCTCAGTTCTTAACTTTTTGGTAATTCTGGTTTTGACTAATAACTTCGAAATTGATCAGTTTGACCCAAAAATCAGAAATTGATGAAGAATTCAAAATATTGTTCTCACAAAACATCTTATAACTGATCAAATTCCTTATGCATTTATGAGTCTCTAACATGATTCTAAGAAGGGATCCTCTAAAGTTTCAAATTTGATTAACAGAACAGAACTTTTTGGTTGATTTCAAGAGTTTTATTCAGAATTCAAAGTACTCCTTGTAAAAACATGTTTCAAATTGATTGTTTGTGGTGTAGCGTTAAGAGGATTGGCTACATTGAAGGCGAGGGGAATGAAGGAGGTGTGGAACGTTGCTTCAGTTATTCCAATGGATAAAGGAATCAATCATGGAGGCTATAGCAATGTTAACGGTAGCAACTGTAGCTCGAGCAGCGGTCACAGTGGCGAATTTATAGCTGAAGATAGTTTCTTGGGACATTGCAGCAGAGAGTGGCTGGCTCGAGGGTGCCAACTCCTCAAACGCACCCGCAAAGGTAAAAACGCTAATCTTCTCAACAGAAAGTTTGTTTCTTGGATCAATTTGTTTTTGTTGGTCTAATGGTATGGTTTTGGCAGGTTATCTTCATTGGAAAATAGTTTCTGTTTACATAAACAGGTTAAATCAGGTTAGATGATTCTCTCTTTCTTGTTTCTTGTGTTTCTTCGATCCAGGAAAAAGAGATTAAAGCGAATAGAGTTACAGTGAATCAGTGGAAACTTTTGTCCCCCACATGAGTGTGATCTTATCAGCAGAATCAAAAGAAAAATATCAGAAAATAAATAAAGATTTAATCTGCTTTTGTCTTTGGCATCAGTCTTATGGTTTTGTTTGTTGAACATTAAGGTTATGTTGAAGATGAAGAGCAGGCATATTGGAGGGACCTTCACAAAGAAGAAGAAAAGTAAGAGATATCACCCCTTTTATACATGCAATTATCGATTACTAAACATTATCAAGAACACCTTGTGATAGATTTCTCTAAATCCCTCCAGAACAATCATTCAAGGTTCTAATTAGTCAAAGGCAAATAACTTGGTTGATATTCTTATCAAAGTTCTACTAATAAATGTGACATAAACAAAGGTTAAAGCTTTAGGACTTTTGTCACTCTCATAATATGAGAATTCAAAATTTGATGTGGGTCTACTTTGATCTTCGGGATTTGAGAAGAAAGGATAGAAAAGAATAAAGCAAATAGGTATTGGGACTAAAGTGACCATAAGATCAAAACAAAAGGAGATTTCATCTTTAACTGTTTTTTTTCTTGTCTTTCTTTTGAATGTGAACAGCAAACTCTTGGTTACATTCTCCCTTATATTTTTGGCTTAATTTTTTTTCTTTCAGATATTGTGATTGAGGTGATCAAAAATGTTCCGGCTTGGCCAGGCCGCCATTTGCTGGAAGGAGGAGGGGATTTGAGATATTTTGGGTTAAAGACGGTTATGCGAAGGATTGTAGAGTTTGAATGCAGGAGCCAGAGAGATTATGAAATGTGGACACAAGGTGTCTCAAGACTTCTTGCTGTTGCTGCCGAGAGGAATAGCAGATATAGGATATGAAGAAGTAGTTTACGAGAGCTACTATTTTGGGGGGGTAATATCTAACTTTTGGGGCCAAATTAGAATTTGGTGAAAGTTTAGGGGTTAATATGTACTCTCTTCTGGGTAATATGAAATGGGCCGTCGATTAGTAACAAAACCTTTTGATTCTATTTTAGTGTTATTGTAAAGGTTTAATTTTGAAGTTATATATATTTCTTTACAATAACAAAATGTGGTGGTAATCTGGTGGATCTATTCCATTTCCATATTTCTTGGAGATCAAAATAAAGGTCTTACTTGTGTCTAATGTTTGAAATCGAACATCACATTATTGCAATCATGGATTTGGAAAGGGTAAATTTAGTAATAGTGTTAATCCTGTCAATCTAAAGACAATTAATATGCCATGTTATGCTCCTTGAGTGGACACTAATTCTCAAGGAATGACTAATGACAGAGAACACAAGAGGAATAATCTGTTGGTTTCTTGGCACTCAAGGAAGAAAGATCCACGTTTTGGTCCATCATGTTTCGGTGCTTGTTGTTCCTTCCGGCGAAATCTTGGTCTTCGACCATAGGACGAGAAAAAGACCTATGATAATTATAATTCCACCCAATACGCTGCAAAGTATTAAAAAAATACATTATTAATAAATAAACTTCAAGAAATCAATTTATTTTAAGTAGTGTTCTTTTAATTTACCTCCCAACGTGGATGGACTCGCCAAGAAGTGTCGCTGCCAAAAGGGCCACGACGACCAGACGGATAGGGCTGAAGGCGGACGCAAAGACCGTCCCTTTGCGTCAGCGCACCACACCGTCAAAGCGTATGCCACAACGGCTACGTAGACTCCCTACAAGGCAATGTCAAGTGTTTAAAAAAAACGAAAAATTTAAATAAAAATTTACTTAATCAAGTTGTCTTACCGAGTAAATGCTGGTTAGCAGCCTAATGTCCCATCCCATCCCAAAACCTAAGATTGGGTTTCCAGGAGATGAACAAAGTCATACTAACCATGCACCCTACAACGTATTCTAATAGTAGCCTCCTAGCCTATTCAAAATATGAAATATTATTTTGAGTGGGATTTTCTTGGTTTTTAACAATTATATAATGTTGGTAGATGTTAAACCATTTTATTTATTGTATTTTTATGATTTGAAAACATGAATTCAATAATTTTTACTTTTCCAAGCATTTATCAAATTTTATCTTTTACATTTTTGAATTTTGATTATATTGATGTACTAAAAGTATAGCTAAGAAAAATAATGTCTCTAGTCACCATATTTTGTGCTATTTACAATTATTTGTAAAAACTTAGTCAGTTAAAATGTTTTTGTCATCCAATTAATTGACTACTTTGCTAGCAAGATCGGTCCAGTCACATGACTTATACATCTTTGATCTTTCATAATAGACGACACTACGTTTTTTTCGTCATCTAAAATTTTAACATTTATTTCGAAAAACAAAGGCAAAAAAAAGGAAAACAGAAGGAAAAAATTAGCAAAAAAAAAGAAGAATGTGAGCATTTGTATGTTGGAAGACTACTATCATGTGAGGTCAATAAAAAAATCAAATTAATATGTTCAAGGAACAGTATTGAATTTTTCAGAATCAAGAATAACTTTCCCCGAAATCAAACTAATACTAATTAATAAACAACTAAGTATGCCTAAATATGAGTTCAAAATCATGGCACTCAAGGAATGGCTAATAACGGAGGACACAAGAGGAATAATCTGTTGGTTTCTTGGCACTCAAGGAAGAAAGATTCACGTTTTGTAATCATTAAAAACAATGAGGAACATATGTATGACCCCATATAGATTCCACCAATAGTGTTCTGTTTGAGAAAGATAGCCTTCTTTCATATTTCTAAACCTGATTCTTCTATTACAAATCTCACAGGAATCAGTGTTGGTGGCAATGGCGGAATTAAGATCAGCGGTTATATTCAAGCTAGAGATCCAAAGAATGTTCTTCCATTTTTGATCAAGATATTAAAAGCCTTCAAAAAACGATACATCAACGGATATAGATGTGGAAGTTCGAATCCTATCATACAAATGAAAAACATAGAATAATTTTAATCCTCTATAAATTCAAGTTGGCATGTGGTCGAAGCTCGCGTAGAAAGTGTTAGTTCTTTGAGCATCTCAAGATTTGGAACATCACATGAATCATCCAAGATTTTTGCAGTCTCTAAGCGACGTGCGTATTGTAAGATATAAACCGCAATATCTCTCTCTTCTGGACTTCCAAAATATTGTGACCAGTTGAAAATTTGTAGACTCGAGATCAGACATTCCGGCACAATACTTAGTTGGTTCCAGAAATCCATATGAATGCGATCATATTCATGGCCCTGAAAGTCAAGCAAAAACAATTAGATAAAAGCTATAGTAATATGTACATTGGTGAAAGACGGTAATTAATCAAAGAAACTTACGTCCATCATGAAGAGGTCTAGTTCTCGTAATTTAGGAGAATCTTTGAGAAACTGGACAAGGAAATCCGACGAATACTCTCTGCATACACATAACTTTAGATGTTTAAGCTGGTTGAGGGTAAAATCGTTACCATACAAAACCTGCGAACAATAAAAGAAAGGTTGTTAAATCTTAATTAAGAGATAAGTTTTAAAATGGGTTTGAAGACTTGAAACTGACTACCTTTGAACATATTTCCAGACGCTTAACAGATGTGACTGATACGAAAATACTATTGAGATCAAGGATTTCGTGTGCGTCTCCGATGTATACTTCATCTATGTGATCACAGATGACCTTGAAATCCTTCAATGAAGGAGTATCTATCACATAGCCATTTAAATGACACTCCGAAGGTATATAGAGTGATAACCTCTTCAAAGATGGGACAATAATAGTGAAATCTCTCCGATAGTCATAGTAAGGTGTAGACACCAATAGATCTTCAAGAACAGGGCAACTTGAAAGAAGCCGTTGAAAAGATTTGTCATCAACGCGTCTCATATCATAAAGTTGCAAGGATTTCAGAGAGGGAAGACAAGCCATACGAGGAACATCCATGAGAATATCACCACTGAGCTTCAAGATCAATAGCGATTTGCAAGTATACACGCTACTAGACAAAATGTATTTATTCTCCCAAGAATGAACACAAATCTCCAGCTCACGTAGGTGACGAGATGTTGCTACTTGAACCCATAGGTTGCTACTTGAACCCACAGAATGTTTACCTAACTTGAGACAGAAGCTTTCTATAACCATAGCTCTATGTAATGGCAGATTTCTGTCAAGAAAACACTGTAATCTCTCGCTTTTAGCCAGTGATGAATATCTATCACTGAACTCAAGTCTTGGCAACAGCATCCAAACAAAATCCCATCGCTTCGACAAAATACTAGTCGATACAGCCACTTTAGTAGGAACAAAAGATAATATCTTCACGAGCAATGCATCGGGTAACTCACTGATCTTGTCCATTTCTTCAGGAACCAGAGGATTCTGATACCGTCTACAGAAACACCGACCACAAGATAGGATAAACTGTGGTTTTGTCTTTCTTGTTACCTTCCAGAATGACCTTAAAAACAATTAAATCACAGTAAGATACACATGATTTATCTGAAGCGAGCCAAATGAATAAGTAACAAACAAAAGAAAGAGCCAAAAAAAATAAGAGTAGAGGAAGAAAACACAACCCTAGAAAACGCTTGAGGCCCTGTTCGTTTGCACAGTTGGATGCTCCAGCTGGATGATTCAGCCAAATGAACCATTCCGATGAAGCAGCTGGATGTTGTTCGCTTTTTTTTACTCTCATCCGGATGATTCAGCTAGATGGTTCAGTCAAATGATTCACTTGTTTGTTTCTTCAGTCAGATGGACCATTCAGATGCTGATAATGACGAAAATACCCTTATTTTGATTTGAGAGAAAAAAACCAAAATACCCATAGCTTTTTTATCGAATATAAATTCTTTCACTTAAATTATTTTTTAATGATATCAATCTCTGATTAAATAATATCAAAGTCATAAAGCGTGATTCATAATTTTGACAAAAATATATTTTACGGTTTTTACGGAAAAACGAGATTTCGCAATTTTGATCAGAAAACGTAATTTCACTATTTCACTCTTTTTTTTTGTTTTTTGGTGATTTTGTGATTCAAGCAGTAACCCATGATTTTGCAATTTAGACAGAAAAACGGGAATTTCCGGTTTAAATGGAAAATGCCATTTTGCGGTTTCGACGAAAATATATGATTTTACAATTTAAGCGGAAAATGTGATTTTGCGATTTAGGCGGGAAAACGTTATTTCAGCGAAAAACGTGATTTTGCGGTTTTTGCGAAATAAACGTTATTTCGATGGAAAAACTTATTTTGTGGCTTTGGCGGAAAAACGTTATTTTGCGATTTCGACGGGAAAACATTATTTTGACGGAAAACGTGATTTCATGATTTTGGCGGGAAAACGTGATTTTGCGATTTTGGTGGGAAACATTAATTTTTTGCGGTTTTGACGGGAAAACGTTATTTTTTTGATTTTGCGATTTTGCCAAAAACATGCATTTTCTAGGTTTTGGCGGGGAAAACATTATTTTTGCGGAAAAATGTTATTTTGCGGTTTGGTGGTAAAACACAATTTTGTGATTTCGGCGAAAAATTGTTATTTTGCGGTTTCGGCGGGAAAATACAATTTTGCGATTTTTGCGGAAAACGTTATTTTGCGGTTTTGGCGGGAAAAGCGTTATTTTTTCTTTTTCGAAAAAAATGTAAAACACAATCTTGTAATTTTCGTGGAAAAAAAAAGTTATTTCTCGGTTTTAGCGGAAAAAAAACATTATTTTTACTTTTCTGGGAAAACGTAATTTTGCGGTTTAGACGTGAAATATAATTTTGCGAATATTTTTGATTTCGTAGTTTTTATATAAAAAAATGATTTTGATGTTTTGCATAATCTACAGCTTTATTCTTCTATAAATATATTTTTAAGGATATGTTTGATATTTGTTTTTCTGTAATGAAGATGGCTCAGCCAGATGCTTCATTTTGAAGCAGCTAGATGGATCAGCTGGATATTAACAATTTAGCCTAAATTTTTTAAATCTCAGCTGATCCATCTGGATGAGTCAGTTGGATGATGTTCGTTTTTTGTAACTGACTCATCCAGATGGATCAGCTGGATGAGCAAATGAACAGGACCTCAGTTGCCAAACGTCGGGGATGAGGATTCTCTCAACTAATTTGTTTTCATTATTTATATAGAGGAAAACGATGACTCTTCAAGAGAATTCAAACGTCGTTAACTTAATAGTTTGGTCATATAAATTGCATTCAAATCCGTAAATCATTTCCTATGGCTCTTTTGTGAACTCAAGAGAGAGTTAAGAAGATTAGATTCATTTAGTCCATGTTGTTTTCTAGTAAAACACTCATTAATTAGTTTTACATTTCCGTCATTGAACTTTAACAAAAAAAAAAAACAAAAAAAAAATTGGTCAATGTTTTGTTCATTTAGTCCATGTTGTTCATTAACTGTAATAAGACTTGAAAATAAGTACCTTTATTTGTCAAGAACAAATAATGTAGTAGAAAGAGGACCCGCGTGCATGTGTAAAAACCTGACTCCGACTTGGAAAATAAATTAAGAGAAGTTCTGTAAGTAAGACCAACTCGTGTGTTTCGTACGCTTGCCTTGACTTATGTGCACAGCCGTAACACACTAGCATCATTCCTCCATTTTTTTTGTTTTCCATATCGATATAAAATCTTACAAATATATATTTGATGTGTCGAGACTTGCTGCAAAGCTCAAGCTGAAATCTTAACTAAGTATACAAAAACATAATATTTCTGAAAAAGCGCCTACAACTAAAATTGAAGGATATGCATTATAAATGAAGATAACACGGAAGTGAATATTTATCAAAAGTAAAAAGCTAGTCAGACATAAAATCAGAACTGGACATTATTATATGCAAGAAAACAGGGTGTGCAGTACGCACGAGCACATCTGCGAGTTCGTAGTCAAATTTGGTAAAAATTCTGCGAACCATAAATTTCTTGACTACTCTCTCATCTAATATAGATGTATCATCAAATTATATACTATTACTCACTTTTCACATTTATATAAAATAGTCCTGCAATATATAGTCAGATTTGATATTTGCTTTGGTTAAAAATGTATTAATCTACACATGACAGGTAATAGCCTGATGGGTGTCAACTCGAGGGACCAATTAAATCCCATGGGTCATATAGAAGGGAGTCTATATAATAAATCTAGACAAAGGCACTTAATAAGAAATGCTACGTGTATCGTAATGATGACCTAAGTATTTCTTAACAAGATCATCTAAATAGATACTAGTATCATTTATCTTTTTGTTAAAACTGAAAAGTACTTCTTAAATTTTCGTTTTTTTCTTTTCTTTTGATAGTGTAAGAGATTACGATTTAAAAACATACAAAAATGTCAAAAACATACAAACTTTTAGCATCGGTCGGAATTTCTTAAAATCTTAGAAAACCAAATTTAATCAGACAATTTAAAAATAATGACGAGGACTACTAAGAAAAACGAAAGACGAGGAAAAAAACACGTCCATATACATATCCATTACATTCTCATTTCTCAACCGGTAATAAGGAAGAAAAATAAGAGGAAATAAAAGCAATTAATCACAAGAAATGCAAGAGATAAAAACCACTAATTGTTTAAGGATGATGTTAGGGCATGAAGGTTCTTTCGCCACACTTGCAGCGCCAAGCTTCCGGGTAATACTCCAATGGCGTAATCAAACCTTGTTGAATGCAAACGCGAACTGCTTGACACGGCTCACAGTTCCCACACCTCAATCTACACCTCGGAGGCGCGGAGCCTGGCCTACTTAACCGCTTCTGATCAACGATCCGACCCGGTAAACCAGCCCCCCGCCCAAGCCTTTCACCTGGTTTAACGACCGAGTTAATTCACTCACTACTAAACAGGCAAGAATAATTTAAAGAACGTTTTTTTTAAAGGATAAATTAAAGAAAATGGATTTTCACTTTTTTCTTCCTTATTTTAAGCAACAAAACATTTGCATAGGCGAGTTTGCAATCGCTACTGAAGTTAATGAAGCGAATACAAAGTATGCTATTTATAAAAAAAAAAAAAGAAAAATCAGATCAAGGGATAACTTTAATGAGATTCTTACTGAAATTGTTGAGAGAAGATGCGGAGGAGGAGGGGGATAAAAGGAGGAGGAGAGCAAAGACGGTGAGAGTTGGGATGAAACGACGGTGGTGGAGACGGAGGACAACGCCCATTAGCCAGAACCAGTGACGAGGGTTTTTGGGGTTTAGAACTTTGGTCTGAATTGGTCCAAACTCAAAGAGAAATGAACAAGAGTGATGAATAAAGAGAGAGAAAGAGTAAACCATCTTTTTCAATCATTATCACTCGTCTTCAATTAGTTAAACATATTTGAAGCCACATGGTTCGCTTGTGGGTGCAACTATATATCAATTCAAAGTTACTGTGTTGGCTCTGGTGGACCAACAAAACCCCACCACTCTCTCTAAACACAGAGGTTTCTATATACATATCTTTCGTATTAAATAAAAGGAAATGTAGTAAAATTAGTGATTGAGTGATCCACACTCCAACCAACTAGATTCGTGAATCCAACAAAGAGAAAGACAAACAAATTAAATTCACTTTGGAGAAGACCGATCGCTCTTGGTAGTTGGTTCGGATCAAAAAGGCTATCTATTTACTGTTTTTATTCTCTGCATTTAATGTTCACATGGCCTTTTTTATTTTACTTTCTTCACTTTAATATTTACAGTAAATGTTTTTATTGTAGATTTGGAGTACTATTAATGAATTCTACATTGAATGGGAGTATAATTTCAGGTGAAAAAAACTGAAAAACTCATTCTTATTTTACTTGTTCGGAATGGAAAACTAAAGACCGAAGAGAATTCAAACTAAGTTATTACTATAGTTTTATGAAAAAGGTGAGACTTGCTGCGCAATTGATTAATGAGTGGGGCTTAGGTGAGTGCGGATTAGGTTGGCTATCTGAATACTATTGTTGATAATGGTTTATGCTGATGGAAGATTTAGATGTCTATAAAATTCATAGAACTATATAAACATCATTAACAATGAATGGCAGATCTATAAAGACATACAAGATAGATGTTTTGTTTTTTATTTTTCTGCTCAAATAATACATAGAGGAATTATATGATTAAGTTTGTTTTCGTTTTTTTGTATTTAAATTTCTTTCTTTGTTTCTCATTAGTCTTCTGTATCTCTTTCATGTTGCCTATCGGGTTCTTACAAGTCACAAGCTGAAGAAGATACGTAAACTTTACATCCACAAAATCGAAAGGTGGGATCCAATATCATCAATGATATATTTTAGATGACATTCATAACAAAAAGAAAATGATGTTTTGAAAAGAAAAAAATCATAACTTTTAGATATAGACATCTTTAGGAACATGTTGCCAATCGTGTTGACTAAAAGAAGATCCCCAAAATATATAAATGGGCTTCGGCCCAATAAGAGAGACTGGCTAACCTTGGAATGAGGCCAATTTGATCTTCTTTTAGTTGTAAAATCACACGTACTTAACTCTACTTGCTAACACTATTTGATATAAAACGATAACATGTAAATTGTTTATTTTTTACTATTATACATGTAAATTTTTTTGATTAGCATTGGGTGTCTAGCGACCTAATCTCATTAGTGAGCAAATTTGTTGCTAGAAGTTTTCCATAAATTCACCACGGGTAAAACATTCGGACCGAAACTCATGAAACAAAGTGGATCAACAATAACAAACTGTATCTAACAAAAAAAATCGAATCCGAGGGAAGAAATTAACACATTGCCCTACTTGATGATTGATATAAATGTCCGAACCTTTGTAGGTTCTTTATATGATTTTGACAGAAGGGAAATTTAAAAATATATTTTTTAAAAACCGATCAATTGAATAGAACTTGCTTACCTGTTCAAAAATATACAATTTATTATTGAATAAGATTTGAGTAGAGTTGAACTAACTCATGACTTCATGAGTAAAGATTTAAAGAATCTCAATTTCATACAAGTGTACGTTTGTAACGTAGAAGGACCATGCCTTTGAAATTTAGATATTAGTCAATGAAACAAATATATCTCGAGTTTCGCGAACATAAAATATCAAAATATCTTAACAACAAAGTGCATACAAATATCTAACTTCAGGAGAAGGAACATAAATATCTTACTTTTTCAAACACTTTTAAGAGTGAGTCAACATTTCAATGTTATGAAGAAATCATCAAAATCAACGAATAGTAGATCGAGAATAGAATAATGTAAAGGGGTAGAGACACGTGTCGTCGTTCTCCGGTTTCACGTGTTTAGGTAATCACATTAGAGATAATCAAATGTTTAAAATAATAATCGCTTAATGGACATCCAACACGTATCCTACCATTTTTGGATGCTTTAGACACACTCACAAGCGTCGTGTCACTCTCTCAGCGATTTGAAGTCCTCAAAAGCCGATAATGCTCGCACTAAGACAACAATAATGACGTATTTATCTTGTTCCCTAATTAAAAATGGTCCGTGTTTATGAACTTAGCCGTTGCCACGTGTTTGTTTCCCAATTTTGGACCCACTGTTTTCAATATACGTATCTACTTTATCCACTTTTGTTTAATCCAATTATTTTCTCGTTATTTTTTTTTGTTTGTTTATGATAGATTTTAGACTTTAGCTGTAGGGTTATATTAGATTTTATAATTTCGCCTGGTAGAGTATAATAAGATTATTTTTTACTTGGTTGAGATTAACCACTTTGTAACCTCAAAAGTACTATATTTAAGAAAGACAGTAAGTAATCGAACATGTGTACATTTGTGCGACCCAAAACGCGCTTGCAGTGTCGCGTACGTGTGTTACATATGGATGCGAACTTTTTGTGTTAAATTTATTCAAGTTCTATGTTATTATAATTTATAATAATACTAATATAGTAGTAATAGTAAGAGTTTTCTGATTATTATAAGCTAAAGGTAAAAGTGATGATTATCGGGTCTAGTATAGTTTAGTCTATGGTTTTTCCAGGTTGGAATGGTTAACTTGTCGGCTCCTGATAACTTGACACGATAGCACAATTCTAAACACATGTGAGATCTTAAACATCAATAGAAAATTTGGATTTGGATTTGATTTTTCTTTTGAATAAGTTTATTCTATCTGGATTATTCATTTTATTTTGGTTATTAATTGGGAACAGTAAAACAACAAAAGGAAAGAGATGTTGTAGCTTCCGCGTCTTAGTTGATATCATTATAAAATTTCGCGTATCTACTCCTAAATCATTTAGAAAATATAGATCCATGAAAATTTTTTTTCGTGATCATTTACAATAGAAGAATTATATATTTATAGCAGAAATTAAAAGTAATACTGTTTTCACAAAGAAAAAGTCATACTATATATCTGTTGTAATTCATAACATCTTAAAATTATACTATATAGTATTACTTTTTAAATATTAATAAGAGGAAACTAAAAGTTTTTTTTATAAGTTTTAACAAAAAAGGTTTTTTTTCATATATTTAGACAAACTGATTCTTTTTTTAGAGTTCGATTAGGATCTTGTTAAATGAAGAAATGTATTATATAATGGAGTATATTTATCAATAGTAAAGAAAATCACTCTAACTTTTTTAAAAATGTCAACACCAATATTTTTTAAATTTATACCAAATTATTCAGTAAACTCTTTACAAGTCCACTTTCAAGTTTACACGAAAAACCTTTTCATTATTTTTAGTCGCTTTTCAATGATTTTCGTGAAAAGGATATGTATTTGGTGTAAAATAAAAAGGATCTTGACGGATGTTAAATACATGCACTAATACTTATTTTGGACCAATGAGAAGAGAACACGAATACATATTTATGTGAGGCTGTTAAGCAAAGCCGTGCTTATTCTGCTTAGAAAAATACAAAGAGTGAGTCATTAGGGAGTAGAGAAAATATCTCAGGATTTGCTTTTAGCTCCAGCATGTCAAACTATCTAGATGCCAACACAAAGCGCAAATTAAACAATCATATTTCCAATAATAAAGAAAAATCGAAAATATTTTTAAATTTATAAATATACAAAAGAGGAAGGAATCATCATCAAAAGTTCATAAAATGCAATATAATACAAACCCTTTTGCTTCTTTGTCTCTCCCTCTTTCTCTCTCTCATCTCTCCTCTCTTCTCCATATATACTTCATCCTCACACCCCCAAAACTTAAGCATACACAAACTCTCTCTATCTCTGCAAATTTCTTCCAAAGTATTCAACCTTTCAGTTTCCACTTCTCTCAAACCAATTCACATTTTCCTCCATTCCAAAGTGAAGCATATTCAAATTCATTGAAGTTAAATCCACATCACAAGATCTCTTAACTTTTAGCAAACATTGAAACCATATGGATCCTTCATATAGATTCATAAAAGAGGAGTTTCCTTTGGGATTTAGTGATTCTCCATCACCACCATCTTCTTATTCTTCCTCTTACCTCTATTCATCTTCCATGGCTGCTACAGTCTCAAATGATCCAACAACAACATTAAGCTCTCCACAACCAATAGAAGGTCTACACGAATCAGGGCCACCTCCATTTCTTACAAAGACATATGATCTGGTGGAAGATTCAAGAACTAATCATGTCGTGTCTTGGAGCCAATCCAATAACAGCTTCATCGTCTGGGATCCACAAGGCTTTTCCATGACTCTCCTCCCAAGATTCTTCAAGCACAATAACTTCTCCAGCTTTGTTCGCCAGCTCAACACATATGTAAGTCCTAATCTCTCTAAACATAAATATATGTGTTTGTGATTCTGTGTATCTCACGAATCTGATGAGATCTACTAACTCCACAATCAAATCGTGACTGCAACTATATTGAGTCCAAATCTTGATTCTGTGGGTTTTTCCGTACGGTGCAGTCAAACTTTAAAATCGAGTTCTTGAGACTTGGCTTTTGATTGGTGTTTTTCTCGGCGTTTTTGGATGTCATCAGAGTGGTTAATTAGTGTTAATTATAATATATATGATTGCTTGAAGGATTCGTGGGTGCATATATGTAAATGCAAGTGGCCATTACTGTTTTCCGAAAAATCTCTAGACTTATAATAATTTACAGCCCACTTGTGTTTTTTTTTTGTGTCTTTTTGGTTCTAGAGATCTCTTGAAACATTGAAACGGAGTTTATACAAATGTTCTACATTTTTTTGTTAGAAATCTCCAAAGAAAAATCTCTACAAAATTGATTTATTGATATGATATATGCAACTCATTTGTTTATCTCTCTATGCTTATATACAAATGAAATGTAAATATATGAAAACTCTAGTAGCATAAAATACACAAGATAGAGAAAATTTCATGATTTTTTTTTGGCTTTCTAATATATTAAAAGTTGATTTATCCGATCTGAAGTTGAAATTAATCATAAAATCATGTTAATAGGGTTTCAGAAAGGTGAATCCGGATCGATGGGAGTTTGCAAATGAAGGGTTTCTTAGAGGGCAAAAGCATCTACTCAAGAACATAAGGAGAAGAAAGACAACCAACAACAATCAGATGCAACAACCTGAATCTTCTAATTCTCAACAACAATCTCTAGACACTAGTTGCATAGAAGTCGGTAGGTATGGTCTAGATGGAGAGATGGACAGCTTAAGGCGAGACAAACAAGTTCTGATGATGGAGCTAGTGAAACTAAGACAGCAACAACAAAGCACCAAAATGTATCTCACATTGATTGAAGAGAAGCTCAAGAAGACTGAATCAAAACAACAACAAATGATGAGCTTCCTAGCCCGGGCAATGCAGAATCCAGATTTCATTCAGCAGCTCATCGAGCAGAAGGAGAAGAGGAGGGAGATTGAAGAGGCAATCAGCAAGAAGAGACAAAGACCGATCGATCAAGGGAAAACAAATGTGGTTAATGTGGAAGATTATGATGGTGGTGGTACTGGTCAAGGTAGTTATGGAAGGTATGGGAACGTGGACGCTGGATCCTCCTCGGCATTTGTTGATATGAAACAAGAAACCTATGGAGACGTGTCTGAATTCGAGATGTCGGAGTTGGACAGACTTGCTATGCACATTCAAGGACTTGGAGATCAGTCCAATAGGGTAGGGATCTTGGAAGTGGAAAAACGAAATGAAGAAGAAGAACAAGAAGGGTACCAAAAGAAGAACGAGACTTATGGTGAATGTTTTTGGGAGGACCTCTTAAATGAAGGTCAAAATTTTGATTTTGAAGGAGATGAAGAAAACGTTGATGTGCTAATTGAGCAACTTGGTTATTTGGGTTCTAGTTCACACTAGTTTAGAAGAAATTGATACCAACTTGTTTCCTACTAGTGGATAATTTTGGCTTTGTTTCAATTAGGTGAGTCATGGACTAACTTATTGAATTTAGGATCCTCTTCTTGTTTCTTTTGATGTTCTTGCTTTTTGAAATAAAAATGTTTTTTTCAATTTTTGGTAACTAATTTGTCTCATGCCCAATTTTTTCTACAAGTTTACGAAATTATATTATTTTTAGACATATTTAAACAATTCTTCATTACTTTTAGAATTGGATGCTCTTATTTAGGCTTTGAATGGAGTGACCGAACAAATGCAGGAGAGAGACAGTCGGAAACAAATGCAGAGTGATCTGGATTTAATTGCCAATCACCAGTTTTATTACAATCAGAAACAAATGCAGAAATAATAAATGATCTGCATACAGATCAAAACCCTTTGGCTATGAATGGAGACATCGAACTAATACAGATCAAAAGCAGATTAAAAAAAAGTCAGATCAGTCTGCATTGACTCACCAATCATGCAAAAAAGTAGATCTGAGTTTTTGCACGAGATATTTACTTTATTCTGCATGCAGAGTAAGCCATTAAAAAAAATAAAAGTCTGCATGAAGGGAGCCTTTTCGGAGCAGGGGACCTACCGGGGACCAATGAATGTTAACTTTCCAGAATTTTTTTTTGTTTTTGTTTTTTCTTTTTTTTTTACCAACGAATTTCTTTTCTTTTTAGCCTTCATGGTTTTCTTTATAAACCCCCACATATTACTTTCTTCTCATTCACTCCTATTCACTTTTTCTCATTCACTTCTATTCACTTTTATACAAGAGAAATTTATACTCTCTCAAATTCTAAGGTAAGATTCTCTTCTTTTTTTTTCTTTCTTTTTTTGTTACAAATTTATACTTTGATAAGAGATATAATATAAATATTGTATTTTGAATCTCTTTTATGAATATTACTAAACACAATAACCTTCATATCAAAAGAAATTTACAATATATACTTATCTAACATATTCATAATTTTTTTTTCAACAATTATAATTATGCATATTGATTTTTTTTATCATTTTTAAATATATACCTTCATAAAATTAAATAATATTTACATTAATTGAGAAATATATGTTATAATATAAGAAGCTAATGTATTTTATTTTATAATCTATATTTTCAATGTAAATATTTATAAATTGATATAGTTATTATTATATCTATTTGATATTCATTTCATACACATACATGCATTGTGGTTTTAATTTTGTATATAATTAGAAAGTTTCATTTTAATTATTTGCAGGTTGTTTTTTCCATCAGAAGCACTCTCAAATTAAAGGTATGTTTTTCTTTTTATTTTTGTTATACTGAGATAGTTGTGGACATTTTTATAAACTATGTTTAGTGAGTTATATAGTAATTAAATTTTATATCCAAAAGGAACTTATATAAACTTGTTTTACATATTTACAATAATCTTTTTTTCTGCACCAATAATAGTTATACATATTGATTTTTTTTCGTTATTAAATATATATTTTCATCAAAATTAAATATTATTTACATTAATTGACAAAGATATTTTTTTTATAATAAATTAAGCTAATGTATTTTATTTTATAATCTGTATTTTTAACAGTAAATATTTATATACTTCTATAGTTATTATTATATCTATTTGATATTCATATCATTTAAACAAACACATGCATTGTGATTTTCACTTTTTATGTAATTATATATTTTCCTTTTAATTATTTACAGGTTGTTTTATCCATCAAAAGCACTCTCAAAATAAAGGTATGTTTTTCTTTTTATTTTTGTTATACTGAGATAGTTGTGGACATTTTTATAAACTATGTTTAGTGAGTTATATAATAATTAAATTTTATATCCAAAAGGAACTTATATAAATTTGTTTTACATATTTACAATAATCTTTTTTTCTGCACCAATAATAGTTATACATATTGTTTTTTTTCATTATTAAATATATATTTTCATCAAAATTAAATATTATTTACATTAATTGACAAAGATATATTTTTTATAATAAATTAAGCTAATGTATTTTATTTCATAATCTGTATTTTTAACAGTAAATATTTATAGACTTCTATAGTTATTATTATATCTATTTGATATTCATTTCATTTAAACAAATACATGCATTGTGATTTTCACTTTTATGTAATTATATATTTTCCTTTTAATTATTTACAGGTTGTTTTATCCATCAAAAGCACTCTCAAATTAAAGGTATGTTTTTTTCTTTTTTCTTTCTATTTTTGTTATAGGGAGATAGTGTGAACATTTTTATAAATTATGTTAGTGAGTTATATAGTAGATAACTTTTAAATTAGTCATGTTTAAAAAACTGAAATCTTTACTATTTTAAAATATATGCATTTGAGATTTATGTGGTGATAGTATTTACTTATTAGCATTTTAACCCTTTTATTGGATTTAATTCAATTTCAGTTTTAAATATTTTATGAAAATGATATAATAATATCTTAATAATTTACGTTATAAAAAAATAAAACAGAAAACAGATTTTACATGTACTATTTACAAAACATTGAATCATATATATATTAATTTACTCTTCCAAAATTTTAGAAAATAAAGTTATCATAATTTTGAGTTCATCACATTATATATATACATTTTAGAAAATAAAGTTATCATAAAATGCCATATTCAAATTTGTAATTTATGCTTAATATCTTTGAAGCATATATAGTTTGAAATATGTATAAAATATTAGTAACTCATTAAAATAATAAAATACTGAATTGTTATGTAAATACATTTCAGTTTTCTTTTGTTTAAGATTGGGTAAAAAAGTATTTTCGAAAATCAGATTATTAGCATTTATTTCTTCTTCAAAAAATGAAAGCCAAAACCTTTTAAAAGCTAATAGTCCTCAAATAATTTGAAAATGTAATTTACATAACTGCATCAATGATATCTTATTAAAAATACTATATTCCTATATCTTATATATATAATTTGAAAAATCAGTATCTTATTAAAAAAATGTTTATTCTTTCAATAAATCAATATAATTTTCAATTTTTCTAGATATGGCGTCAAATCGTAGACAAAACAGAAATTTTTCCATACAATCAGATACTATTCCTCATTCCGAAGCAGCAGTACGGGTAAGATTCTTACTATTATACATTCAAATTTTTTAGTTTAGTTGGAGTTTTAGCAAGTAATTTAGATTATGAGTTTAAAAAACTTTAGGATGACGAGAACTCCATTTGGACTCATAGACGAGAACGGAAATTTATCGAGTTGTATGACGAAGCTCTTGCTATGAACAATTACCGTTTAAAAGATCCTACACCGATTGGTAAAGAGTTCATAGTAGAGAAGTTCAACGAGGAGTTCGGTCTTAATATAGACTACAAGTTTTTCAGAAAAAAACTTGATCATATGAAAAGAAAGTACAAAAAGTATTTGGGTCTTATACAAAATTCTACGGGAATCTCGGTTGATCCTGTTACATCTGTGATATCTGCATCAGACACATGGTGGAAAGACCGTGAAGTAAGTACTTTTAATCTCTTTTACTCAATTTTTTTTAAATAACTTTACAAAACAGAAAAAATATGTTAACTAAAAACAACATAATTTTGTTGACAGGTATGTAGAATTATAAAAGCATTTCACAGAAAACCTCAGAGTTTTGGGATATTATGCAACGCTGTTTTAGATTGTATGACGTCCACTCACAAACTCAATACTCTGTGAGTCAAAGAAGAGAAGAGATGATGAACGAGGGTTATGCTGATGATGAAGGTTATTTGAATTCGGAAATATATGGTGAGGATATTCAAGACACTCAAATTCCAGAGACACAAGAAAATGAAGAGGGGTATCGTGTTGACATTGATAATCAGACACGCAATTCAAATGAGTTTACTCCAACTCCACCGATTAATATGTTCCAGAATCAAGCTTCCAGAGCTTCACAACAAGGAAGAGTCAGACGTGAAAGTGCTACAAACAGAGTTGCAGGAGGCTCACAAGTCTCATCAAGGAATGGTTCACGAGGAGGTCGCAGAAAACAATCATTTCAGGCAACTCTAGCAGATACAATGGCTGGTTTTAGAGAGTTTCAACGCCAAAGTTTACAACAAATGCGTCCAAATTCTTTTGATCAAGAAGATTACGATGAATGCGAGATGGCAATCAAGATATTCGAATCACTCGAAGTTCAAAAAAACAGTGGATTTTATTGGGCATGCATTCAAGCATTGAAAGATGAAAGATTTTGGCGTAAGCATTTCATCGATAGAGCCGATGATTCTGACGAAGATAAGCTACAGTTTTTGCAAGCTTTGACAGGATATACACGAGATGGCGAATATGTTGGAAAACGGCTAAATTCAAATCAAAATTGCAGCAGCCCAAATTTTGGAGTTTTTGCTTCTGGTGGTCCATCTTTTGGTACTAATAACTCATGGGGTCAAACTCCAAATGGACAATGGAGTCATGGTTCTCAACAATGGGGCACTCCTCCAAACGCTCAGCAATGGGGTTCATCATCAAGTATTCCACAATGGGGTACTCCTCCAAATGCTCAGCACTGGGGTCCATCATCAAGTGTTCCACAATGGGGCACTCCTCCAAACGCTCAGCAACGGAATACTCCACCAAATGTCCCACAGTGGAGCACTCCACCAAATGTTCAACAATGGGGTTCATCAGGAAATGTTCCGCAATGGGGTACGGCGAGAAATACTCAACAGTGGGGTTCATCATCAAATGCCAACCAATGGGATCCATCATCAAGTGCTCAACAGTGGGGTTCATCACCAAATGCCAACCAATGGATTCCATCATCAAGTGCTCAACAGTGGGTTTCATCACCAAATGCAAATCAATGGATTCCTCCGACAAATGTTCAGCGTGGATTTTCACTAGGACCTGAAGTAGAAACTACAACGATTGGTCAAGTAGAAGTTTCACGTGAATCAGAGATTCGTACTTCAGAAAATGTTCAGAGGGGAGTATCACCTGAATTCGGTTTCACAAATTATTCTTCAGAAGCACAAATACCAAGATCAAGACCGCGGAGAGTAGGAGGATTATTCAACCTTTGGGGAAATAAACAAGGACCAAATTTAAATGAAAGTCATCAAAGTCGTTCAGGATCTGAAGATTAGTTTAGTACCACTTGTGTTTTGTTATTCATATTTATGCAAGTTGATTTAAAAATATTTAATATGTATTCTTGCTTTCGAACATTGCATTTTCTTATCAATTTTATTTATGATTTGTCTTGTTGCAATATTAATTATTTATTATGCTTTTTGGTATGTTTTATAATATATAACTATTATTTATTTTTAATGATTGAAATTTTTATCAATTTGATTTACGTGTTTTTCATGTTTACAATTTTTCAGGCTTTTCGTATATGTCAATTGCGATCATATGGTCTGCACAATCTAAGTTACGAGGAGAGAATTGAGTTGTGGAATTTGGAAAATGAGCAATTTGAAGAATTAATAATTCAACCATCATTAAGTTACTACAACCAATATTTTGAAAGAGGACCGGTCCAGACAGGTGGCGGTTTGGGATGGAGAAATATTTGGCGTCGGCTACAAGAAGATGATGCCGCTTGTCTTCAGTTATTACGGATGTCAATAGGTGCTTTCAGAACATTATGCGATAAACTACAAACAAGTTATGGTCTACAACCAACAATGAATATAGGTATTGAAGAGAGTGTGGCCATGTTTCTACGGATATGTGGGCATAACGAAGTTCAAAGAGATGTTGGATTACGATTTGGACGGACGCAAGAGACCGTGAATAGAAAATTTTTTGAAGTGCTTAAAGCGACTGAGTTACTTGCTTGTGATTATATAAGGACTCCAACAACCCAAGAACTACGACAAATTCCTGAACGACTAGTAATGGATCAAAGATATTGGCCATATTTTAGTGGATTTGTTGGCGCCATGGACGGAGTTCATGTTTGCGTTAAAGTGAAGCCTGAAGTTCAAGGAATGTACTGGAACCGGCACAATATAACTTCATTTAATATAATGGCGATATGTGATCTCAATATGTTATTCACATACGTTTGGAATGGAGCACCGGGATCATGTCATGATACATCAGTTTTGACAATGGCGCAAGAAAATGATTCCGATTTTCCTTTACCTCCACCAGACAAGTATTATTTAGTCGATTCTGGCTATCCAAACAAACAAGGTTTTTTGGCTCCGTTTAGATCTTCACGGAACGTGGTTGTTCGCTATCATATGTCACAGTTTGAAAGTGGTCCTCCTCCTAGAAACAAGCAAGAGTTGTTTAATCGATATCATGCATCTTTACGTTCTGTTATTGAAAGGACTTTTGGAGTATGGAAGAAGAAATGGAGGATTCTTTGTGAATTTCCTAGGTATGATAAGAAAGTTCAAAAAAGAGTGGTAATGGCGACAATGGGATTACATAATTTTATTAGAATATCTAATTTTTCAGATGAAGATTTTGCTGATGAAGAAGAGACACAGAAACTGGTAACACAAGTTCTATGATAGAGCCAAGTGATGTAGCAGAAGCGGAAATAGGAGAAGGAGATTTTATGGCTAACATTAGAGAACATATTGCGAGTACACTATGGGCAGACAAAAACAATTCACGTTAGGTTTTTGGAAATAATTTTTTGTATGTTGTAATGGAATTTAAATTTTAGATAATGTCTAATTTTTTTAATTACTTGTTTTTAAGAATTTTTTTTACATATATGATTTGAAACTTTTCATTTTTTTTCTTATCGTTTAATCAAATATGATATTCTATAACTGTTTAACTTATTATATTTGTTTATATGATAATATCTGATATGGGATCTGAAAAAAAGAAAATTACATGAGTTTATATTATAGACAAATAATTATACTCTGTTATAATTGTTGCAGTATGTTTTAATGGAAGTTACATTTGAAACAATAATTATTCCAAACCTATTTATTATAATAAATATATTGATTGCATCTATAATTGTATTTTTAAAAATTATTTGATTTATATTAATTTACGATTCATTTATTCGTTAGATTTGCTTCATTTGTTACATCGAGTTTTGGGTTTTCAAGTTTATAACTATAAATTCCGTTTGGATATTTTTATTTTTTGAGCTAGGTTCGGTTCGGGTTTTTCCGGATTTGAGTCAGGTTTGGGTATTTAAATTACGCAAAACTTATTTAATTTCAGTGAAATATATTTGATTTTGACATAAATAACTAACTATTTTTAATATTTTGTGGTATCTTTTTTAATTTTCCAAACTATATATAAATAATTTTCAGGTTATGTAATTATATTCTGGATATTTATTTTAAGTTTTCAGTTCGTTTTTTGGTTTAAAATATAAGAACTAATTCTGGGTTTGGTTTTGTTCAGTTTCGTTAATTGTTTTTATCAATTTTGAATCGGTTTTTAAAGTCCTAGCTCTAGCTAGCACTAAAGGAATAATATTTAATTTATTAGGGAAAATAAAAATAAATGAATATTTATAATCTTTAAATAACAATTTTTTATATATTTATTGTAGTAATTATATTTCTTGCATATATAATTGTATTGTTGTTTTAAAGTTTTCAAATTATATATTTACATTCTTTTTCGTTGTTTTATAATTCAATTAAATATGATAATTCGTTAGATTTGTTTCATCTGATATATATGTTTGATACGCATTTGTTCTGTATGCAGATCATGATCTGTATTTGTTCTGTATGATCTGTATTTACTGTTTGATCTGTATATTTTGATCTGTGTCACCATTCGAAGCCTTTGTAATTTTTGATCTGCATTCAAAATGGAGAAATGTGTTAAAAAACCACATGATCACGTACATATCAACTTTTTTTTGTTTCTTTTTTTTTATTTTTTTCTCTCTCTCAATTTAAGTATTAATTACTATCTAAAGGTGCTATTATAATTAATATTTAAAGCATTTTCATTCTAAAATCTCTTAAATCACTAACATATTATATAACTAAAATACCCAAATGAAATTATATATCTTTAATATATTATAAAATATCAATTCAAAATTATATTTAGTTAACAGTCATATTTATAATATATAAATTATTATAATGAATTCATTAGTATTATAGATTTATATCAATGATATGGAGAAAGAGGTATTATAGCAAACATTATAAAAAAAAATTGTAAATCTACTATAGACAAATAAAATACTTGATTATAATATTTTCAGTATGTATTAAGTATGGGGTTCAGATTATTAGGTCGAATTTTGATTGGATATTTTGGGTTTTGGCTAATTATAAATTTTGTAACGAATTTGGTTAAGTTCTTTTCGAGTTTGGGTTTTACTGGATGTACTTTCGATTCGGAACCTATTCATTTACTTTATCATCAAATATATATGGTAAGTAACCGAAATAGTTATTTGAAAATCTGGATTTCTTTTGAAATAACTAAAAAATCAGCATAAAAATATGAAAGTAACTGAAAGTATAAAGTAAATAATCTGAGAAAGTAATTGAAATTACTTAATAATAATAAAATAATACTCCCTCCGTTTCAGTTTATATGTCGTTCTAGCCTCTCTTTTTTTATTCTTATTACTTGTCGTTCTCCTTCTTTAATGTAACTTTTGTTGAAGATTTACAAATATAACCTCAACTAAAATAATGTAACGTGTTAGAATATATGAAGAGTCCGTTTATCAAACTGCAGTAAATGTGTGGACTTGGCTTAACATTCCTCTGTTCCATCTCGTTAAACAATCCAATCGCTTCTTCATACTTCAAAGCCTTCCTCTTTCATCTCTTTGTAAACCTCAACAACTCTCAAAAGATTCAACTCCTGACCCCAACCTTTGAGTAAGAAAGTGTAAGACTTTACATCAGGATCAAATCTTTTCTTCTTCATTTTGTCGAACACCTTATGTGCATCTCCAACGTTTCTGGATTTGCTTAAAGTATCAAGCAATCGATTGAAATCTGTGGATTCCATCGTAGTACAGGCAGCAATATAGTTAGTCTTTGATCTGTGTATTACAGATCTGTGCATGAATCTGAAGTATAACTTCTAATCAAAATCAAGCTTCATTCATTCTCTTTAATTTCACTTCTTCTCAGTTTATCCATGGTGAAATCAATGCTTTTGCAAAATAATTGGGCTAAAAAAAAAGCTTCGTTTTTGTGTATCTTAGACTCTATCGGAGAAGATGACTTTGGTAATTACAATATATATTTAGAAAATAAAAAGGAATAACATTCAATTCAATATAAATAAAACTGTAAATTGTTATTATCTGTGAGGTTAAAATTGTCAATTAATAAAGTTTCTTAATTTGTGTGCATTGTTCTAGAACGACATATAAACTGAAACGGAGGAAGTATGAGAAAAGTAATCAAAGGTACTTGCAAATTTATTAGGGAATATATATTGTAATCAAATATAATATATGTATTATAATAATTATATTTCTTGCATATATAACTGTATTTGCTTATTATAGAATTTTATTTGTATTACTTTTATCTTGTTTCACAATTCAAGAAAAAATAAAATTTGTTAGATTTATTTTATCTGTTACATATGTTTGATATGCATTTGTTCTGTATCCAGATCATGATCTGTATTTGTTCCGTTTAATCTGGATTTACTGTTTGATCTGCATTTTTTGATCTGTGTCACCATTCGAAGCCTTAAAGTATGTTAAGATACCATCACATCATATCAACCGTCAAAGTTTTAAGATAAATTGTTCTGAGTTAAGTGAAAGTGACGCATAATTTGACTCATGAGGTTGACAAGTTTTTTTGTGATTATTTGATTGTAAATGGTGCTAAAACTGTCTTAGATATGTGTATGATGTATGGTAAAAGTTATGTACACTGTACACATGTTCACTGTTGAAACAAATGCTAACACTATATGAACTAATAGAGTCAGTTTAAAACTAAAAAGCACTAAACGAATTCACTGTGAGAAAACATGAAACTACATGAGCTAATAAATTGCTGTTCAGTACAATATGCTAACTAAAAAATATAACCTTACTTGTGACCTTTATGGTGGTCGACTAGTGGATGACATCTAATGAGATTGATATTTGAAGTTTGCACCAAAATTCAAATCTTGTAGCTCTAATAGTTTAGTAAAAAATCAATTGATGGTTCAACCTTTATCGATTCATTATGTCTTGTGCATTTATCAACTTACCTGATTTGTTAAAAGAATGTGATATAGTAGACGTAAAAGTGAAACACGGCTTGAGCTTTTCATATTAACACTATTTAATTTGCTCTCCTTTTTCTTTTTGTGAGTGTGTGCGCGAACAACACTATATTTGGATTTACTTTTCATTTACACACTTTTGGGAATCTCAGGGCACCTTCTAGGCTTCTGCCTTCGTATTCTCTACTGTTTTTTTTTTCCTCTTTTTTTTTTTTAACAAGCTTTAGTATTTCTTAGTATAAAAGTAATTAGTTTTCATTTTTTCCTCGTGTTGCGGAAATGGCAAGCTATCCACTGGCTTTTGATCCTGTCATAATAATCATTGTCTGAACTCTGAATATATATATTTCCCGAAACAGACAGCTATATAAGAATTTGCTTGTTTTTTTTTTTGTTTAAATGTATTTAATGATCAAACAAATTGCAAATGGAGAGATAACAACAATATTACTATATTAGTAACTATAGAAAAATAGGGTAATAACTGGAATACGATAAAAGATAGCTGATGGTAAATTAGATAGTAATAAGCAAATAATACATCTTTCGCCGTAATGGCTAAGATTTACAACCTATATAAAATAAGCAAAAGAAAGAGGGGTAAGAAACCACTTATAACAAAATAATAAAGATGACACACAATCTAATGGCAGCTGGATGCACAAAATTAAGACAATCGCATAAAATAAGCAAAAGAAAATGGAATCGGAAGGGAAGGGAAGATTGAGTTTATTTATCATCGGGGATGCAGAATCTTTAGTGTCAAAGCTATAGCTAACGTAAAAGAAAAAGAAAAAAAAAAGCTAGCTATCTTTTTTTGTTTTTAAAGGACATAGCTATCGTTTGATAATCATGGAAAGAGACTGCATACAAGTTGTGGACATGCTTGAAGGAGATCTCTAGAACATACATCACACAGGACAATATAATCAATGACATTCCATAGTGGACGTAACGATTTATAATAAGATTGCGACTAGTGTCCCGCCTACACAACAGAGTGTCAGATTAACTTGCTATAATGGCTCATACCCAACAACAATTATCTACCTGTTTTGAATTCCATCCGCAACGTTTTGATTTGTCAAAATACTCGAATATATATAATGTCTTAAAATCTGGCCCAAAAAAGAAGAAGAAAAGAATAGATGTTAAATATATATATATGTGGTTGAAAAGAACAAAATCTAGTTACCAACACTATATTCATGAATCTAATCCTTCAAAAGAACCAAAAACAGCAACAGAAAAGGAAGATCTAGGGATGGTAACATGATTATTAATTAAGGAATGGACAAAAAAAGAAAAAGCAAACGACATTGATAAGTGGGAGTCACGTAAAATCAGTTCCAGTCGCTGTCTGTTAAAAATTTAAGATTGCGTTTGCACGTGCTCTGCAGACTGCAGTGCTGTTTGCTTGTTTATTTCATGACTCACTGAGTCATTTTTGCCCCATATCTCGCTCCTTCATTGCTACAAAATAGAGAGAGATGAATTTCGTCCAAAAAAAAAAAAAAAGAGAGAGATGAACATTTTAGAGGCTTTTTATTGAATTGTGCCCATATCAGACTCACATACTTCTTTTTGATCACATAAATTCTACTGATCACACCAAACTCTTTTATTGATCTCACGTGAATCATATATATAACTATGAATAATCAAATTCATTAATATAAGATCACATAACTAATCCTTTTTCCATTGCATACATTTAAAGAAGATTATTGTTCCAATTGGATTAAGAAAGTAAGGGCTTTCCAGTTGAAGTTATTGGCCCAATTCTTGGGTGTATAGGGCCCATTATTTACTTTATCAAACGCACGCTCGTTTTCTTTTTCAATATTTAAGCACTTGAATATACAATTCTCAATAATTTATTCACTACATACACACAATTGTCAGGAAAAGTTAACAACTTTAACCAGTATTTGTCCATCATCTAAATTTTTCACTTAATCTCTAGCAAGCATGTCATTTTGTAACTAGAAGCTAAAAAGAAACAAGAAAGTTCAGAAACAAAATTACCTGGCAAGAAAAAGATTTACCCTCTCATCAACTTGAGTTCCGCAGGCGATTTAATTAACCTCAGCTCATGTGTCAAACTTGAAAGAGCTTTCACTTTGCCAAGTCTGTGCATCTTTGCAAGGCCATTTGAACAGTATGAAACACTTTCGAAGAATTTCTTGTCATCTCCGAAAGAATCTGAACATAAAAAACATGAAAATAAAACTTGTGAGTATACTCATATGTGAGCTGTAAGTTTATAGTTTATACCTGTTAAGACGTCACGAGAACACCATAAAGCGAAGCACACTGGAGAGAGAGATAAAATGAAAACCAAATGCTAACGAGATAAAATTGTTTTATTGGCGGAAATCCTAAATTCTTCATGAATCCATCATACTCATACAAGTATGAGTAATAGCATCACTACCTGATATTTGGCCTTAAGATTCTGATTCATATTGTCCTTAAGCTTCTCCTGTAAAAAACAGAGCTAGTAAAGAACAAAAAAGCTAACAAGGTATCCATAATCATTGGAACCATGCTATGAAACTCGAGACTAACAACCATTAGAATCCAGAAGCACACAAACTACTTCAATAAAAATAGTTGGATTCTTTAAAGACATAGCAAAGTCAATGGTGAAGCATTTCAAGACGGAGCAAAGTCAATGGTGAAGCATTAGAGATAAGCATGAGATACATAACATTTTCAGAAATGAAGAACTAACCGCACATAATCTTGCTTCCTCGCAAATCTTAATTCCATCTGATCTCATGCGTGATACAATAAAAATTTCTCTTCCACTTGTTTCAACGCCATTCTCTTCTTCCTGAAACATGTGCAAAAGGTCAAGACTAACAAAAAAACAACATTGTATTAAAAATGAGAAATTTTCATCAAACCATTTACTAACTAAATTTACCATCGCATAAGAAAATATCTAACCAAAAGCTTAAGCAAAATCAAATGCATTCAAGTTTCTAGCTAGTGAACAGATACAAAGAGAAAATATAGGTTCCAGCACAAGCAAAATTTGTATACTCAAATCAAAATCAAGCTAGTTAACAATATTTTTACCTGGTGAAAGAAGAAAATGAGTTGGAAATTTTAGCTTTGTAACAACGCTTTTGGAGATGACGACGAGCAATTCCCTTCTCACCAACTTTTGTATAAAACTTCAATGCGAGAAATTTAGGTTGTTAGAATCAAAAATTTGTATCAATTTTCGATACTTGATAAGAAAACGCAGCAAAAACTCAAAAATTATTACGAACCTCGGAGATGAAAAAAGCTTATGGATCTCTGTAAATGAATGGTAGATTTCTTCTTGTGCTTTCGAATTGGAGTCAGAATGAAGAATATAAGAAGAAATTTGTATAAATCGATGAATCTGTGAAATTGAATCTCTCACCTTCTTCGAAGACTGAAGAAATCGCAAATTTCTGAGAATCTGAAAACCTAATCTGAGAAATTGAAAAACAATACTAAAAGATAACTTATTTACATTTTGGGCTTTTAATCTTACAATTACAGAAGAAATGTTGACATTAAAAACTCATCTCTTTTAATTTAGCATCATTTCTTAACGTCAGTTAGTAAACTGATGCTAATCTCCTTCCTTTGAAAAAATCTAACGTCAGTTTGAAAAGTGACATTAATAAAATGACGCTATGAGACGTGTTTTTTGTAGTGAATAACACACTCTTTTTCCAACCACTACGCACTGTTGTTTTTCTGGTTGTGTAATGTGTACAGTAGTATATCCATTCGGAAAAAAAAAATGTGTACAGTATAATTCTTGCAAAATAGGATCTGGTGTCATTTTTCTGAAAATCTTGCAAAATAGGATTTGGTGACATAATATTTAATTATGTCAAACGTAAATTATAGGGTTTGTGATCAAATGTCATAGATTTTTTCAAAATTTTAAAAATATTATCTATCCGCCTCTCCAAATAGGCAAATACTATTATGGATCGCTCACGTTCATTTCACTTGTTTTCTTTTCCGTTTCCAAAGGCTCACTTGACTTGTTTCAAAAACATTTATCGTCGGCAAATAATGACTTCATTGGCTATAATGCCCAATAAATGCAAAAGTCGATAGTTGGTGAAATGGTGTAATGTCGTTATTTGTTAGGTTTGTGATCCCTAATTATAATGACAAGCCATAAATGTTGTTGTCATCGTAAACCAACTCACGGGACGAGAAGTTCACAGACTAAATCCCTCTCTTGCACATTTTGAATCATTATAATTTCTTAAGTTATAATCCCATTAATTTCAATGAACATCACTGCTTTTACTGATTTAAATTTAAAGTGCTTTACCCAAAGTTTCAGATCTCACTAATACATATGTAATGACTAATGAGACACACAGTAGGCATAAACACACGAGCAAACCAGACTACTTTACAAATTACAGGGGCAAAACTGTAATATAACATCCTCCCCCAATGAGTTTCTTCGTTTCCTCAGACGAGGGTCCCACCCTTGACAAACTCGGTGAAAGCCAACGCCACCAAACCGAGCATAGCGAAACGTCCGTTCCAGAGCTCAGCGTCTGACGTCATGATACCGTCGGATTTGGACTCAGCCGTTATGCCCTTGAAAAGCGGCACAAGCGACGCGAGCGTCAAGATCGCTGTCGTACCAAGGAACCACGAGACTCCACCGTCGGAGATCTGAGCGAAGACGTTTTCACCCTTGGAAAGTTCAACCGCTAACGCAGCCACGAACCCAACCATCGCTAAACGTCCGTTAATCCTCTCTGGTGCTGGACCGCTAAACGCTAGCAAGTCGCTGAACTTCGTGCTCACCTATATTTCGTCAAACCCAAAATTATTACTTAGCATCACTACAGATAATTCTATAATCATAATCGGGATCTTGTGTGTTCTAACTTTATTTAAAGAAGATTTTTTTTTTTTTTTAATTAATTGTATAGAATTACTTATCTTTACGTACGTCTATACATAATTCATTTCTTTCTTGATGTTTGGTATTGCATAAGTTTACGTATACACAACATAAATAAATGTATTGTAATTTTTTTTTTTGTAAACTATCTCTTGCTACCAAGATTTAAACTAAATGGAACAAATTAGAATAATCATAAAATAAAGATATATTAAGCGTTGTAAATTATTTAATTTAATGAAATGAAAAGTATAAACAATGATACTTCATCAACCACCGTTAAACAAAAATTATACCTTAGGTTTCCTCGGAGGAGGAGGAGGAGCAGGCGACGATGACTTAGGCAAAGGCTGAGACGCCGAGGTCGAAGGTGCAGACTCATCCTTCATGGGATCTCCCTGCAAAAGTCAAACAATCAGACGGTCAGGATTTCACATTAATATGAGTTACATGATAACCGTTGGATTAGGATCTAGTAGATGAAATATATACGTACCTCAGCCATGCACCTCACTCCCACCGGGTAAGTCCTCTTGAAGTTAGAGAAGTTTCCGGCGAAGGAAAGCTTGTTGGTGTTGATCTTGCGAGTGGTCAACCCACCGGCGAAGACAGATTGCATGTTAAACGACGCCGTTGCCATTTCTAAGAACTTTTTACTTGTGTGAAATAGAAGAGGAGTTTTAAGTATGAAGATCACTTAGGTAATTGAACTTTTAAGTTAGATCTTGTGTAGAAGCTTGATATGTGTAATGAAAGAGCAATGTATGTATTTATAGGAAAGGGTGATGAGAAATGATAGGTCGAGTTGTTTCCTGAACTTTCTTTAGGTATTTTACTTATTTAGCCTTTCATTGATTAACCAAAGTTTCTTGTATATATATATTGTCATTCGTTCGATATATACATACAGTAAATTTTTAATTGTTATACAAATAAGTTTACAGTTTGGACTACTATTGTTATTGTGCATGACCGACATGTGTAATGCATGCTATTGCTTCATGCTTTTTGTTAATACCAATTTAACGAGTAGTGTCAAACTTCGTTAAGGAAATCACCTAAAAGAAAACGTACGTTTCTATGCATAATTAGTCTGTACAAATCATCTACGTTTTCATTTCCATATGAAAGCGAAAACATGGTAATTATTTTACTCGGATCTTACAGGTTCCAACATTTTTGGACGACCTAGATATTTGTTTTTCTGTTTAAGACAAAGCTGAATAGTATTTGGCCGCTCCAAAACGAAACACGTAGGCTAAAAAAGTGAAAAAGAGAGAAGCTGCGATATTTAAAGAACCACGTAGCTGTAGATTGACCCACACAAAACTTTTGAAGGAAAAAGAGCAATTAGTCGATGACGTGGTGCTCTTCTTCGTCACAGCTTCTTCTTCTTCTACCTTTTTTTTGCCAAGTGGGTTTGGTAACACACGTTAAAAAAGATTCTCTTCATCAACTAAAATCATGTGGCTCACAACAAGTTATACAGTCCTTTCTAGAAGATGTTTAAATTCATTAACACATTTCTTTTTTGCTTTTGGAAGTTAGCTAAGTTGGGATCGAGTGAGGTCCATGCTTATTCTTGTCGAGTCCGTGACTTGACTCTCTGTCCCCCGACTACGTGGCCCATCTTCACTCCATTAGTTTTTTAACGGTCATTAATTTCAACATTTCAATAACTTGCTATTCAAAATTTACCGTCCGTTGTATTAATGTAAGGGTTAATGTAACTAAGGAGACGAAGAATTAATCAAGATTTAGAATGTCTACACATTATCTCTCTCAAGGTTAAAAAATTATCTTAACATCTTGAAATCTTAAGTTTTACTGCCAATGATTAAGTGATTTAAGTGAAACATAATTTTCATAGCAACTAACATGCTATGGCTCATGGGTCAAAAAAATGGAAGAAGAAGAAGCTAAAAGGCTTGTATCGGACGTCTTGTTGCAATGCTGAGTGGTCTGATGTTTTTATCCAAGCCCAAAGGTCATAACGGCCCATGAATATAGCTTAACCTTAATTATTCTTTTGCCATTACATATTCCTAATGTTTGCCAAATCTCCCCAAAGTTGACAATAGTCACAATCTGATCACTTTTGTGGGTTCGTCTCTCCCATAGCCATAGTCCATACATTTTTGATATGGTATGGTAACACAATGAAAGGAAATATGAAAATTATTTTGTTTATTTTGTTCCAAATGTATTTGGTTTGTCACTTTTGACATGCATTACCGAATGTTTTTGTTAGGCCAATTTTCATGATTTTTTTTTGTTAGGATTTAACTTTTATAAAACTGAAAGTCAAAATCGATCCGAAATGTAAACCGGATGTCCTACAACTTTAGGATAACGTATCATTTTTAGAGGAAACTAGAGAAATTTTTCATTTTGGAGAAAATTAGACCAAAAGATTATTTTTAAGGAAAGTTGGGAAAATTTACTGTTTAATTATCTCATAGTCTTTAATGTTTTAAAGACCAGAAGTCGTTGACCAGTTACAAAATCTGATCGTCATAAACCGGATTTGGTTTCTGGTTTAGTCATCACCTACGCGCAATTAAATTCTCTCGTCTTCTTCTTACGCTCGGCGAAAATTTTCTCGAGAAAAAACAAAACGGAAAATTTTTGATCGAAGGGGAGAGAGAAGAGTAAGATCTAGAACAAAGATGGAGAGGAGACAAGCGAGGAATTCGAAGATCCATGTCTGTTTCTTAATCGGTCTGATATTATTGAATTCGATCGATCTTATCTCGTCGCTCTCTGTAACTGTGAGCGACGACGAATGCGTCCAAGAGTACGTCCTCTACGAAGGCGATACTGTCTCCGGAAACTTCGTCGTCGTCGACCACGATATCTTCTGGGGATCAGATCATCCCGGTTTGGATTTCACGGTGAGTTTGATAGATATATCTTATAATCCACTGATCGATAATCCCGATGCTCTGTTGATAACGTTTCCGTGAAAAAAACTTCAGATCGATTTTGGGTTTCGTGATTCTCATGCTTGAATTTTGCCCTGATCTAGATCTTCGAAAATGATTTTTTTTTTTCTTTCGATTTTAGGGTTATCTCGAATTGTGCGTTTGATTGAAATCAAAAGTTGTAGAATTTGGATTTTGTCAATTGGGGTTAGGAAATTTGCAGTTTTGTTGGCTAATTTGAATAATTGGATTAACGTTTTTTAGGTGACGTCTCCTGCTGGTAACATCGTACAAACATTGAAAGGAACATCTGGAGATAAGTTTGAGTTCAAGGCACCAAGAAGTGGAATGTACAAATTTTGTTTCCACAATCCTTACTCTACTCCTGAAACCGTCTCCTTCTACATTCATGTTGGTCACATCCCCAATGAGCATGACTTGGCTAAAGACGGTTTGTTCCAATTCATCCTTATTATTAAGCAATTGCTTCTTTGCTTCTGTGTGATGGCTGCTACTAGTTTTTTCTGATATCTAATTCTTGATGTGCCATGTTTATCAGAGCATTTGGACCCAGTGAATGTCAAGATAGCTGAGCTGAGAGAGGCTTTGGAATCTGTTGTTGCTGAGCAGAAGTATCTGAAAGCTCGTGATACTCGTCACCGTCATAGTAAGTTTGACTCCATTCACACTTATACAACAATAATGAATAATCAAAGAAGATATGTGTCCCGAATGCGTTGTTAGGCACCAAAATATACAACCTTTACGATCTTAACGTTCACTTTGTGATGGGTTTTGTGTTTTTTGGGACTTTTTGTGCAGCAAATGAGAGCACGAGGAAGAGAGTGATATTCTACACAGTAGGAGAGTATATCTTCCTAGCAGCAGCAAGTGGGCTTCAGGTTCTCTACATCCGCAAGCTCTTTAGCAAGTCTGTTGCATACAACAGAGTTTGAACATAACGGAACCTCCACCAAGGGTTTTGGTGTCCCTTTTTATGTTGAATTTGTGAACACAAGAATCACATGAAAAGTGTTAGTTTAAAAGTAAGAGCTTTATAGCGAAAGACCCTCTTTTTGTTCTTTTGTTTTGGTTTCTACAATACAATATTTATTGGATTCAGTTTTACTTATGTTTAACATGGAGAAATTTGTTAAAGCTTTTCTTCTGATTCATTGATCTTTTGAAAAAGTATATTTTTCTGAATCTTAAGTTTATAATGAATTTGAAATGAGAATTCATGTGTTTGGGTAACAGAAAAAGCTATGAACACCACCACATTTGGGTCGCATATGATTTTATAGTTTGCGCATAACGTGCGAGGAGATCATAAGATGATGATACGTAATAAAACGTGTTAAAAAGAAGATCTTTTTTTCCAAACAAATATCTAAAAAAAAACTTGCAGGCAAAGGACCGAATATTTTCTATATTCCATTCCCAGAAACGAAAGTCCTATTGGTGGAATTCGCCATTTGTTAATAATAAATTGTGTATGATAAATGCCCATTCAACGATTCGTAAAGTCATTTTCTCTGTACTTTTTGATCTCTCGCTCTCTCTACTGTGTGTGAATTGTGTGAACGAGAAGAAAGAAAAAATGTTGGCGATTTTCGACAAAAATGTAGCCAAGAGCCCTGAGGCTCTGCAGAGTCCGGAAGGTGGATCTGCTTCTGCTCTGAAAGATGATTTCTTGCTCAACCATTTCTCCTCCGTTTATCCATCCGCCGTTAAGATCAATTTCGGATCTTCTGGTCACATCGCTTGCTCGCTCGATAAACAGAATCCTCTCCTTCCCAGGTTTTACATTTCTCCTTAAAAAATTGGATTTTTGTTTTCAAAGTTGGTATTTGGTTGCTCTTTGAATGAACAGATCCTTACAAATTATGGATTTGATGTTTTGGTTATTTAGTTATGTCTAAATATGTTAGATTTGCTGTCTACTTGGTGTTGTTTGGTTCACTGAGAGATCGAAATAATCATTGATAGGTTGTTTTATTTATGATACATGTTTTGGTCCTTCCATAAATCACAGCCTTGTTCATGATCTTTGTTGTGAATAAACAGTGTTGAATTTTTTTTGTTTCCTTTCTTTGTGTAACAACAAACAAACAGGTTGTTTGCTGTGACAGATGATGTGTTCTGCATCTTCCAAGGACACATAGAGAACATTCCAATTCTGAAGCAACAATATGGACTGACAAAAACAGCAACCGAGGTCACCATTGTGATCGAAGCCTACAGAACCCTCAGAGACCGTGGTCCATACTCTGCTGACCAAGTTGTCAGAGACTTCAATGGGAAGTTCGCTTTCTTGCTCTTCGACTGCTCCACCAAAAACGTCTTCCTCGCCAGTGTTAGTATATGATTCTTGCTTCTCCTTTCGCAGATCTTGTAAATCACAGCGTAGTGTTGTGGTATGTAAATATTATGCATCTTTCAGGATGTTGATGGGAGTGTTCCTCTCTTCTGGGGAACTGATGCTGAAGGACATCTCGTTCTCTCTGATGATGTTGAAACCGTGAAGAAAGGTTGTGGTAAATCCTTTGCACCATTCCCAAAAGGTAACGCAGCAAAAACATATACTCATTGTTCTTGGATGTTGTGCAAATATGAATTAGGGATTGTGTGTTTTGGATTGATGCAGGATGTTTCTTTACATCATCTGGAGGCTTGAGGAGCTATGAGCATCCGTTAAACGAGTTAAAGCCTGTACCGAGAGTGGACAGTTCGGGTGATGTTTGCGGTGTGACTTTCAAAGTTGATTCCGAGACCAAGAAAGAGATGCCTAGAGTCGGGAGTGTCCAGAATTGGTCTAACCAAATCTGAGTCCGTTAAATGTTTTCGAGTTTCTTACTTTGTTGGTCACTGTGGCTTATGTTCCACAGATTTTAGATTTCCATCGTTTAACTATTCTCACTTTAGAGCCATTCTAAAGACTCTCTACTATGATGTGGATTTGAGAACCATCGTATTGCTTTGAAACTGTATTTGGCAATAAGAAGCTAATAATAATCATGAAGACTTAAAAATGTCTGATTCAGAGCAATAGAGAATACATATCAGTCATTAAGTAAAATTAACTTTCCCTTGTAAAATCCTGTGGGTAGTAGTAAATATGGATATGCATAATAGAAATAAGCAGGTAAAAAGTGGAGATGATTCGTGATAAGATAGATAGTAGAGCTCGCTCCTCTCTAATCCTTTGCATCCGCAATGCCTCCTGCAGTAATCTGGAAAACGTGCTTTCTGCTGTTAAGGAAACAAAGTCATGGATATGAATAATCAATCGAAATCAGTCAAAATTGGGTTTATATGAAATAAGTGCGTTGTTTTCAATGTGTAAAGGATATTGCTTCGGCTTCAGGGAGATTTGGAGCATCGTAGACTTTGCAGACACGTTGTTCTCCTTTGCCTTTCCTGAACAGGAGCCTGATGGTAGCTGCGTGAGCAAGCACATGACCACCTGCTGGCTTCTTTGGGTCTGATATGAACATTCCACCGCCTGGATCAGCTATCACTGCAAAACGAAATACATGATCTTAAATAAGTTAGTGCAATCAACAAAACCAAATGAGTCGATTTTTTTTATGTCATTAATGTAAAGCAAACCTTGGTTGGTCATGTAGACAGCGACATTGAATTCCTCTGCGATTTTGATAAGCCTTGAGAGCATCTGAGCTAGCTTTTGCTGCAAACACAGAAGAAGCTAACGTTTATGAGCAAAGACAGGTTTTGTCAATGATTATGTTAGTAAATGTGTGGGAGGCAAAGGTAAAAAGGTAACCTGACGGTCTGCGAGTTCTCCTCTACCAGTGAAATCAACTCGGAATAAAGCAATGATAGAGTCAACAATCTGTAAACATGATAAGCTCAGATAAGTTAGCTCATAGTTGTGTTGAGTTGGCTAAAATAAGCAGAAATGTTGAGTTTTTTACCAGAATTCTAAATGGTTCCTCGGACATTTTTGCAGCAAGGCCAAGAAGCAAGTTGTACTGGTGCTCATAGGTGTAAGCACGAGCATAGATGATCTGTTACATCGAGATGAAACGAATTGTGAATATCATTTGCAGTCATACAAGATCAGATGTGAGATTGAGTAATGCCTTACATTGTCAAGCACGGCTCCTGGATCCATTCCAAATCTTTCAGCAATTGGGACAATACGATCAGGGCGGCTACAGATTTCAGAGTCAAGGAAAAAAAAAATCATGAAATGTAAACCACCTAATGAAAGCTACAAGATCTGGTCTAACATATTAAAGGATACAAGGTTCCTTCAGTGTCAATGTAAGCCACTTTCCCATTCCCTCCTTTCATGTTTGTAGGCAGCTGCATGACAGAAATGAGTAACAGTATCAGTCAGAGACAGAGACCTCAACAGAGTAAACACCATAAGAATTGATTCATACTGAGACATTAGGAAAGAAACAAACCTGCGTAGTGACACAAAGGGATGATGAGTTAGACTGCGGTGAAGGCGTTCTAGATGAAGAGGAAGAAGAGTATTGTAGTGATGAAGCATTTAGTGAGGATACGTTGCATAACCAAACCAAAGAGGAGACTGATGCAGAGTTGAGAGGGTCTAATGAGAGTGTTAGAGATGGAAACCACTATGCTCAAGGAGTACTTAGCCCCGTTGAGAATCTCACTCAGTGGAAATCTGCTAAATCCAAAGGGCAAAGAATACAGAAACAGTCTGAAAAGGAGAACTCTAACCTCATCTCAGATCAACAAGACAAGAGGGACTCTGCTTCTCTCAGCGCAGAGACTCAGATTGAACCCGAGAAACCGAGAAACGAAGGATTAGCCGTTGATGCTAGCCTTTCAACCTGGTTATCAACATCTGAGACGGGTAGTGAATGCAACAGCGTCTCTGTCACACCCGAGAAAACCAAGTCTAGCTGCTACTCGAAGCGGGCTATACTCAGCCATGACGATAGACCTGTACTATGTGCATTGACAATGGAGGAGGTCAAACGGTACTCGGCTACTTCTACGCCAAGGAAATCACCTAGCAAGAGTCCCGATGAGACACCTATTATAGGCACAGTTGGTGGTTACTGGGGTAATCACGTAAAGGCAATAGACTGTGACTCTCCATCTGCATTCAAGGGAATACCGAACACCACCAGCAAATATAGAGAGGTTCATATAAACCAGTACAATGTCCTATACTGATTCCATTGCGCTTTCAAAACCAACTGCTGAAATTGTCACAAGTGTAATATTCAATCAAGAGTCTTTGTTTCTAGAGAATGACAGTTTTTTTGGAAGTGCAGGATAAGAGCGTGAATTGGCATTCAACACCATTTGAGGCAAGACTGGAGAAAGCTCTGAACAACAAAGATAAATTATAGGGCTGCACGTTCAACACTTGGTACTGTGAATCGTTGGTTGATTGCGTCTAATTTTGATTTGATTTCTCTCTGTGACATATAACCATACTATTTGTTTGTTTGGAACTGTTCCATAAATCCATTAAGTTTCTTGATATAAAATGCCACAAAAAAGGGAAACAAAAACAAGGATCAGAATCAAAACTGCTCTCTTATTAAAATTTTGTTTTGTTTTGATCAGGCGACATAGTAGATGGAGTTTGGGAGCTTGAAGGTTCTCTTCGGAAGAGGACAACCTGTGAAGCTGCTCCATTGGTCTCCCATAACTCCCCAAACTCTGTAACCAAGACTTATCAGCCATGTCCTCTTCTCTGACTTGTATTGTTTCACCTTCTTTTGCTCATCTTCTAGTCCCCTGCAGTGTTTAGTTTTCTTGGTTTTTAGTACATCGGTTATTTAATCTGGTTAGAGTAAACCAGAATGAGTTACTAGAGGGTGTAAAAATCGGTTTTAGGCTAATTAGAGTGAATATATGAAAAATACTCGAGGTTTGGCTTATATGGTGAACGTGTTAATCTGAGTGAATATATGAAACTACAAATTATTGGTTCCTATGGGTTTTTTCTCGATTTAAAGAATGTATGAACCGAATTTTCTTTTGGATATCCGGTTTAAGTTGTACCTGAGGATGAGGTTGGACCAGCCATAGTAACCGGCTTGGATGAGGTTGTCGACGGTGGCAGATCGGAGATATTCTTTTCGGGAAGAGACCAAGAAGATCTTGACGCCTCTTTCTCTGATCTCGTGGTACAATTTCACCATGTGTGGAACCGGTGGTGCTTTCCTCTTCTTGATCCAACCCTCGAATTTCGTCGAGTTCAATTTCTCTCCTCTGTTTTTAATTCCATAATCATGACAAAACAAAGATCAATTAAAGCCAAAAGCTGATCAAACCGGTTATCTGAAACCGGGTAGGTTAGAGAATTAGATATACCCGAAGAAGCCATTGTTCTTGTGGTAAGGAATGGTAGAGAGAAGAGTGTCGTCAACATCAAAGATCCAAGCGTCCATGCCATCACACTTAGTCTTGCTACAACACATGCTCCCAAAATGAAGGGTGACCTCATCAACGGCTCTCTCCACGTCATCCTCGTACTGCGATGATGTCATGTACTTCTCCACGTACGACACACACTCCTGAGGCACCACATCGAAGTTTCTGATGTTGTGAACTTCCACGTTAAATCTCCAGCTTTCGCAGTAACGTTTCAGGTTCGTCGAGAGCACTGAAGAGACGACAACGTCTTTGCTTGACGACGACGAACCGAGTCCTTTGAGCTGGTTCAAGATGTTCCAGTCACGAGCTGAGACGACTCCGATCAAGAGTGAGGCTAGTGCTAGAGAAAGAAACATGGATCGGTCCATGTCTGAAAGAATGGTTTTTTGGGATCTTGAGATTCTGATCACAAGTGTGTATGTGTGTGCGTATGTAAAGAGGATTTTATAGGTAGAACTAAAAGAGTCAAAGTGGCCTTTAACAATAAAGGAATAAAAGAAACATAAATCTGAATCCAACTTTTTGGTTGTTTCATTCGTTTTTAATAATTTGGTTGCAATTTTATATTTGACGTTGTTCGCTATATCGATGCACGATATGAAATATTATTTGAGTTAACCGTCCAAAACATATGATTTATCTTTACAATACAGATGATCACTTTTCAAGAGAGGCAACATTATGAAAAGTTTAGCTTAATATGCGGAACAAAGAAAAAAGGATGTGGATAATTTAGAATAAGCTAAGAATTGTGACTAAATGAACAATTGATATCCTCGATTAGTGGCGATGTAATTGTCAAAAGGCATTCCACATTGTATATTGTATTTTAACATCAGCACATTGCAATTTGCAATAAATATATGTCATATGGTATCTTAGATTGGAAATTAAAATTTGAGAATCAAGAGATTTGCAATGATTGAATCACGAAGCGAGTTGGATGGTAGTGTGAAATAAAATAATCGATGCAATCAAAATAGAAAATGGAAAATGCAAATAGCAGAAACAGCTGTATAATTCCATTTTTGCAATAGTTTATCAAATTGTTGTTGAAATTAGCCATACACCAAAACTCTACGTGTAAAACGCTCCAACGCAAATGGCAACATCACTGTACTAACTAAGATCCAGACGATATACCAACTAACAGTTTAATCTGCATCATAGTCTAAACTAGACAAACATATACCGATATACGCATGATCTTTAATTTGGTCTATTCATGAAAAGGAAAGGACAAGAGACATAGAGATCTCGAGAGGTATGGTAAGGTTATGGTGACAAATTGATTGGAGTGTGGGAATAGAAGCACATGGAATTTAATTTTAATAAATAAACACCGGTGTTCCAGTCATATTGTCATTTGCTAGCTGGTGAGTGGTAAGGACATACGTATATGTACACAAAATTCTAGAAAATAATAGTTAAATACACAAACACATACAATAGTTACAGAAAGTGGCAAAGCACATCCCTCAAGAGCAACTCAATACTGAGCTGGCCGTTCACATGAACAAACCATGCATGTGAACAAAGACAGTATCATCATTTTTTCCTTTTCAACGAGAGTAGTTCGTAACTATTTCTTAAACAGTACGGTAAATTATGATGGTTTAATAGTCTAATTAAGTCAACAACGACGTGGTTAAAAGTGACATATTACAAACTTATAACTAACAATACTCAAACTGACAAGCATAACAAGACAGTTTGATCTCAAAATAACCAAGTTGTTTTTTTCGTTTCAACAACCTAAAAAGAATGGTTCACTCCGGTTTGTTAAAATAACTTTCTTGAGAGTCCCATTCACCAAAAAAAGAGAGAGCCTTGTCTCATTTCTTCTTCATGCTATGCTCAGTACCTTCTTGGCCTCTGAAACATAAAAACAAAACACGTAAGATGCAGGACTGATGATTACTCAGTCACAGGTAACGAGAATCAGCAAATCTCGTGATGATTACTCACTCTTTGATCGCTTAGCGTTCCTGCAGAATCTGCTACCACACAGACAATCAAATGGTTTCATCGGACAGTCATCATCGTTGAAGTCAATGCCATAATCCTGAGAATGACAAGTCCAGAGTTACATCACATTCAACGTATCACTAGGAACCAATAAGCATTTGAAACACAATCTTTTTACGTACCCATGTGAGTTCCTCCATTGCCTGGATGTCTCTTGTGGTGAAGAATGCAATCTGGAGAGGATTACAGTCAAATCATTTCCACAAAACAGATGAAACATATGAAAACAAAGGATTATAAAATAAGACCGCCATTGAATCATACATGATAATAGTGCTGATCAGGACTCTCGACATGGACTGGGATCTCGATCAAGTTCGCATCAAGGCATCTGAAAACATCAATGTACAGAAAAAGAAAGAAAGAAATAGGTCAATTGTTCTCTGAGAGTCGTCCGAGTATTATTGTAAGCCTTTACCTATGATTAAGGAACCTTGAAATGTTTCCATAACGCGTCCCATCAAGACAAAGAGATTTCTCATCCTCTGAACTTTCTTCAGAACCCCAATGTGCATCCAATATCACAGGAGAAGTAAGTTCATTGTCCAAGCTACGTTGGTACAGCTCTTGCATTGTCAAGATCTCTCCAACGTACTCGCAAACAAATGCCCCCTGAGGCAATCTCTCCAAAGTCCTTAGGCCCCAGCCTTTACCATTCGGTGTGAAGAACACCTGATCAAATCAAACCATGAATCAAAATTTGAAACTACTGTAGTTGATTTAAGATGAAAGGAGAGTTATTTAAGGTGATGTTATTACCTCTAATTTGTTGTGTATCCCTCTTTGGACCAATCGGTTACCACATCTATTGCCGCAGCCACATTTGATCCAACACTCTTTCATGCCTTTCCTCTTTATATGCCCTTTGCATGGTTCTAAAGCCTCTTCCTTTTTAGCCTTCTCCAATGGACACTCTTGACAGAATTGCAGCACCTGTTTCCGTTGATCACGGGCCTCAGAGATCCGTGCTTCCAAGAAATCTTCTTTGAGAACGCCATCAACTGTGTATGCAATTGTGCAACTGCAAGGCATCGGTGAAGAGTCCAAGCAATCTCCAATACAAGAGAAGCAACATTCATCATCAGGGTCACTTGAGACCAAGAACTTCACTGCAGCATCTCGAAACACAACGCTCTGCGCTATGTAGCGGAAACGTGAGGGAACCTCGTCGTTGATCTCATTCACCCATGGTATCTCGACATTTTCTTTACCAACCGTGATGTCCTTTTTGGACCTAAGCGCTCTCCAGCGATCTGCAGATATGTCACAGTCAGGAACAACAACCAACTCCATGGAAATATCAGCTGCACCGCTCTCATCACCCGCCTTAACCATGTCAGAGACTGTTACTGAAGGAAGAACGTCCATGGCAGTAGTATTATTAAGAGTAATGTCGGTTTCTCCATCCCGTTCTTCCACAGACATAATTGATTTCTCCATCTCAAGAACAGGAGCTGAACAGTTCTCTGCATTTCAATGCAAAGGATTCAACAAACCTAACCACAAGCACATAAAAGCCACACAAGAAGGATTAATAAGTTTTATCTTGCTTTCATGAAACAATACCTGGAATCATAGGCCTATGATCGGTAAAGGGCTCATCATCGACGATAATAAGTGCTCCGGCAAAAGAGTCCGTGTCAGCTACTACAGAATCAGCTGACAAGAGTTTGATTGGTGGTACTTCTTCGGATTCCAGTGACATGGAGCTGCTGAAGCTAGGACTTGCGTTGTTAGACACATGCATTGCAGACCCTCTTTCACCTTTTCGGCGCAAGTACATCCTCTTTAAAGGAGGTAGTTCAGTCATTTCAGCATCTTCATGCTGAGAATGTATTAACCAAGGTGCCAAATTCAAATAAATGCAAGTTAATAAGATAACTGAGAAACCCGAAAGAAAAAACAATATAAACAGATGGAGAAAATACCTTGGGATCCTCTTCGTTTGGCTTCTTCGATGAGGGGCTGCCTAAGCTAAGGCTTGTGTTGCGCAACCTCCTCTTCAAAGGAGCTACATCTTCATCGATATCATCTTCTTCGTCTTGAATAGCAACCTGAGTTTGCTGTAACAAATAAATATTACATGATGAACATAAGATTCTCAAAAAGCCAAGAGTAGTTCAAGAACAAGTACCTCAAGAACTTTCCTCTTTCCCATGTTCCTTGCTCCATCCTACAAGATGAAAACAACAATGACCATGAAAACTTGAGAGAGAAAACAGCTGCAACTTGTTATCAAATCATTACAAGTGAACATACTCTAGACTCGTTCATTTTAGTGGCCGGCTCGTCCTGAGGCAATAAAGCGTTGATGAGGACCAAATAACCTCCTTCTTCAATAAAATCCCAGTTATTATCATAAATCTTCCGAAGTTGACCAAGAACCGGCCTTACTCTGCCCTCTGTATATCCCAATGCCTTCATGGCTTCAACAGCTTTCTTAATACGAGGGTCTGGTCGTCCCATTTTCTACAAGTTTCTGCAACAACAAAGCTTGAATCAATCACAAACCTTGATAAAAATTCAGGAGAAATGCTGAAATGTTAACAAAAACGGAGACTTTTATCGTCCCGACGCAAAAACTAGAGATGAAAAGGAGGTCAATTTCTTAGACAGAAACTAGAAATGGAAGTGATTCAGAGCCAAAATGAAAAGAAGAAAACTTTTTTTGTTTAGGAAACCGGACGGACACTCGCAAGCACATAAACCCTAGACGTTTTCTTCTCTCTTAGAAAACGAATTGAGTCCTAGAAATTAAGCTGGAAAAGGGAAAAAAAATTGAAGCGATTGAAGCAAATGAGAGGAACATACCAGCAAAAGTAGGAACTTTGACACCGGTTTAGGGTTTCAAGTGAGCTACTTTGGCGCGAGAAAAAGGGAATTTCGACTTTCTAGACGAGAAATGGAAGGACGTACACAATGGCGTAGAGCCTGCGCAATCTCAGTGTATAAAACTTGGCATCTGTTGTTATAGTGGATGAGGAGTGAGGACGAGACGATTTGAAACTGACGAGGAAGAAAGTGTTTACTCTGGGAGACAGAGAGACCTTCTCTCAATTACTGCAACTTACCGTTTTACAACGACGAAGAAACGCAGCGTTTTAGGAGTCAAATCACACACGTCATCTCTTTCTTCTGTGAGACACACTTGTCCTATTTCTATTGGACATCTGTCTTTGTGTAAGTGTACGTACGCCAGTTTGACTCTGTTTGAATTCTAAAAAGTTTGAAATATTTATTTTGCTCATCTAAAGAAAACAACTCTAAGAAAAATGGGCTTTACGGGCCGGTCCAAACTATCGCTGACTAGTACTCTTTCAATATTTGAGTTTTGGTTTAAGAATGAGTGCAAAGTGTAAAGGAGATACAGGCGACTTTCTGAAACCAGCTTCACATTCTTCAACCCAGAAGTCATATGCAATCAAACTGGAAAATGGGAATGAAGGTTTCGATCACAAAACAACGGGCAGCGAGACGCTGATGCCTTGAAGATCGATACACAGAATTCCACAAGGTTTATGATAAGATCATAGATCCATGAACAAAAGAATCATCATCAAGGTCTTGGGTTAGTCCGTTAAGGATCATGCCATGAATGTGATAATGGAACCACATTTTGGGGTATTAGTACTAAATGGCATATGAATGTTTCAAAGAGAAATTAAAACAGTGAAAGAAGGTAAGTTATCAAAAGATCCTTCATTTTAATGTAACTTGGTGTGAGAAGTGAATGGATTGTACAAGGAAGCGCTCAAATAAGATTCCAAGTAGATTAACACATTCTTCACTCACATAACTTAGTGCAGGGATCTAACTAAGAAGTTCAAAATTTTAAAGTGCTCAAAGCCGTAAATTGCCAAATAATTTCGAAGAAGAAGCTCAAACAAGCTCAATTCTTTATATCGAATCCACTACGAAGTAGAATGATTATCGTTAGGAGTAAACCTAGTCTTACAGCAACTAATCGAATAGCAGAAACAAGCATGAAAATCCCAAATTGAAATAATAGGGGTCAGGGTTTTCTACATATAATTTAGCGCACCGGCCGGTGGAGTTCCGAGGAGGCTGGCTTGCTGAAACTCCACCTCGCCTAATTGCTGATCTCGCTCCATCTCGATGATCAAAGGGACGACGAGGATCAGAAACGTTGTGCCTGCGAGCCACGCCGCTTTCCCTGTACTTCGCAACAGCTTCTTCGATACGTATACGGCGTTGCACGCGGTGCGTCTCCCCTGAGAGACGATGTCGGATTTTGAAATCTTCGCCAAGATGTTCGAATCTCCACCGGCTCCGATTTTCTTAGGCGCCATTGCTTGAAACTGAGAGATCTAACAGAACACGACAACGAGGGTTTTAACTTTTAACTACTTTTTTTTTGTTTAATGGGCCAGTTACTAGGCCTGTTTAAAAGTGTATAGGCCCATTCTTTAAGGTCCAGATTTAGTTGCTCTCAACTTTACTGTGCACCGACCAACTCAATACAACACTCGTCGCCGTTCGTTTTAGTCCGTCGTCTCGAGCTAACTCTCAACCCTATACCCTCTTTTCCTGTAAACGAACAACCCACAATCAAACGTTTGAGAGCTCCTCCATTGAAGTCACTTCGATAGAGAGAATTTACTGCTTCGAAATAATTCCACGAGCGAGCATCTTCTCCAGTTCTCGAGGTTCGTATTCTACGATTTAGGATTACAGCTAGGGTTTTCTCTCTGCTAGCTTGTTATGATTGGGTTTCTGATTTTATTTGATTCTGATTTAGTTTTCCTTCTCCTGTTAGACAACTCCGTATTGAACTTTCCGAATTGTGATTCGTAGGAAGATATAGCGAGTTTTTGCTTTCACTGATATTCATTTTTTAGCTTGCCTGTTTCAAGTTGAGCAGCTGCGTTGTTTTGGTTTGTATGCTATAGGACACCTATTGATGAGTGAGTAGTGTATTATCAGCCATCTATGTGCTTTCCACTGATTCCATTCTTATGTGAACGTGGGTTTCTGCAGTTTCGATTTACAAGTCAGTTCTATAAAACTATGGGAGACAGCGAAGCCATGGTTGCCGAGGGCTATACCACTGCTGAATATGCAGATTATAATGCTTCTGTTGCTACTGTGGAATCGACTGGGCAAGAAAACGCAGTTTCTGTAGACCAGAGCAATACTGCTTCTTTGGTCAATGGGACTGGCCCTGAGAGTGGTGTTACTCCGCCAGTTGAGAATGGAAATGCAGCAGATAGCGCTGCTGTTGAGGCTCCAGCCGCGGAAGACAATCCTGGTAATTTCTTCTTCTTTTTTTTTTTATCGCTTGTATGAGCACATCAGTTATTTCCCAATAGAATGATCATTACGAACTGATCCGGATATTAACTTTGATGGTAGAATTCTTTGCTTATTCCTTCTCTGTTGTTACAGACTCAACTCTTTCACCTGAGGAGGAGCGCCTATGGACTATTGTAAGGGCTAATTCCCTAGAGTTCAATGCTTGGACTGCCCTGATTGAAGAGACTGAGAGGATTGCTCAGGTATGTGTGGATTTACATAACGATTCTACTCTTTCTTAGTACTCTGCTCTGGATTTGCATACTTATTTGCTATTTGAATCTTATAACTGATGAAAGAGTATTCTGGTTATATTTGCGCCATAAGCTGCTTCTTTATATTTCTGCTCAAATTTGGTAAAGTTTTCCTTGCTTCCCTTATTTACAGGACAATATAGCAAAAATCCGAAAGGTGTATGATGCGTTCCTTGCTGAGTTCCCGTTGTGTTATGGCTATTGGAAAAAGTATGCTGATCATGAGGCTCGGGTGGGAGCAATGGACAAGGTCGTGGAGGTTTATGAAAGAGCAGTTCAGGGAGTGACATATTCAGTTGACATCTGGCTGCATTATTGTGTTTTTGCCATCAATACGTATGGAGATCCAGACACGATTAGAAGGTAATGAATGCTTAATCTTCCATTTCTATGTGTGTTAATTTAACAGCTTGGTTGTTTTTTTCTGTTACCTAGACAAAATGGTTTTTACCAGCTAACACTTTTCTTAGATTGCTACAGCAAGTCCTCTCATATGTGGCGGAAAGATCTGATGGAACTAATTTATAAATACTTCTTTTCTATATGCAACTCACTAGCTTTCGGGTCTCCTTTTTAGCTATCTGATACTTTTTTTATCTGAACCTGCTCCATTTTTGTGGTGCTCTATATTTCTGTGCTTTGAAAATTCTTTGAAGTAAAAAAATATTCCTGTTTTAATTGTCACCCTCCCCCTGAAGTGCATCCATATGCAATATGCTGCTGGGAAGCTCTCATCCAGTTTTGGGCTTAGGTAGCCTCTGACTGCTCGATTTTGGCCATGGTATGCTTTTACCAGGAAGGTAAATGCAGTGTTTGGCAGTACCATGCATTCAAAGAGTGAATCCTTTTTTCCTCCATAGATTTTGTGTGTGTCGTTATTGATTGGACATGTCTGCGTTTTTCAGCTCATGTGACATTCCTTTACTTTAATGCTGCTGCAGGCTTTTTGAACGAGCTTTGGTTTACGTTGGAACTGATTTTTTGTCCTCTCCACTGTGGGACAAATACATCGAGTATGAGTGCATGCAGCAGGACTGGAGCCGACTTGCCATGATTTACACCAGAATATTGGAGAATCCAATTCAAAATCTCGATAGATATTTTAGCAGGTAATTTCAAGCGACTTCATTAAGCATTTTCCTCTGCGCTGAATTGAATAGAGGCAGTTCATGTAGAATGTGATTGTTGTGGTGGGAAATCGTTAGGTTGATTCACTATGTTGATTTGGCACTTAATCAAGTTCAACTGTCTGTACCTGGTAGATGAGCTGTGGTCATACATTTGATATGATTTAGTATCAGCCAGGGTTCTTAGGTTATGCTCAGAATCTTAAGTGTCTTTCTAATGTGTATCTTGCCTCTTTCATTCTGGTATTTTTCCTGTTGTTGATAAGTGCTCGTCTTGCTATAGTTTCAAGGGTCTAGCTGAAACTCGGCCTCTGTCGGAACTAAGGAGTGCTGAGGAATCTGCGGCAGCTGCTACTGCTGGTGATGCTTCTGAAACTGCACCAGCTGAGTCTGATGGAAAGGCAGATGAAGGAAAATCTCTAGCTGATGGTTCCACCGAACAATCCCCTAAATTGGAAACTGCTAGTTCAACTGATCCTGAGGAGTTGATGAAATACATTGGCAACCGAGAAGCCATGTATATCAAAGCCAAAGAGTTTGAAGCAAAAATCATTGGTTTCGAAATGGCTATAAGGAGGCCTTATTTCCATGTGCGGCCTCTCAATGTTTCTGAGCTGGAGAATTGGCACAGCTATCTGGATTTCATAGAGAGGGATGGAGACTTTAATAAGGTACTGTGGTGCATAACTCTCTTATATGTGAACATACCACCGTTATGTAGATTAAGTCGTACCTCTGTAATATTATTGGCCTACAGTTAAGTAGTATCTGGTGCATCATAGCTTTATTGGGTTTCCATTGGATCAAGCAACTTTAAAATGGGAATTAACTGAGACCAAAGGATGTGACTCGATTTGGTAACTTTAAGGCTAAGTACTTCACTCTCAATTTGATTTGGCAGTGATATTTTAGGTACGTGAGTTATCCTTGTTGTTGAAGTTCCAATGTTATTAATGCAGGTGTCTTCTTAACAATCTGTCTGTCAGGCAAGGAGGGTCCCTCCATAAGTGAGGGCCCCTCTGTTCGGCTTGTAGAGTATTTCTTGTGGATTTCTCCTTTGTGATTTTTATGCTTGCATGTTCTTTTCCCCCTTATGACCATTATATATGTTTTACATTCGATTCTTTTTCAATAGGTGGTCAAGCTCTATGAAAGATGTGTTGTTGCGTGTGCCAATTACCCGGAGTACTGGATACGATATGTATTACACATGAAAGGAAGTGGAAGTATAGACCTTGCCGACAATGCCCTTGCTCGAGCAACCGAAGTTTTTGTCAAGGTATGAACTCGTGATTTGCTTTGTAAAGTAACTTCTACATATTCTGCTTTGGCTGGCTTGGTTTTTTATTTACTTCTTTTTATGTGCAGAGACAACCAGAGATTCACCTCTTTGCTGCTCGGTTAAAAGAGCAGAATGGGGATATAGCTGGTGCTAGAGCTGCATTCCAGTTTGTGCACTCCGAAGTTTCTCCCGTACTCCTTGAAGCAGTAATCAAACATGCAAACATGGAACGGCGACTAGTAAGCTTTCATGAGCTAGTAGTAATTCAAGGACTAGTATAGACTATCATCACTGTTTTTTTCCTGTTCTCATCTCCTAATCTTACTTGTAGGGAAATATGGATGATGCTTTCTCTGTGTATGAGCAAGTGATTGCTGTTGAAAAGGGCAAAGAAAACTCCACACTACTGCCGCTGCTGTATGCTCAGTATTCAAGGTTTTCATACTTAGTAAGTCACATTTGGTCTACCAAGACTGTATACCGCCGAGTTCTGAGTCGTTTTTTTTTCTGTTTTCTTGAAGAATATGGCTTCTTACTTTCTTTTTTCCAAACTTGCTTTCAGGTTTTCCGGGATGCTGAGAAAGCTAGGAAGATTATAGTTGAAGCACTTGACCACGTACAACCGTCAAAACTTCTTCTGGAGGCACTGATTCATTTTGAATCGATTCAACCACCACCACGACAGATTGATTACCTTGAGCCACTTGTTGAAAAAGTTATAAAGCCAAATGCAGATACCCAGAACAGTGCAAGTTCCACTGAGAGGGAAGAGCTATCATTAATATACATAGAGGTAATGGAAAGAGACTTTAGGCTTGTAATATCATTTATCTCGAATATTGGATTTAACTCCCAAATGTGTGTATGGCTTTTGCAGTTCCTGGGACTTCTTGGAGATGTGAAGTCCATTGAGAAAGCGGAAGATCAACATGCTAAACTCTTTTTACCTCACCGGAGCACGTCAGAGCTGAAAAAGCGTAGCGCAGATGATTTCCTCTCTTCAGATAGGACGAAAATAGCAAAAACGTACAATGGCACTCCTCCTGCTCAGCCAGTGACCAATGCCTACCCAAATGCACAGGCTCAATGGCCCGGTGGCTACGCTGCACAGCCTCAGACTTGGCCACAAGCACAAGCCGCTCCTGCACAGCCGCAGCAATGGAACCCTGCCTATGGCCAACAGGTATAAAAACACCACCAAACCCATTTTCTTGTATGCATACATGCTTTTGCTCCTATAACAGTATCTCCAATATACTTCGTAGGCTGCGTATGGAGCATATGGTGGATATCCTGCTGGCTATACCGCTCCCCAAGCACCATCACCAGTGCCACAGGCCGCTGCTTATGGCGCATATCCTGCTCAGGTAACCAAAAATAGTGTGTTTATTAAGCCATCATGAGTTGCTTTAGGATTGGAATTGCTCACTCGACTAACTGAATTTGATTCTCTGTGAAATGTTTTCCAGACATACCCAGCACAGAGCTATGCAGCTCCAGTTGCAGCTGTAGCACCAGTGGCTGCGCCGGTTGCTGCTGCACCAGCTGCTGCACCTCAAGCTTACTACAACACTTACTACTGAGCCTGTTACTGTTATACTGGTCGTTTTTGTAGCGAGATTAATATTTTGAAGTTTAGGAGGGTTTATTGGTTCTATGATCCTTGTGGATTTATAAATCCGAGAAGTTGTTAAATACAAAAAGTTGGATTTTGAAATACCAAGGTTTCCTCTTAAATTTGTTTCTTTTTGTACTTTTAACTTAAAAACACACTCAAATCCATTGAAATTCAAAGTGGATTTTGAAATCCAAAATAAGAAATCACTGGATTGAAATTTCTCCATAAAAAATTGTGGGGTAAAATTTCGAGAATTTCTCGTGCGAGTGTCCAAGTTTTCCGTTTCATCATTTTCTTGTGGCATTTCTTCAAAGCAAAGGCGATAACTTCTTCGCCAAGGTAGTCTGTTTTGTTTCTTTTATTAGAGGACATTTTTCATCTTCTACATTAGGTTTCACGACATCAGAGAGGAATGTTGGGTTACAAATGTCTCCTTTGGAACAATCTCAGAGATTTACCGCCATTAAAGGACCCTGAAACCTTCTCTCTCCCGGCTCCCATTCCCCAGTGGCCTCCAGGTAACTCTGATTCCATTAAAATTTATTCGATCATTGTTTGGGTTTCCTCGGGATCTTACCCCAATTTCCTGAAATTCGACTAGGTTTTTTCTAATCACATCTCTATTTGTATTCTTTTCCCTCTTCCATGAATTCGCAAATTCTCGAAACCTGTTATTTTCTTGAAATCAAGTATCCACTAATGTAATTCAACCATTGGTCAGAATCTTTTTGCGTTTGATAGATTCTTTATAGATTGTTCGAATGACTCTTGTAACAATTATTCAGCTGGATCTCTCATGCATCCTTTAAAACTGACCAGGTCAAGGCTTTGGCTCTGGAACAATCAATCTCGGCAAATTAGAAGTCATCAAAGTCACCAACTTTGAATTCATATGGCGATACAGATCCAGAGAGAACAAGAACAAGAGCATTTCCTTCTACAAACCAAAGGGATCCTTGCCTGACGACTTCCATTGCTTAGGCCACTACTGTCAATCCGATTCTCATCCCTTGAGAGGTTATGTTCTCGCGGCAAGAGATTTAGTAGACTCATCAGAACAGGGCCAAAAACCTGCACTTGTGAAACCTGTTGACTTCACACCTGTCTGGAGCTCGAATGATTCAGCAGAATGTAACAAACCCGAAGGTGGCGGTTACTTCTGGTCACCGCAGCCTCCTGAAGGTTATAGATCAATCGGTTTTGTGGTTACAAAGAGTCCCACGAAGCCAGAGTTGAATGAAGTTAGATGTGTCAGAGCTGATCTCACTGATAACTGTGAAACTCACAGAGTCATCGTCACTGCTGTCTCGGAATCTCTAAGCGTTCCTTTGTTCATATGGAGGACTCGTCCTTCAGAGCGAGGAATGTGGGGTAAAGGCGTCTGTGCAGGTACTTTCTTCTGCAGGACTCGTCTTGTTGCCGCTAGAGACGATCTCAATATTGGTATTGCTTGTCTCAAAAACCTGGATTCGAGTTTACGCGCAATGCCAAATGTCGATCAGATTGAAGCTTTGGTTCAACACTATGGTCCTACGCTAATCTTCCACCCTGGTGAAACCTACTTGCCTTCTTCTGTCTCGTGGTTCTTCAAGAACGGCGCGGTTCTCTGCGAGAAGGGAAATCCGATTTGTGAAGCTATCGATGAAAAAGGCTCAAACTTGCCTCAAGGAGGAAGCAACGACAAGCAGTTTTGGATTGATTTGCCGTGTGGTGATGATGATCATCAACAAAGAGATTTCGTCAAGCGAGGAAACCTCGAAAGCTCGAAACTTTACGTTCACGTTAAGCCTGCTCTTGGAGGAACGTTCACGGATCTCGTCTTCTGGAGCTTTTGTCCTTTCAATGGCCCAGCGACCTTAAAGCTAGGACTCGTCGATCTCTCATTGATCAGCATTGGGCAACACGTCTGTGATTGGGAACATTTCACTCTCCGAATCTGCAATTTCTCCGGCGAGCTTTACTCAATCTACTTCTCTCAGCACAGTGGCGGCGAGTGGATCGAAGCTTACGATCTGGAATTCGTTAACGGAAGCAGCAGAGCCGTTGTTTACTCGTCGAAGCATGGTCACGCGAGCTTTCCCAAGGCTGGGGTTTACTTACAGGGATCGACAATGCTCGGGATTGGGATAAGGAACGATACTGCTCGTAGCGATCTCTTGGTTGATTCGAGCTCACGGTACGAGATCGTTGCGGCGGAGTATCTCGGCGGAAACGGTGTGGCGGTGGTGACGGAGCCGCCGTGGCTACAGTATATGAGGGAGTGGGGACCGAAGATTGTGTACGATTCGAGGGAGGAGGTTGAGAAGTTGGTGAATCGATTTCCGAGGACGGTTAGGGGTTCGATTGCGACCGTGTTGAGAAAACTTCCGGTGGAATTGTCCGGAGAAGAAGGTCCGACGGGACCAAAGGAGAAGAATAACTGGTACGGGGACGAAAGATGGTGAAAGAGATTGATGGAAATTGAAATCTCCGGTGATATCTGTCACCGTCTGAAACACTAACTGAAAATTGATTGACGAGGACGAAGAAGAAGAAGCTTAATTTACGCAAAGCTTTAATTACAATTAGCGTAGGATTAACGTTAAGTGTCGTTGGAAGTGTATACAAGTGGGTCCCATTTTGTCTATAAATTTTAATTTGATTAAGTGTTGATAACTTGTTTAGACGAACAAACCTCACCAAACCTAAACATCCGTGTACCGTTTCCGCTTTTTCATTGTCCATTTTCTCTCTCTCTCTCTCTGAAAAGATCGTTACTTTAATCCGTGAATCGAAGTCGTTTTTCTTCATGATTTCAAGTTCGTTCCCAATTCTAGCTCTGGAATATCTGTAAAGTTTTTCTCTTTGCGTCAAAATAAGAAACTCTGTCTACAAATTTCAGAATATTAGAGAGGTGTTTGGTTGAAAGTTAAAACCTTTTTGTTCGTTTGGTTTATGGGCTTTCTCAAAACTTTGATCGATGATCGAATTCGAATCTCAGTTTCCGAATATCTCTTCTCAATGGTTTCTTAGCTACTGAGCGTCATTTCCGTCTTTTTTCTCTGTTTTCCGTTAATTGATTTGGGATGAAGAATGGTTTTCGAGATGTCTGTTCTTCAAGTGGATCGGTGATGATCGGAGTTACCGACCACGAAGACGACAACGCCGCAGCACTGTCGTCGGAGGATTCGTCTTGTCCAGAAGAGTCGGTGTCAGGGACAGAGCTCGACCTAGCTCTGTGTCTTAGCATTGGTCTGAATAGTCATCGGAATCCCTCCAAGGTCCGATCCTCTTCTTCATCTTCGTCTTCTTCTTCTCTGACCAGAGAAAGTGGAACCAAACGGTCTGCTGATACTTCTGCAGCTGCCTCAAACGCAACGAGGTAACTAGACTTTATAAATTACATATATGTATATGATTGGTCTCACATTTGATATTGTTTAGAGCTATATTGAATCAAAAATGAAATAATGTTTTGAGAGCTATACTGATTCTCTTATGGATTCCGGTTCACTATTTCTGTCATCTGATTGAATTTCTGCTGGTGATTGGATCAGACAAGTTGCGCTAGGATGGCCTCCTCTACGGACTTACAGAATCAACAGTTTGGTCAACCAAGCGAAGTCCTTAGCCACGGAAGACGGTTTGAGTTCTGACCTTCAAAAAGACACAACAAGAAGAAGAAATGTTGTGGTGGCTGCGAAGAACGATGATGCTAGCTATAACCAATCTGTCAGGATTCCTATGCTTGTGAAGGTGACAATGGACGGAGTTATAATTGGAAGGAAAGTTGATCTCAATGCTCTGGATTCTTATGAAGCCTTGGCCAAAACTTTGGAACTAATGTTCTTTCAGACACCTTCCTCTGTAACAAGTCCGTTACTAATCCTATCTCCTGAGTTTCCATGTGACTCTTGCTTTTCAATTGCTGGTTTTGATTGGTTAGTTTTTGCAGGAACGGATACACAACAAGGATGCAAGACAATGAAGGAAACACTTGCTTCAGAACTGCTGGATGGCTCGTCGGAATATATCATAACGTATCAAGATAAAGATGGAGATTGGATGCTTGTAGGAGATGTTCCTTGGGAGTATGTAATTTTCCCACTATCCATCATCTGTATTTGTTATTTGAGTCACATCCTTTCTCATGTATTTTTGTTCATCTTCTCAGGATGTTCTTGGGGTCCTTGAAAAGATTAAGAATCATGAGAAGATAAAGTGAAACCAGAGTTGGTAAGTAGAGATTCATATCCCATCAAAAGCTCGTTTCTGCATTTCAAACATCTCTTCAAACCGATCTGTAAAGGTGAATGATTGTTTAGTTCTCGTTTCTTCAGTTGAATGACATCTATTTGGTCTGTAAATTGTAAGTCACAGTCACATGTATACACGAGTGTATATTTAACCCTGTGGTTGTTTGTGAATATCAAACAAAAGCTTAACCTTGTCTTTGAAGTTTGTAGATCTGTGTAAAGGTCTGTCTTTAGTCAATTTATTTTTTCCTATTTCTGAAGAAATCTCCTAAAACATAATAAAAAGGCAAACTCCTAAAAAGGCAAAAGGAATAAAAAAAATATATATATATATATATATCCTCCATGATTTTTGTTTCTTAGGTAATTCCTTTTCTTTTCTTTTTTTGTATAAATAGAGACTTAAGATCAAGTAATTACGCAAGTCACATCTTTTATCTTTTTGCCACTAGATTTTGATAATTTGGATCTGAATTGTTTCTCTGGCGAAACAGACGGAATCAATGTCCATGAACAACCGTGTTCTCCGTGGAAACGAGAGATGTCCATCGTGTAGATATTCTCCTTACACTTCAAAGCAAGTGTGAGTTTGTTTGTTTGTTTGTTTGTTTGCTTGCTTAATTCCTTTACAGAGTAAAATTTGATCTCTTTTTCCGTTTTTTTTTTTTGCAGCCCTAATTTCACCAATGAAAAGAAGAAACAGAAAGAGGAGGCTGCACGACTCGGAGCAGAGCTCTCGCTCTACGTGGCTGAAGTAATGTTCCTATTATCTGATGACATGCGTTCTTTGTTACGCTTCTGTTATTGGCTATTGAGCTTTGTAGGGAAGCAACAAGTTAACGGCCCCGTGGTAGGAAGATTGTTTGTTGTTATTGAACATGTGTTTGAAACATATATCCAACCCAAGAATAGGGTTTATCAGGATGGTGGCAAATCCATCCAATGGGAACTGGTGGGAACGTTTGGCGAGGATTTTTCTCATGGGCTTGGAGGTATGCTTCACATTGTTTCCATCCTCAGAATGAGCGGACGAGTGAGTCCGCCTGGTCTGTTATACTACGGGCAAAAGCTGAAGAAGCTAGAGGACAAGTTGACATGTGCCAGACATATTTCCGAAGCCAATGGGTTTGCGAAAGAAGCCATACAACCTTACATTGTTAACTTGTGGAAGTCTCTCTTGGAACCAATAACAAGACCTCCACTGGTGCACCCTATGGTTAGATTTATTGAGCTGTTAAGGCCTCTCTCAAACGAAAAAAACAAGGATTCTTGCTGTAGTGGTCTTGCTTCTTTACGCATATGAGAATCAAGTTTCTTAGATTCGATCATTTTTATTGACTAATTGCAGATTGGTATTTATAAAAAAACCATAACGATCCATTGGATTCTATAAATAAATGAAAACAAAATTTATTGAGTTGAAGAAGGTGTTTAAAACTCTAACCACAATAAAAAAAATAAAGCTAATCCATAGAAAATGACAATAATCAATCAGCTTGGCTCCCAAGTCACTACTCAAATGTAACTTTCTTCCTTCTTGTTTCCGATTCGTCTAGAGGTTTTCTCAGCATAAAACCCTCAAACCCTAATAAATCTAACCATTATTGTCTACACACAGACTCATGAAGCATTGGCTCAATTAATTATTCTTGAAGGTGACAGAGATTGGACTCCTAACTCGCTGCATCAGATTCCTAGAGTTGACCCAAGTCAACTGTCCCTGCCCAAAGGAACCAACCACCTTCTCTCCTCTGTTTCTCTTCTTCAACACAAACCAAACTCGATAGCTCAGAGTCTCATCCTTATGTTTAAACACAAGCCTCTTAGGGTTTACAATCACTTTGATCCCTTGAGGAGCTTTAACCTTCACCGAGTATACCGAATCAGGACTCCCAACGTTAGTCACACGCCTTGTGACCATCTCCATCTTCTTCCCACGTTTGAAAATCACTGAAATCGACGGATAATTAAGGCTAAAACTAGGGTTTTTCCTCAAGATCCCGCTGCAGCTCACGTTCTTGTGAGTGATCGCTAAAACATCTGATCTTGTGAATCCAATACTGCATAGATACGTTATGTAATCCACCGGTTGAATGTTGTAAACCAGTCCCGGGTTTATCGCCTTTCCCGGATTCACATGCCCTGCTCCGATCGCAAACAAACCGGCCGGATTGTTCCCGTCTCTGATCACTTTCCCTTGACGATCATACAAATCCGCACTCGTCATCATTGCGGATTTGATCGCAGCTAGAGACCAGTTCGGGTACGTAGACCGGATTAGAGCAGTGATTCCACTAACATGTGGACAAGACATTGAAGTCCCTGACATGACAGTGAAGTTAACTCTTCTTGCATCGTAAGGAAGACCTGTTGGTCCAAGATTCTGAGGCCAAGCAGCGATGATGTTGACTCCAGGAGCAATCATATCCGGTTTAAGAATCGAAGGATTAGCTAAACTCGGTCCTCGAGCTGAAAACTGAGCCACCTCCGGTGCTCTTGACCTCCCAATCACTGTCCCTCCAAATATTATCCTCGCCTTTGGCTTCACCGTGGCATTCACGTAACCTTTCAAAACAACCGACTCCGCGTAACCGATCAATGTAGCTGGCAAAAGATGAACGTCGATGGAATCTTCTTCTTGGTTGATCTCTGTGTTAGCCAAGATCATTGCAACACCACCTGCTTCTTTGATCGCTTCTCCTTTCTCTGATCTTCCATTGACTCCACGATCACATATCACCATCTTGCCTTTGACCTTCTCTCTTGGAAGTGATCCTCTCAAGCAAAACTCGGTGCCTCTTTCTCCTCCGGTGACGTAAACCACTTCGAGCTCTCTCTCAGCGTTCTTTAAGCCTTTCCCTGGATACAATGACTCTCCATAGAGAAGCTTCCCGTTTGCTAATCTGACTACAGCAGGGAATCTACGGTCGAGCGTGCCTGCACCAATGGTTGAGACCCAAGGAGCTGTGTTTGCAACCGAGCTATCGATCGGACCGTTGTTACCAGCTGCACAGATTACAGAGATCCCATGTTCCATGGCTCTGAACGTTCCAATGGCGATTGTGTCATCGTACAGAGGAATCGGGAAACCGCCGAGGGAGAGCGAAAGAACATCGACTTTATCTTGAATCGCTACATCTATAGCTGCAAGAATGTCAGAGCTGTAACATCCGTTGAACCAACAGACTTTGTAAACCGCGATGTGAGCTCCAGGAGCCATCCCACGAGCCACGCCAGCTCCATTGCCGAGAACACTCGCCATCGAAACCGAGGATCCACCAACTGTTGACGCGGTGTGAGTCCCGTGTCCTGTTGAGTCTCTTGCGGATATGTATTCACGAGGCATGTTTGGTGATTCTTGTGGCGAGTTAGCGACACGGTGGCCTCTGATGAAGAATCTGGCACCGATTAGCTTACGGTTACAGCTCGAGGAACTGAAGTTCTCTCCTTCTTGGCAAATCCCTTTCCATTTGCGTGGGACAGAAGGCATTCCTGTATCGTCAAAGCTAGGGCTTTCAGGCCAAACTCCGGTATCAAGAACGCCGACAATCGTGCCTTGGCCAAACCGGGATTTAGACCATACACCGGAGTTTCCGAGACCGCCGTCCAGCCCCAAGAACTTGTAAGAGTAAGTGGTTTGGACCTGAAGCACATGGTCAGGCCTCACTGCAACAACTTCAGGTGAGTTTCTCAGCGTCTCGGCTTCTGATTCGGTTAATTGAGCAGAAAATCCTTCAATGGCAGAGCCGTAAGAGTATAGAATCCGTGAAGAAGGCTCTTCAAAGCTTTCCTCTTCAACTCCTAAAACCGCTTCTTGGAGAAAAGAGAGATGCCAATCGTACTTTGAGGTAAAGGTTTTAGCAGTCTCGCTATTAGGGTGAAGCTGAATGATGTAAGTCTGTTTCTGCAAGATTTCTGAGGAAGAAGAAGAAGAAGCAGCAAAGAGAAGTATGGTAATGCAGAGAAAGAAATTTTTGGATTCCATTGCAGAGAAGAACTCAAGAAAGGATTTGATTTAGTGTTGTGGTTTTTAGAGTGCATGGTTATGGAGAAGAAGAAGAAATGGGTATTTAAAGAAGAGTGAAGAGAATTCAAAAGCAGGGATTTGGGTTCTAAGGAAGAAGATGAAGCTCGTGAAGTGTAAGAGCTCTTCATCACGAGTTTCATTTGTGTCTAGCAGAGAAGGAGCTTCTTCTCTTCTCTTTCTTTTTTAGATTTTCAAAGCTCAAGACATGAACTTTAAAGTGGAACTGTTGAAGCTGTTAAGGTTTTTCACTTGGTAAGGGATTTTGTCTCTGTCTCTCTGTGTCTCTGTTTTTTATTTCTGGAAGGTTTATTTTTTGTTCACGAGAAGTTATGGTGAGAGTTTATTGCATATTAGTTACTGTAGCCTCTGTGAGAAACAAAAGATTCGAAATTTATTTGGTTCGGTTTCCAATAAAATATACGTATGCTTAGTTTGATATAAAAGCCAAATACTCGAACTTGTTTTTGGGTTTAAACGAGTAAAAAAAAATATTGAAATTTAACTGCAGTTAGATTCAGTTTTTGCTTTGGTCCAATACAGTATATGAGATGTTATATGTTTATCTATGGTTTATCAAAGGATATTTATGAATTTGAGATAGTATATGGTCAGGATTCAAAAATGTTACTTCCTTTAACCGAAAACAAAATGGAAGTAGACAAGATTCAAAAATAAATAGAAAATGTGACATATGCCTTAAATAGAAAATGTGACCGTTGAAAGAAAATAAATGCAGCAGCGCGTTGAGTGTTCACCTCTACGTGCATTTATACACGCACGCTTCACACGCCTCGTTTTCTCATCGGGTACTGCGTCACCATACGACGTTGTCGAAGTTTTATATTGGGCTCTCCGTTAAAGCCCAATATCTATTAGTGAGTGACCCATTTTCACTAACCTAACGACGACATGAGCATCAATCGAAATCTGTTCTAAAATGTGATAGATTTGTGACCAAACCGAAATCTTCCAGGAGTGCCTTCTTTCTTTTTGCAGATTATTAATAACATTAAAAGAAAACACATAAACTAAGTGTTCCGTACAAAAAGGGTCTCTTTGAATGTTCAGAAGAAGAGATTTTAAAGTATTCAAGCGTGTGAAGATTGCATCATTTCATGCTTTCAATTTTACCCTGTCGAAAACTCCCTCTTACTTTAGACCTTAAGCTTCGTCACATTTTCATTTTTTTATATATTCTCTTGAGAAACCCTTAACCTGAATCTTAACATCAATGATCAAAATCAGGCATTCCAGTAGATCTTGAGGAGTACTCGGTCACTAATTTCAAGAACATGGATGATTTGTCTTCTAAGAGCCGTGCAGGAGTATCAAACTCTGCTACTCTACCTGCAACACAAACCATAAAACAACATTGAGTTCTCCCAAAAGATGGTTGATATGCAAAAAGAGATTCATGTTCTTGGTATTTGTATATATGAATGGACTAACCGTCGCTAAGAACCAAAACGAGGTCACTGTCGATAACAGTTGGGATCCGGTGAGCAATGGTGCAGACAGTGCAGTCTTGAAACTCTGTTCTGATAATCTTCTGGATCAAATTGTCTGTTGCTGTGTCAACCGATGCTGTTGCTTCATCAAGAACAAGTATTCTTGCTTGTTTCAGTAATGCTCTTCCAAGTGAAACTAGCTGTCTCTGCCCTACACTCCAGTTATCTCCATTTTCCAGCACTAAACAAGTTCACGTTTGGAATCCAAAATCAGTACAAAGTAGAGAGAATACCAACACAAAATGACAATTTGGTGCAGATAGAAACAGTTAGTTACCTGGAGAGTCAAGTTTTAGGTCTTTTCCTCTAACAACGTCTCCAAGCTGGGATTTATCAAGCGCCTGCAAGCAAAAAGTTGAGTAAGTCTCTCTAGAATTCCAAGTGATTAGCGTTGTGGTGTGTGAGACAAAACATAGTATATATAAATAGATATACCTCCCAGATTTTATCGTCTGAATGTTCTTCAAGTGGGTCAAGATTTCCACGGATTGTTCCTTCGAATAATGTAGGATCTTGAGGTATGATACCGAGGCGGCTACGGAGATCATGAAGACCAATCTGAGAGATATCAATGTTGTCTATAGTTATTTTTCCAGCAGTTGGCTCAATCAACCGGAACAAAGCTTGAATCAAAGTCGACTTTCCGCTTCCCGTTCGTCCAACAATTCCAATCTTCTTTCCACCAGGGAACACGCAGCTTATCCCATGGAGTACCGTTGGAAGATTCTCAGCATAACGAACCTTCAAAAAGAAGGAAACAATAAGAAAACAGGAAAGAAAGTACAGAGAGGTAATAAAAATGGTGTTTTTTGCTTAGTACCTTAACATCAAGCAGCTCAATTGTTCCTTTTTCAGGCCACGTGGAAGGCGGACGGAAATCTTCGACAACCGCTGGAGCTTCTCCTAAAATCCGACTGTACTGATAAATCCTTTCGATGGAGATAATTTTGTTTTCAAGCTTACAAAAGCTAAGTATCCATCTTGATAGACGTCCATTCAAGTTAAGCCCATATGTCACTGCAAGCCCTGCCATGCCTATTACAACAGAAACAGCTGAGATTAGGAAAAACCGGCTTCTTGTTAAGTGTTTGATGATGCTAAAATTGCTAAAGGAACTATAGATACTTACTTGGATCAATGGTTCCATGTGGAAAGCTGACGAGTAAAACCATACAGAAAGCAAATACAAGTGTGGAAAGTAACTCCATGCGTAAACAAAGCCATTCTATAGCAGCGATACTGCAGAAGAAAGGTCGAGCAAAACAGTCGAGAAGATAGAGATTCCTCTTGATGAATCTTTTTTCCTGGCCAAATCCTCTTATTGAGGCTGCACCAGCTATTGATTCTCCAAAGAGATGAATTATCGGAGACTTCTGAATACTAACAATGCGAACCAGTTCTCTTGAAGAAGCCATGTAATACTTCTGCATCCAAAAGCAAGCAACCGCTACGGGCACAACAAGAAGGAAAACTTGCCAGGTGACATTGGTCATCACACCAACAATTCCAATTAGTTGTATCGTTGTTGAAGCAAACCCACCGAGTCTAAATGGAATGTCAAGGTCCACAACACTTTGATCAATAGAAACCTGCACACCAATCAAATTCCCCAGAATTAGAAGATAATACAGAAAGTGTAGATTTTGGTTACATATCACCATCACATCTACATACCCGATTCAAAATTCTTCCTGCAGGAGTGGAATCAAAGAATGACATTGGCGCTCGGAACACACTTCTAAGCATATTCAAGAACAGCTTCTGTGCAGCAGCTAGACCAAAAGTTGCAACTAGAGCAGCTCGTACAAATATGAACAAGGAGCTTCCAAATGCTAAGGCCGTATAAACAAGGAGAAGAACTGTAGGATCCACTTTGGACTGGTCGCCTTCAGTTTGAGGATTCGCCCAAGCCATCCACCAATTGCTAGCAATCTGAAGGAATTGGAAAGCAGCTTGTGCCAGTATAATAAGAGGAATCAGAAGCCCTTTATATGCTGCACCCATGTATGACAAGTACACCTTCATGCTGACTTTTCCCTTTACTCTTTCTTCTTCTTGAACAAGCTGCTTTTTGCGGGAACGCTTTGCTTTCTTCTTCATTTCTTTGAGTGCCTTTAGATCTGCAGCAGATACACCCTCTTGTACTTCCTTCGCCAAAGACTCAATATCATTTTCAAAAATATCCGACTTTGAATTATGCAAGACCAAACTATCCAGAACTGGATTTTCATCAGAGTCTTCTGAGGAGGGACTTGGGATGTCCATGGCCTCGATTGCTTCGTGGTGGGCAGACACTAAGGCCTTAAAATCAGTACCTGCTTGTAGCAGATCATCATATTTACCCGACTGAATAATCCGGCCTTCCTTCAAAACCTTTGAAACAGCACAAATAAAAAAATTTCAGAGCTTGTCATAAGAGAAATAGTTTGAATACTGCTTCAACAGTTTTACCTTTCTGCAACAATAGAGACAAGTTCATCTCAGCTGGTTTGCTAAAGACCTATAAGAGACCCTTTAGCATCTCTAAAAGGACCAACAGTAGCTAAAATTCATACATCGTAAAACCGAGAAAAATAGTTTCTTACCAATATTAGATCAGCTGCTGGAAGAAACTCAACTTGATGCGTTACAAAAACCACAGTTTTCTCAGCCAGTGCAGATAGTATATAATCCTGTGTAGCCAATAATTACCGCGTTATGCAAATGTTCAAACTCACAGTATGTAAAACTGATTAGAGTTTACAGAAATGCTTATTACCCTAAACAAGTCAGAGCCAGTGTGTGCGTCAAGAGCACTAAAAGGGTCGTCTAGCAAATAAATGTCAGCATCTTGATATAATGCCCTTGCAAGTTGTACACGTTGCTTCTGCCCGCCACTGAGATTTATCCCTCTCTCTCCGATAATGGTTTGGTCTCCATGTGAGAAGAGCTCTAAATCTTTCTTCAAGGAACATGCTTGTATCACATTCTTGTACTTGGCTTTCTCCATTGGACTGCCAAATAGAATGTTTTCTTCAATGTTACCAGACTGAATCCAAGCCGACTGAGACACATAACCAGTAGTACCACATATTCTAACCTATAATAACAATTTTCAGCAGGATAAATAATAATTTTCAAGAGAATAGCTATAAAGTAATGAAGAAATTGAGACGAAAGGCCACACATTAACTTACTTCGCCAGAGATTTTTGGGATTTCGCCGAGGATGCAAGAGATAAAACTTGATTTTCCAGAGCCAACTGTACCACAGACAGCCACACGCATACCCTTCTCTACTTTCATCTGAATCCCAGATAATGTCGGCCTTGAAGAGAAAGGGTCCCAACAAAACACACCATCTTTAATCTCTATGGCTATATTCGACTGTCCACGTGGAATAGCAATAGTTGCATCTTCCTGAAGCTCTTCCTCCTGCAAGAACCCGGAAATCCTATCAAGAGAAACCTTT